AACTCCCTACGAAAAATTTCCCTTCTAATTTAGCTGACTCAGACTACCTCCTCCAAGGCAGTTCTTTCAAATTATGTCATCAGCACTCTTTGTTTAAACAAAGAGTTCTCAGTGTGTAGAAAAAGACATTACCAAAATCACTTTAAATTTTTTTATATAAAGTAGCAAAGTGTTCATACTTTTAGTGATCAATGCAAACTAACTCCTATTGGGTAGCCCACTATGTGACCATGGGGAAACCATCACCCCCACCAATAGTAAAACAAACACCCCTGCCCCAGAAAAAGTAAAATAAGCCTGTTTTGGGGGGGAACAATATGTAAATGAAATCTTCAGAACAGTGTAAAGTATTGTGTATTCCATCCTCCAATCCCCATCTCCTACAATGTCTCTGGTTCCAATGGTACTCCCATCCCTGCACACTTGCTCACACATTCACAGACACCCATAACCCACAAATAAAAGTGTGTTCCACTGCCTATTATTATGGCTAATACAAAAATCACTACAATTTACAGCAAATCCCATAAAGTACTTTGAGATGTCCTCCTGACGTGAAAGACGCAATATCAAATGCAAGGATTATCATTACTAATCTTTCCCGGTAAGACAAGTCCCAGGTTAGTTTATGGTTTGGGCTGTTAACTCTCTACAGATGGGTTAGTGGTGGTGTTAAAACTGGCTTTAGTGGCCCTGGAATAGTACAAACAAAAAAAATCAACCAAGGTTCACACTTCTAATTGCTATACAGTGATCCCACTGGAATGTGCATGTCTGCCAGTGCCAGGGAGGATAAGATTGGGTTCATGCGCATTATTCAAAAAGCAGAAGAGAGTACCTCCTGGTGTTCCAGCAAACAATTCTGCAGATACAATTGCTCATTCACTTCATGGCTGTTTATGGAACAGTGATGTGCACAACAGTTCACCTATTGCACCTTACAGTAAATACTATAATAATAATAATCCTTGCATTTGATATAGCACTTTTCATGTCTTCGAGACTTCTCAAAGCACTTCACAGAATATAAAGTGAAGTGACTGTATATTTGTGGGCGAAATGCGGCAGCCAGTTGTGCACAGCAGTATCCCACAAACAGTCGTGGATTGAAGTGACAAATTTTATTATTGTTTTTTATTCTTGAGGGATTATTATCAGGCATGTGGAGTAAGGAAACTTGCCCAAGGTTTCACCCTTCCAGGAATCAAACCCAGGTCTCTTGCTTGCGAGGCGAGTGCTCTAACCACTGAGCTACAGGACTCCATGGGTATGAAGTAATTTGAGACGCTTTGGAAAGATGCTAAGGGAGGAAATTGCAGGAACTCTGGCACAAATCTTTCAGAAATCACTGGATACTGCAAAGATGCCTGGGGACTGGAGAAAGGCAGTCGTTACTCCTTTTTTTAAAAAAGGTAGCAAACCTGACCCAGGAAACTTCCAGACCAGTGAGTTTGACGTCGATTGTGGGTAAAGTTATGGAGACTCTTATTAAAAATAAGATCATGGAGCTTTTGGACAGTAATAAAAATGATAGAAGAAAGCCAAATGCAAAATCCTGCAGATGTTGGAAATCTGCAACAAAAACAGAAGTCACTGGGAACACTCAGCAGGACAGGCAGCATCTATGGAGAAAGGAAAGTGAGTTAATGTTTCGGGTCCACGACTCTTGTCAGAAAAGAAAGCCAATATGGGTTTATGAAGGGGAGATCATGCTAAATGAATTTACTGTTTTTCTTTGACTGTGTGACAAAGGAGCTTCATAAGGGTAAGGCAGTGAATATTGTATATCTGGATTTCAGTAAGGCCTTTGATAGTTCCTCATGAAAGGCTGGTACTGAAAATAAAGAGGAAGTACCTTGCAATGGATACATAATTGATTGACTGATAGAACCCAGAAGGTGGTAGTATAGGGATCATCAGGCTGGAAGAATGTTACCAGTTAGTTGCACAGGGGTCTGTTTTGGGACCTCTTTTATTTAACATTTAACAAGCACAAGGACTACATTTGCAGATGACACAAAGCAAATGAAGGTGGTAGATTGCAAAGATGAACAGGATAGGTTACAGGAGGACTTGAACATACTTGGAAATCGGGCAGATTGATGGCAGATGAAATTCAATGCAGAGAAATGCAAAGTGCTTCACATGGGGGCAAAAAAATCCAGGAATGGACTATTATTTAAATGGAAAGAAAATAGTCTGTACAGAAAAAGAAAAGGACAAAGAGGTCCTGATTGACAATAAATTGAAGCTATCACATTGGTGCTCCATAGCAGTGAGTAAGGCAAACCAGATGCTGGGTTGTATTAAAAGGGCAATATTTATCTGAAATAGTGGGGTAATCCTGCCACTTTACAAATTACTGGTGCGACCACTTGAAATACAGTGTGCAGTTCTGGTCATCACAATATAAAAAGGATATTCCAGTGATTGAGAGGATACAGAGGAGGTCAACCAAAATGAGAGGATGGAGGGACTGGACAACGAGGAGCGATTAGATAACTGGGCATGTTGATGCTGGAGAAGACAAGGTTGATGGGCGATTATGATTACGGTCTTTAAGATTCTGAAGGTATTAGATAATGTAGACCATGATAAGCTGTTTTATCTTGTACTGAACAGTAGAACCAGAGAACACGGGGGCAAATACAGAACAAATCTGTAAACACTACAGGAAGCGAGTAGTAAACTTATGAAACAGGCTCCCCATGGAGACGGTGGAAGCAGAAAGTGTTGTTTCAAGAACAAATTAGATCAATTTCTGCTAGAAAATAATATCTTGGGATACAATAAATAGTTTGGGGCATGACATGTCAAGCGACTGCCAGGATGGTGGAGGGCAAACTAGATGGACCTTGGTCTTCTTTCGCCTAACAAATTCTTATGTTCTTGCATTTCAGAAGCGTAAAATTTCCCTGCTTTCTCCTTAGGCCTTTTGCCATAAAATTTAAGATCTTGGAGAATTTTAGAAAATTCGTACAGTCAGTCATATTTTAGAAGCAAGTTTTCTACAATTCTTAAGAATACTTGCAAAAAATGGTTTCCAAGTTTAAGTTTTAAAAAATTCAGCAAAATCTTAAATTCTAAGAGAAATTCCCAAACTCTGATTCTTACTTATTTGACAGGAGCAAAAGTGGACTACAGTTTCAAAAGAGTTTTTGAACTAAAATGTGCATTTATAATTGTAGGCATCACAGATAACTTTATTTCTTTGATTAAATCCAAACAATCTTGTTTACCTCAGTGTTCCTGCTGCACACAGCTGTCTCTTCTAAGATGCTTCCGACATAATAAGTAATTTTATTACTTACTGAGTCAGAGTTTATGCCCACACTTACTTGTTTACATATGTTTTCCAGTGCTCTGTCATGAAAGAAAGCCCTGTGTTCCATGAAAGAAAATCATTTACAACTTCAACTGAAGTTAAGCACCACATGAGGCACACTGCGTTTGTACAGGATCATTTGATATGAATGCAAACTTGCATCATCATTCTATTGTTACTGAATAACGTAGTTTAAACCCAACCTTAAATTTAAATGTTACATGCACAATTGAAACGCTTATTCAGTGAGTGAGTCCACTCTTTAAATCAGCTTCTCCCTCACCCAGTTTCTTACCTCCTAAAGGTGTTGGCCGCCTCATGCTGAAATGTGGTCTGAGGTACCTAAGTGCTCTCAGGTACCTTGGATAATCTCCATGAGAATTGTCCTGGGAGATGATTTACCCTGGGAGGTATTACAACCCTTATCCTGTCTTTACCCAGACTACTCATGCATACTTTCCAGCAAGGGTCACTAGGATCAAGAATAGGAACTCTGCCTGATTTGGGGTCTTCTTCCCAGACGCAGGCTAATTATAGCATCCCCATTGGCACTTCAGCTGAGATCAACTGAGTCAAAACCCCACCAACAAAATTACATTTGTATAGTGTCTTTCACGTCAGGAGGAAGACCCAGGGTTATGGAAGGGAAACCACGTCCTCTGGGTTTCTGGTCCCTTGACTGTGTGTGTGTGTGTCGGGTTCCACCATTGTTAAGCGCTCTGGGATGCTGACCGGTGTGGAGGGTTCTATATAAATGTAGGTTGTTGTTGTTGTGAGAGAGCTGGGTGGGGAGAGATCAGGCTCGGGTGTGACACCCTCTACAGAGGCCTGCCAACACCCACTGCCAAGATTCACAGGTGAGCAACAGGCACTTGGGCAGGTACCAGAGGCCAATTGGTGCCAGAGGAACACTGGGATGCTGCCCCTGCGTGAGAGGGCGCCCTATAATAATCCCTCCAAAACCAAAAACAATAATAAATTGGTCATTTTCAATCTACGACTGTTTGTGGAACATCGCTGTGCGCAATTGGCTGCCGCGTTCGCCCACAAACATACAGTCAATTCACTTTACAGTGTGTTCTGTGAAGCGCTTTGGGACGTCCTCCCGACGTGAAAAGCGCTCTATCAAATGCGAGGATTATTATTATTATTATTATTATTATACAAATATCGTTGTTGAACTGCACTTGAGAAGGAGGCGGTCAGAAGGCATAAAAAGCCATTGATTTAAAGAAACAACACCACCGTAAAACAAAATAAAACTCGAGGGCTGATGTTATCTCCCTCCAGCCCAGGGACATCGAGGCCAAACACTAGTACATTCTCTTCCCTCACCCCACAAACAAAAAAAAATGTTTTCCAAAAAATTTGCTTCCCGGATTCACGGCAAAGGACCGGTAGTTAACCCGAGCAACGAAATCCATCTCCTAGGCCGCGTTTCCTTGGTTACAGCAACCCCCCGCCGAACGTCTGATTCCAAACGGCAGATTCTCTAATGTTGCAACGGTTCGCCACTCCAAACAAAATTAAACACACACACACATATATATATACACAGATATATAAAGGATGCGGTATTTGTATTTTAGGGAATTGTATTTTTTTGTGGTGGTGGTGGGGGGGAGGGAGGGAGAGGATGAACTTTGGAGGGTGTGTGGAAAGTGCGTGTCAGGGTGGGAGGGCTGGTGTTTGGTTTGGAAGGCGAGCGGTCGGTGCGAGGCCCTGTGGCGGGGATTGAGCCCGAGAGACAAACCCGCACAGACACACACAACACACGCACACACGGGGGGGGGGGCGATGAGACGAGGGCGCACTCAGCTTTCTGTCACTGCAGAGATGAACAAATAACATCGAGAGAGAGAGCGAGAGAGAGAGAGAGAAGAAAAAGAGGAGAGGAAAGACGCAAGTTATGCTGCACCTGGAGCGGCCATGGAGCTGCAGTGGGATTTAGGGATCACCTCGTTCCTCCTGGACGGGGTCTTCGCTTTTTGCAGCGAGTTTGCCCAGGACTGGGACAGCAATGACATGAGGGTGACTGTCTTCAAAATCCTCCTGGTCTGGCTGCTCTGCAGCCTGGTGGCCGTTTACGTGGCCTGGAAGTTTTATGGAGCCACAGTCAATGACATGTACTACAGACAAGGTATGTGTGTGTGTGTGTGTGTGTACGCGTTTGAAAGGTCAACTCCTTAATTTTACAGTGTTCTCTTCCAAAAAAAAAACTAGGGTTTTGAAATTAAGTTTTAAGCTTTCAGCAAAGGTTTAAGGTCAAGAATTGTAAACAGAGCAACAGATGTCATAAATGTTGTACAGTAGAAAGCGAGATAAAGCCGGAGAAAGTCCTGGAAATATACAGCATCAGCATCAATAGAGAAAGACAGACACAACACATTGCCTGCCTGTGTTTTCCCTCTAACCACATTTTGTCTCCTGAAGGAAACATTTGCCCCCTTTCATTCTGGGATATGGTTTCATGTCACTGGGTACCAGTACTTTATCCCGAGGGCCATTATTCAATGAGCCTCGACAGTGAGCGTTGGCAGCGTTTATGACAGTACAATACAAAATTACTTTTGTTCAAGCGCCTTTCACGTCGAGTGGATGTCTTAAGGCGCTGAACAATCAGGCATTAGGACTGAGGGTGGGGGATGGGGGTTGGCATCAGGGAGGTGGAGGCCAGAGAGGGTAGGATTGCTAGAAACATCAACAACAACAATTTATGCACGTATATAGCCCCCTTCATGTAGGGCAGCATCTTGGAGCGCTTGAACATCAGAACTAAACCCGATCCTCTCACACTTGTACTTTACAACTAGTAGTTTTCTGGATACTGCTCAGCAAAGTCTGGTTGATTTTCTTCCTTTCTCCTGCCCCCCGTATCGTATCTCCCCCTAACTTTACTGCCTCAATTGCTGCCCTGATTGAGATCAGCTAACTCAGCACTTATCAGGATTTGATTTTACAAACTCCAGGTTGAATTAATACTGCACGGGATAGAATCTTTAAAATTACTGTACTTGGGTATTGTATTGCTGGGAGCATGTTAAAAAGCTGCTGTGATTGTGACATGTATACAATTTTATTATCGTTTTTGGAATAAGGTTAGGAATTGTTTTGAAATTTGATCAATTTTTTCCCCCTCATTTTATTTTCTTTGGCCATCTCCTGGAGACAATGCTAGGTGTATGATTTCACAGGAAGAGGCTTACCTCCAGCATATCCAAGTAACTTCTTCCTGCGTAGTTTTAGACATTGTGTCAGCAGGTGTTTGATCAGAGGGAGAAGATGAGAGGCACCACTTCAGAGCTGAGCCTAACTTTAGCTTTGCTCGACATCCACACACAAGCTCTTTCTAGCAGCGATCATTAGAGACATTAGAATACATTAGAATATACAGCACAGAAACAGGCCATTCGGCCCAACTGGTCCATGCCAGTGTTTATGCTCCACATGAGTCTCCTCCTGTCCTTCCTCAACTAAGCCTTCAAGCATAACCTTCTATTCCTTTCTACCTAATGTACCTATCAGCTTTCCCTTAAATACATCTATGTTATTTGCCTCAACAACTCCTTGTGGTAGCATGTTCCACATTCTCACCACTCTGTGTGAAGAAACTTCTTCTAACTGCCCTGTTTGATCTTTTTGTAACTATTTTATATTGATGGCCCCTGGTTTTGGGCTCCCCCACAAGTGGAAACATCTTCCCTATGTCTACCCTATCAAAACCTTTCATCATTTTAAAGACCTCTATCAGGTCACCCCTTAATAATAATAATCCTTGCATTTGATTTAGCGCTTTTCACGTCGGGAGGACGTCCCAGAGCGCTTCACAGAACACACTGTAAAGTGAATTGACTGTATATTTGTGGGCGAACGCGGCAGCCAATTGCGCACAGCAATGTCCCACAAACAGTCATGGATTGAAAATTACCAATTTATTATTATTTTGTTTTGGAGGGATTATTATTAGTTGTGTGGAGTAAGAAAACTTGCCCAAGGTTTCGCCCTGCCTGGAATTGAACTCAGGTCTCTCGCTTGCAAAGCGAGTGCTCTAACCACTGAGCTACAGGACTCCGACCCCTTACCCTCCTCTTTTCAAGAGAAAAGAGTCCAAGTATGTTCAGCCTTTCCTGATAGGTATAACCTCTCAGTCTGGGATCATCCTTGTGAATCTCACTTGCACCCTCTCCAGAGCCTCTACAACCCTTCTGTAGTGTGGGAACCAGAACTGCACACAGTATTCTAAGTGTGGTCTAACCAAGTTCTCTAGATAGTGATCGTTAGATAGCAGGAACATGAATGACTAGACTGTGAGTGATGAAGTTGTCTGGTCTGAGCTAATCGAGCTACCTGGAATGCCATCACTGGACCTTTCATTTCCTTGCTGATTTGGGAACAAGTAGATCTTGCATGTGTGGGGTAGCAGGTGCATTTCGTTTGTGAATTCCAGTCCTATTTTGTTTGCTCAGATACCGTCGCTATCATCTTAGCTACAGAGCATGTAAATATTGATAAAAGGGAGAACTGTTAATGTTTTATTTGTAGCTGCTATCAAAAGGGACCATGAGGAGAGAAAGCAGGATAGGAGGTTGGACTGGTGTTGGGAGTATGTACATTAATTGCTTTTGTGCCTTCTGTTTTATTGCCATGATCTTGACTTGACTTTACCTGAAGGTCTTTCTGTTCAATCGTGCCTATGGTCGCCTCCCCCATTTCACCAGCTCAGCATCAAGCTCCGCCATTGTTAAGCCCTCGGAGACACTACCACGCTTGAAGGGTGCTATTCATACAATTTTTGTTTTCTGCATTGTAAACAAAGTAGCACATGCTGAAACTAGGAAATACAAACTTCTAATAATTATTTGATTATTATTAAAACCTTGGGACATAGTTCTATGAGTGACAATGGAAACAGTGAATTATATCTTTTAAGAAAGCAGGCAGATAGAATGGATTTTTAACATGCTATAGGTGAAATTAGCCAAATTAACTGCTTTGTTACTCAGCCCAAAGTTTTGTGCATGAAAATGTAACACTTTTTTTGTGTGGTCCTAATGAGTAACTTCCTAATAGCTAAAACACATAGGGATGTTTGTGATCTTCTGTAATCTTACTCCTCTGCCCACTCCCTCTGCTTCAGTAACTCAGGCCTGCTTAATGTCTTCCGCTCCACTATGTGGGCAAGCTGTCAGCTACTTTGCCCCTCACTCTGAACTTCCACCTTTTCTGCTTTCAGAATCAGTCTAAAAACCTAATTCTTTAATTGCGTCTTCAGCCACCTCCCAACAATCCCTGACCCCCTACCCATCTCCCACCCAGATCACACTTCCATTCAGTCTCTAAAATGCTTTGAGATGTTCTCCAACATGAAAAGTGCTACATAAGTGCTAATTGTTGTGGTCATGGTGCTCCCTTTGGCTCAGTAGATAAATATATTGTATTGTGCAATATGATTCTGAGCCATACAGAACCTTGGGTTGATCCATTATCTGTCAAACTTGATCTCAGCTAGGACCTCTTTAGTGGCACTGCAACTGCTTTTCATATGGGGGAAATTTAGCCTGGACTGGGTTCTTGCTACTAAAATTATTTTGTAATGGATAACTGAAATCATAGTCTTTTACAAAAGCACACTAATTATAATGTAGCGTGAGTTTTGCTTTACGTGCTATACTATGCAGAAAAGCAGATATTGCAGCTGTTGTTAATTGATGTGTTACCAAGAAATATAGCTACAAAACTAGAGGAATGCCCGTGATGTTCAGGTTTATAGTTCATGCAGCTTAACAAAATTTTAAGTAGTTGAGTCGGATTCTAATGCCTTGTATATTTCTTTCTGGATAGTCAAGGTTATGATGACAATATTGGTAAGTTTAGCCTGACTGAGTATTGCAGTGATGGGTCAGTGCTTGCAATCAATTAATAAATGTTCAAAAAATTGTATTTGTCTGAGAGCAATCTTTCTTGTGTATTGATATGATAATATCTAACAGTGACTATAATAATTGTATTTGATATAATGCTTTATTATGTTGAAATGTCTCAAGTGTAGTGACTGTATTTGTAGGTAAACTCTGTAGCCAAATTGCACACAGTGATGTCCTAAAATATAGTCATGAGGTGAATGACCCATTTATCTGGAGAATTCTTGACGAGGATATAGGTAGAAGCTCTGTTTTCTCTTTGAAATGTTAAAATCTCATCTGAAGGCCAGCAACAATAAATTACATTTGTATAGTGCCTTTCATGTCGGTAGAACTTCCCAAGGCGCTAGACAGTCAGGGATTTCGACCCGAGGAGTAGGAGGGTGACCAAACAAGCGGTCAAAGAGGTGGATCTTGAGACGTGCCTTGAAGAAGGCAAGGGAGGGAGCAAGGCAAAGGGACTGTTGGACGGAGTTCCAAAGGGTGGGTACAGTGGCGGAGCTGAACGATGTGGCAGAGGTGGGGGAAGGCAGAACGGGCACGGATGTGAGCTCAAGTGCTGATGTGGGGCATGAACTTACGATCTTCTGACCCAGACGCAATACAGTAAAACTCGTATAAGTTTTATGTTTATAAATCATATAATCGCCTAAGTCATACATGCACCTGAGTTCTATTCAGATTCCTGCCAAAAAACACTTAGATTTCTTTGCTCTAGTTGTATTTCATAAAGTAAATAATCTCCCAACGCCGCTGCATTGAAACGCGAGAAATGGTCTGTCACCACATGCACATTTGTTGCGTTGAATAGCAGGAAATGAAGTTCTGACCCATCGACGATTGTGTACTTTCCGGCCTCACTGAAGTGCGCAATGTAGATTATCGATTAATCTGATTTTATACATTATTTACACAAGTTTTCCTGTAACTCATATTTCACATAAGTTATATTAAATGTGATGGTCCCAACTGATATGACTTATGTAAGTTTTACTGTAATCCTGAGACAATAAGATTGTAATTCAGCCAAGTAAATTAAGTGTCAATAGATGCAGCCCTTCTGATATTAATCATTAACAAATGCCAGGCAAGAGGTATTTTTATAATGTATGTGGTGTAGTTATTATTTTACTCTTTAATCAATATGTGGTTGAGAAAGGCAGAGGTGGAGCAATATAGAGATGATGGACAAAGCTAATTGCGACAGTTTCAAAAAGGATGTGGTATTGCAACTGCTGCTATAGTCATTTTATGAGAGCACCAGGAAGTTATCTGTGTAGACAATAAAGAACAACATAAATTAGAATGTTTTATGGCAGTAGCACATGAAGGAGTTGAAATTATTTCGCTGTACAGGACAGTAACATGCTCTATTTTCACCTTTATTTTATCAGTACTGATGTGATATTACTCCTGGCTTTTCTTTGCAAGCTTCAAATACTGCAGACTCTTTCTCCTCCCTGCATTCTCACAACACTGAAATTAAGACTTATTGGAGTACTCTTAACTCATTCTTTCCCACTGCTTCAGTTCTACAACTTCCTCATCTTTTTGCAACAGTTAAAATTTTTTTTAAAAATGTAAGCTTGTTATGAGTTAACAATTGCTATTTAACCGACCACTTCCTACTCATTATTTTGGTTGTGTTCTGCACTGTAAGATTTGGGCCTTCGTCTAGATTTGTCAATTTGAGAAAAGTAGTTTTGTAGGATCTTTTTGTAGTGGTTCCTTATCAAACGTTCATTTGCTCACGCACCTCAGAACCATTAACTTAATGCTGGTTCTTTAGGTCAGTCTAAGTTGTACTTGCTTACATTCTCTCCCTCACCTCATGGTCTATCATGTTTTTGTTTTCGATTCTATTTTTCACACTTTCTATTTCAAATTTAATTCATTCACTTTGTATGTCTCTTGTTTCAGCTGATACTGTGTCTTGTCAGTTTTAGTTTTCGATTTAGTTGTCTGGTTGAAGTGTAACGTTGATCAATCGCAGTGACCTAATGGCAGTATGTATATATTTGCTTAGCCACACCGCATTTCCTGTAGTTCTCAGCTTTATTGTGTGCCAAACAATCGTAAAATCTAAACACATCTACAGTTTGTTTACTATCCTCTAATCTTCCGTCTTTATGGGCAGATTTTCAGAAAATCCATATTTTTTAATCTGCTTTTCAGCCTTTTAAGAGTTCATGTTCTTTTGAGGAAAGAGCAATGTTACTATGTAATCAATAATCTGCATTGAATTTAGCAGAATTAATTACAGCGCACACTGCATAAAACACTTGATAACTAAAAGGCTCTAGAGCGACTATACCCTTTTCATTTTAATTCACTTTTAGTGTGGTTATTTAATTAGGAAACATATCTGTGTTTGGGTATTTTCATTTGGGTTGAAATACAGCCAGCTCCTAATAGAAGCAATGCCTTCTGCATTATTTTGTATTCAGTTCAACTTTGGAATTTAGTCAGTTTACCTCAGCTCTTCTGATAGCTTAGTGAGTTTATCCATGGAGCAGCTGAACTACAAACCAGGAAGATTCCAGATTGTATCCCTGGTCCTTAACTTGATGAGTTAGCTGATCTCGGTTGACAACAGGGATGCTAAATTTGGTTTAAATTGGTCAGGTTAGGCAGAGTAATGTTTGGCGGGATTCTTGCTCTGAATTGCATCCAGCAACCTCTGCTGCAGGGCTACGTGTATGAATTTTGGGTGTGGATAAGATTGGGTTCAACTTCAATTCTCTCAGTCGAATAGCCTGCTCATAATCACTGTCTAGGTTCACAAAAACTTTAGTTTGGCAGTGGAGAGCATCTGGCAACGTGGAACCATATCTCAATAGAAGGAAATGGATCAATGACAGTTGTGGCGAAATATATATATACACATATATAACTTTATATAGCTTATATACCGCAAGAAGATTACATTTGTATAGCGCCTTTCACATCGGGAAGACGTCCCAAGGCGCTGGACAGTCCACAGCATTTCAGACCCGGGCTGGGGTCAGGGGAGAAGAAGGAAGGGGAGGGGAAAGGAGGTGGCCAATGGCATAGTCGAAGAGGAGGATTTTGAGGTGGGACTTGAAGGAGGCTAAGGAGGGGGCGAGGCGGAGTGACTGGGGGATGGAATTCCAGAGGTTGGGGGCAGAGTGGCTGAAGGCTCTCCCGCCAATGGTGGGGCGGGTGGGTCGGGGGATGTGGAGCAGACCGGAGCCGGCTGAGCGGAAGGAACGGGCAGTTTGGTAGGGATTAGGAGGTCGCAGAGGTAGGGTGAGGCGAGGCCATGAGGGCTTTGTATGTGAGGACCAGGATCTTGAACTGGATCCTCTGAAGGATAGGAAGCCAATGGAGTCGGGCGAGAATGGGGGAGATGGGGTCACAGAGTTTGGTGCGGGAGAGGACACGGGCTGCAGAGTTCTGGATTATCTACAGTCTGTGGAGGGAGGAGTTGGGAAGGCCGACAAGCAGGGCGTTTGCATAGTCGAGCCTAGAGGTGATGAAGGCATGAATATAGTGCCTTAAACACAATTGTCTTGAAAGAAGAGGGAAGAGGAACATTGGATGAAAGTACATTGGACTGCTCTTATGAATTGGGTGTAAATCTGGTTGATTTTTTTCCCCAGTGATACAATGCATTGGAAAGATCTTATTGAATTTGCTTTTCTTTTACAGGTATTGGAGGTCAGAACGGCGGCACTCCAGATAGCTCTTCCAATTTTACCAGTTGGTAAGTTTAAAGAGTTTTTTGAAGTTCAGTAGATACAAAACTGATCTGATGGCGACCTTTGAATATCACTTTTTTTTAGTCAGCCGATGTCCCAACATATTGCGAAACCCTGCACCATGCTTCAGAGTATCCAAGTCAAACAAGGTTTCGTGCATCCCACTATGTTTATTAATCAGTGCAGTACAAGTTGAAGTTTATCTAATCCTATTTAGATCAGAGAGCTATTCATTCATAATTTCTGTCCAGTAACCCTGCAACACCTCAGCAAAACACAGAAGTCATTTTAAATGAGGATAGGAGGTAGCTTGGACTGTGTAGAAGGCACTACTAGCAAACTCTATCCTGTCTTTGCTCAGTGTCCACATATTACTTAACATTGTTGGATGCATATCAGTAGTGGGAACACTATCTGATTTTTATTTATTTTCTTCTCTATAGATCAGGTACACTGAATCCACCAGGCTGAGATTAGCTAATGGCACAGATCAGGGATTGAATCTGTGATGTTCCTGGTCTGTAATGTCTCAGTAGTGAATCATTGAAACTGCCTTTATCCACTGAGAAATTCCAGGAGCTTTTCATCCTCGTCATTGGTTGCTAGTGATTTTATGAAAGCGGGGGTTGTGTGAATTCTTCGAGTAATTTAAAAATGCTTACAACATTGGTAATAACCACATGAGGAATGGCAAGTACAAGCCTGTGCACTTCAACCTTTTTTTAAAATCAGATAACAGATTATTTTATTAAAGCTTTTGAGACAGATTTGTCCTGTGGTGGGTGGGAATGGATTTACCACCAGCAGTGCTCACAGAAATTACTCTCCTTTGCTCGACTTAAAAAATAATAATTTGGTCACTCAATCCAAGACTGTTTGTGGGACACTGCTGTGCGCAATTGTTTGCCCCGTTTTACCCACAAATATACAGTCAATTCACTTTACAGTATATTCTGTGAAGCGCTTTGAGACGTCTCAAAGACATGAAAAATACAAGGATTATTATGATACCATGAGCGATATTGGGTGTAGTATTTTGGGCTGATTTGCAGTCTGTTTTGTTCAGTGGGAGCCTCGTCCAGCGAAAGATAGAATTATTTTGCTGTGTGAATGATGCAATGTCCAAGACAGAAGGAAAAAACATAATATCCTGTACAGTAACCCTTCAACAGCTTAGAATTAGACCAGCAACTAATTGGTTTTGCATCCACTGCGAGTGGTACCTGCAGCTACTTGGAAAATTGGGTTGGAAGTTAGGTTCGTTATTAACAAAAACCTGCTCTCTTGAATACTTTCTTATTCCATCTTGATTGGGGATACATTACAATTTATGCTTATATGTCACCTTTCCCGTTGGGAGAACATCTCAAAAGTGCTTCACATAGCTGACTGGGCACCCTTGCTTGAATGGGGAGATGACTGAAAGCACGATAAAAGAGTTTAAACTAAATGGGGGGATGGCTTAAAAGAGGGGAGGTAAGCAGTGAGATGGAGAAATTCTGGGATGGAGTTCCAGAGACTAGGGAAATGGCTGAATCTCGACGACTGGGCAGATCGTATGGGGCTTGTGAAGCAGGCCGGTGCTCACTGAGCAGAGGAAGCAGCTGGGTTGTAGGAAGCCGTTTTTATTTTCATTTTTCCACAATGATCGCCACACTTGCCCCAATGTGGAACCAGTGCCAGTTTGCCATTACAGTAAAATGATGAGAGAATTGCCTTTCTGCTTCCCTGGTGAAACACGGTTAACATTCGTAGAACCCTCCAAGCACAAACTTTAGAGTACCCAGGTTACCAATAACCATCTCTATGGCATGATGACCAACACCGAGACTGTCACTCAAATCCTGCTGAGTAATGTGTTGATCTTTGCGGATCCGTTCATCAACTTGCTGTGAATTCTCTTCATTATCAGGTATTGCTGGCCACCCACTGCGAGACATATCTTGAAATTCAGTTTCTCCACTTTAAGTACCATCTTACAGTACTCACATCAACATATAGACTTTTATGCAATGGTGAATCTCAATAGGTGAAATCTCCTGTGAGAAATTCAATTATGGCTCTCTGCTTAGCACATGTTAGGCACCATTTTGAACTGGGGTCATGTGCCTCCATCCAGTTAGAAGTAAACAAAACTTTCACAGCAGGGGTGGGATATATAAAAGTATCTTGTGTATGTTTTCCATTGCTGTACCATGTACCATTCTTCATAAAATAAATAGGAGGCAATACTTTTAGGATGTCCCTCGTATAAGCAGTAATGAGAGGAATGACTAGTTTTAATTTGTGCTGGTGTTTGTGACTGATGGAGATGCACAGTTTGGGCGAGGAACCAGATGATCAATGATCATCTTCAAAATAGTGCCATTGGATTTTTAATGTTCACTTCTACCACTTGAACAGGAAGATGGGATCATGGTTTAATGTTGCATTCTATGCATAGCACTAAGGATAACAGCAGTCCTTCAATACTGCATTAGATCCTGGATTATTAGCTCATGTCCTGGCTTGGATTTTACACTACAATTTTGAATGCAGAGGCGATAGCTAATTAGGACACAGTAGCAATGTGCCAGTGTGATCCGGAGAGTGTGACTTGCTTGATAGGCTTCTGAACAAATTCCAATGTACCCTCACTATATTGGTACAAGAAATAAGCTGCTTCTGTAGACTTTGTTTTGATGAACTGCCTTCAACAAAGATCTCTGTGTATACTACATATATACCACTGTGTATACATATATATTACACGTATTAATATCCAATGTCACTTTCTCCCATTGCTATAAGCATCTACTCCTTAATTTTAAGTCCTGCTTCTACAAGTGCTTGGAACAAAGGTACTCTAATTGGCTGAAGATAGCTTCAGCTGCAAAATGAGATTACCGCTTACACCATTCCAACCCCATAATAATAATAATCCTTGCATTTGATATAGCACCTTATCACGTCATTGAGATGTCTCAAAGCGCTTCACAGAATATATTGTAAAATGAATTGACTGTATATTTTGTGGGCGAAATGTGGCAGCCAATTGCGCACAGCAGTATCCCACAGAATACTGTGGGTGGAAAAATCTATCCCGTAATACTCTTTTTAAAAATAGACTGTATTAACTTTGTTTTATTGTCAAATCTACATGGCTCTCTCAATGTCAGTCAGGTTCCACTATTAGAAATAGAATTAAGGGTACACTATACAGTAGTTGCTTATGGGAATGATAAAAGCCAATTAGTGTATTACATACCTTTACACAATACTGTTCCTATGATTATCTCTTTGATTAGCTTTTCCCTGTTATTTGTTCAACTTATGACATGCAGCAAAAATAAATCATCTAAAAATAAATGCTTTTATTTTGGTTGTGAAAGTTTTGGGTGCAATTTTCTTTAATCAGAAACCTATTAAATAATAGGTAGAAATTCAAAATGTATATCACATCGATTTTACTGAAGATCACATGTCTTGGTAGCTTTCCATACCAATGTGCAACACATCCCAGACACCCAAAAACTCAGTTTTTCTGACATATTTGCAACATGTAATAAAAGAGTCTTGGTTCAGAAGGTGTGAGGAATCGATCATTTTTTGTATTTGAATGTTAAGTAATCATTTGTGAGTCCCCTTGATAGATTAGAGAGAAAGGGTGGGCAGGGTCTCATGGCCCAATGTGGTGTAATATTGAGCTACTGTGTGGACCAGTTTAGATCTTTAATCTGTGTTGTTTTCTCTGGTCTGGAGTGGTTGAGTAAGTGCTGCAGTTTGTCTGCCAGTCTCTAAGATAAGGAGGAGAAAATTGTCTTGGTTGTTGTAAATGCAATTTGTTTTTGTTTGTTGCTGCTTGTAGTATGATGTGCGTGTATATATCAAATTAGTACAGAATTTTGCATCCTCATGGTGAAATAGCTTCCCTACACTCACTATTCAGGCTCTATGTGAAACATAGCCAGCAAATGAAGCATTAGACAGATGCTATCTATGGATTCCAGCTATGGAATCGTCGCCCAGGTGAGATGCTGCTTTCAAAAGAGGAAAGTGAAAAAACTGAAGGAGAAAAAAAATCCTCACTCAATGTAATTTCACATGATTTGGATTGGTTATATAGCTGACAAAATAACACTGTTCAATTTCTCTCTAATTACAGGGAGGGTACAAGTGATGAGCCATTTAAACGTCACAGGGAGTGATGGAGATGTACGTATTCTACAGCTGAGAAATGCACTGGTCTGCTGGTGTGAACCTGGATTGTTTAAACTTTCGTTGGGTGCTAAGTTCTCCAAGATTTCGAGTATCGCAACTTGATCAGTTAAAACGTGCCATTGTTAACTCCTTGCTGTTAAATCCCTTTTTTTAACACAGTTTTACTGCTTAGACACTTCTATCAGAAATGTATGATGGATACTGCTATTGATTGCACCAGTGTTGACGCAAAATGCCAATAAAGAAAATGCCACTCACGTGAACAGATCTGCCGGGCTCAGTCAGCCCAACTGGACCCTGTTCTCGGTTGAAATAGATCCTGTTTGGCACTTCAACATCCATCTTTTTTTCTAATTTTGATTCTATTCAGACGGGAACTAATTTCCAACATGCCTGGGCATCATGCATTACTGAAATCACAGGGTTTTGTGCTGTGTTTTTCACATTTTGCAATGTTGCCTTATTGCAGGTTGCAAGGGGGTACACTTATCTGGGTTCAGTAATGTCCAGATCCATATCCTTCAGGCATGACGCTCAATTGTCACCTGAAGACACCCAAACTCCTAATTTGATTCCAAAGTGGAACACAAGAGCTTGTAAGAGTCGGCTATGAAGGAAGCATTGTTGAGAATTGGAAACTAGAAAGTTCACGGCATCTTGCCTCAAAGGGTGCCTAATGTACTGGTACTGTATAGCTTCCCAGACTATAGGTGTGGATATTTTCAGCACGCAGGCCTGTTTGATCGTAGATGTGTAATACCATTGCCGAGGTTTATTAGCCTGAATCATCGCATGATTTGCAGGTAGTTCGACTGACCTCAGAGAGAATGAAAAAGTACAATAACATCATTATGTAATTGAGTCTGTTATCTTGTTCTAGCAATGTTACATCATGTATGATGGTGTTCTCAGAACCCCAGCTTTGTGAATATCCTGTAAAGTGGAGCACTCTGTCCACCATTTGAATTTCAATTATCTAACTGGATAGGAAAAAATAATGAGTCTGAAATTAATCTAAATGATTTGGTGACGTCACATTGCTAGACCAAGCTGCTGTGTTGTGGAGTAGAAGGACATGGGATTATGCCTGCAATTTTCCCATAGGCCAAACTTCTAATCATGGGTACACTGTCATGTTTAGTTAGGCATTGACTGAAGACCAGGTATTTTTCCAGAGATGACGAGAAACCCTGGGCTGCTCTAGCACTTCCTAGTGTCTGAGTTGTGAATGAGGCCTAGGCTCCAGTTATTCACTTGCACTCTTAAGCCAGTGCTTGCCGTAATCACTAATTTAGATTTACACGTACCTACTGCCAGAGTTTAATTATACAAACAGAATTCAACAAGCAGTCAAAAGCAGTAATGCCCAGAAAACTATACCTATTTAATTTTAAAAATTATATACAGTGAAAGTTAAATTATTAGTGCTGCTATTCAAGAACAGTTTCATGGTTTAATAGAATATGTTTGATTACTGTAAGACTGAATCTTCTTGGCTCAGAGATTATATCAAGCTCTTTATGTCACAAGTGGGTTACGGGGTCCATAACAGATTTTTTTGGTGGGGGAATCTATCTGCGTTCTGTTGCAATATATTTTTCTACCTCTTCTACCCTCAACCTCCTGCCTGGTCAGGCAACTGGAGTGTGAATTGTACTATGAAAATCTTGTTTGAGAAGTTCCGAAAATGCACACAGCAGTATGGTTACCTCATGATAGGCAGCTACCGCGTTTCAGCTACACTCTTTTGATGTATAGTTTCAAATAAAGCAAAATATAAACTTGCCGTCCACATGAAGGAGATTCAGAGTAAAATCAGCTTAAAAAGTATGCCACAGCTGTAAGCTTTATCTCCTTGAAATCTATGGTTTTTACTTATTTAAGAGAACAGTATATCAAAATAAGGCTTGAATTTCTGGGTTTTTGAAACCTAAAGTGCAGATTCTTCATAGTTAATGTCAAATGTCAGCTTAACCTTAAGACCATTGCCTTAAAATGCAAGTTTGCACAGAGTTTTGTAAAATTCTTAAATTACATCTTAATGTGGAAGCAGGTTTTCCATAGTTCCTGGAGTGTATTGGTTAACGCAATTGAGAGGACCCGGGTTCGATTCATGCGCAGGGTGAAATAATAGGCACGTTTTCTTACTCCACATGCCTATTTACCTAGCAGGAACCCAGTTGTTAGTCAATTGGCAGATCACTTTTCTGGGGGTAATAATCCTTTCCAAAAAAAATTTATAATTTGGTCACTCAATCCACGACTGCTGTGCGCAATTGGCTGCTGTGTTTCACCCACAAGTTATACAGTCAATTCACTTTACAGTACATTCTGTGAAGTGCTATGAGATTAAGTATTAAAGCCTAATATCAAATGCAAGGATTATTATTTTTATTATACACACACACATACAGATGTTTATGAACCCACGGGTGGGATAAAACCCAAGACAAGTTTCCTTCCAGTAAGTAGGAACCAAGTTGTTAGTTGATTGGCAGATCGCTTTCCAGGGGTAATAACACCTCTCTAAAAAGAATTTTGGTCACTCAATCCACAACTGATCGTGGGACTCAGCTGTGCATAATTGGTTGCCACCTTTTGCCCACAAAATATAGTCAGTCCACTTCACAATATATTCTCTGAAGCGCTTTGAGACCAATTGCGTAAAGCAGCGGCCCACAATTAATCCCTTCTAAAACAAATTGTGGTCAATTGGCTGCCTCGTTTCACCCACAAAATACACAGTCAATCCACTTTACAATATATTCTGCGATGTGCTTTGAGACATCTCAACTGCGTGATAAGACGCTATATAAAATGCAAGAATTATTATTGTTAATTCAACAATTTTTTGCAGCCGTAGGCTTTCTGAAATTCTGCGAGAGAGAGTCCCATTGCTCTTCTTTCTCAATCCTGGCACATGTAATAATAATAATAATAATCCTTGTATTTGATGTAGTGCCTTATCGTGTCTCAAAGACATCTGAAAGCGCTTCACAGAATATAGAGTATTGTAAAGTGGATTGACTGTGTATTTTGTGGATGAAAACATGACAGCCAATTGTGCACTCACGGTAGTGAATTAAGTGAACGCATTTTTTTTGATTATTATCCCCAGAGAAAACGATCCACCTATCGACTTTTTAAAGAAATGTAAAAAGGTGTCTTCCAAATTAAGACTGAGAATGAAGAATTTCTGAAAACTGTGCATGATTTTGAATGTTAAGACAATAAAAGACTAAGACCATGAGGAATATTGAGCCTCTGGTCAGCAAACATTTACATATTTCTGGGGAAATTGCTTGTGTAATTGGGGAGGGGAGGAACCAGGCTGAATGAACTATAAAGACCTTTCCTGTTTATTAGTTAGTGAACTTGTATTTTGCAATTAGGAAGTAACAGAACTTAAGGAAAACATACCAGCATACCAAAATGTTCATTTGGGCTTGGTGACTATTTTGCAATAACATGGGTTATGATATAACTCTCTCCCTCAATTCCACCGCCTTGCTCCCTACCCTCCCCACTTTCAAATCCTGCCTAAAGACCTTCCTTTTTGATCATGCTTACGGTCACCTCCCCCTCCCTCTCCACCTGGCTCGGGTTCAGACTACACCACTGTCAAGCTCTCCGGGACGCTACCCTGCGTGAAGGGTATATAAATGCAAGTTGTTGTTACAATTCCAGGTGTAGGAATATATAGGAGGGCTTTGCAAGAAGAGGAATCTATGTGTAAATATTAATTTTTCCCTCTTCTCCCCAGTCCCTCTGATATTTCACCCGTTAACTATGTGCATGCACGTTATAAGATAGACTTATAACCAGATGTATGCTTGTTTTATTCCTCTCTGTTTTCCATCTATTTGTTTTCTTAAATTGTGTCTGAGCTACATTTCTAGACCATTTTGTACAGTAAAGCCATTAAGTGTACATGCAATTTACTCTGATGAATCTGAGTCAAATGCGGTTCCTGTCCTTGATTAGTTACACATCGAACAATATTTATACAACAAAAGCGTTCATTCACCTACATTTCTGGGTTCAAAAGTTTATCTCAGGAAGGTATTAAGGTATTAATTAAATTTGCACCAGGAAGCAACAGCGAAGAATGGAATTAGGTAATGGCTTTTTAATCCTCTCTGCCTTGTGACTTAATGAGCAACATTTATTTTGAGAACCTCTTCTAGCAAAATTTGTTGTGTAACTGAGAAATAACCAATATTAATCTTTTGCTCAAGAGACAGAATCATCTTTATTAAAATGAATAATGTAGGGGAGAAGTGTTTAAGGGGTGAATCTTAGGCAAGTTTTCTTACTCCACACGCTTCTGTTTGTAGCAGTAAGTAGGAATCTGGTTGTTAGTTGAAATTTGGTCACTCAATCCACTGCGGTTTGTGGGACACTGCTGTATGCAATTGGCTGCTGTGTTTTGCCCACAAAATACACAGTCAATCCACTTTACAGTATATTCTGTGAAACAAATTGAGACATCTCAACGATGTGATACGGCGTTATATCAAATGAAAGGGTTATTATTATGTGTAGACTAACTTTGCCCTTCCCCAACCTGATCAAAAACATGATTATTTATTCCTGATCTTGGGAAAGCACCAAGCAGAGATGGTGTTCTTCTAACATCTTTTTCCCCTTCGCAGAGGAAAGGAAAATCTCAGTGGTGGCCAACTGTTACGGTTGGCCAACAAAATAAATTTTCTTAATTTATGCTACCGGCCCATCTCCAACCTCCCACGGAAATTGCTCTGGTCAAGGTCACAAATGACATCCTGACTATATGTGGCCAGGGTTCCCTCTGCCTCCTCGTCCTCCTTGACCTCTCCGCTGCTTTTGACATTGTGGACCATTCAATCCTCCTCCACCGCCTCTTCTCCCACCTCAACCTCCAAGGTTCTCTCCTCGACTGATTCAGGTCCTACCTTTCACACCGCCTCCACTTTGTCTCAGCTAACGGCTTCTCCTCCAGCCCCCGCACCATCTCGTGCGGGGTTCCTCAGGGCTCTGTCCTCGGTCCCCTCCTCTTCACCCTCTACATGCTGCCCCTTGGTGACATTATCCACAGACGTGGGGTAAATTTCCACATGTATGCGGGTGACACCCAACTCTATCTCTCTGCCTTCACCCTCAATGCCAGGACTACTGGCATCCTGACCGACTGCCTGTTCGACATCAAGTCCTGGACAACTTTCTCCAGCTGAATGTCAGCAAGACCGAAGCCCTCCTGATTGGCTCGCGCCATTGCCTCCGCACCTCGGGTGCTGGCAGCATCAGCATCCACGGTTGCACACTCAACCTCACTAAGCCAGTCAGGAACCTGAGTGTCTTGCTTGAACTGTCCTTTTTTACCCCACATCCGCGCCATGACCGGCACTGCCTACCACTACCTCCACAACATTGCCGGACTCCGCCACTGCCTCACCCCTCAGGCTGCCGAAACCCTCACCCATGCATTTGTCACATCAAGGCTCGATTATGGACATTCCCATCTCATCAGCCTTCCCAACTCTTCCCTTCACAAGCTGCAGATCATCTAAAACTCTGCAGCTCGTGTACTCTTGTGCACCAGGCTCCGTGACCCCATCACTCCCACCCTCGCCCGACTCCACTGGCTCCCCAACCCTCAGAGGATCGAATTCAAGATCCTCGTCCTCACTTTCAAAGCCATCCATGGCCTTGCCCCCTCTTACCTCTCTGACCTGCTACCAGCCTGCCTGCTCCCTCTATTCAGCTGGCTCTGGCCTGCTCCATGTCTCCCGCCCGACCATCGGTGGCCGAGCTTTCAGCCTCTCTGCCCCCACACTCTGGAGTTCCATCCCACAGTCCCTTTGCCTCGCTTCCTCCCTTGACTCCTTCAAGGCCCGTCTCAAGACCCTCCTCTTCAGTCGCTCTCCCACCTCTCTGCCTTCCCTCATCCGTACCCCACCCCTCCCCCATGCTCAGGTCCTGACCCCTGATGTCCACCCGACGTGAAAAGCGCTAATGTAATTTTGTTGTTGTTGTTATGCCGCAAATCAAGAAATATTCAATTAAGCAAAAACTGAAACAGACAACCGATCAAACACGGACTTGCCTAGACTTATGCGAATGTTCGGGGGAGAGCTTCTTGACGCCCTACGGGCCAGAAGTGGTACCACTGGGGTAAACCAACCAGCACTTGCGCCTTCCAGTGTCTAGTTAATACCAGCAATATCAAAGCAGGTTGCCTGCCGGGGAACTTACGAAAGTGTCAGAAATAAATAATCCAAAATTACATTTGTAAAGCACCTTTCACGTCGTGAGGAAATCCCAATGCGCTGAGTAGTCAAAGTATCAAGGATTAGGACCCAAGCGGGGGAAGGGTGTTAGGGGTCAGGGAAGGTGGAGGGTAGGAGGAAGGAGGCACAGTCGAAGAGGAGGTTCTTGAGGCGTCCCTTGAAGGAGGCAAGGGAGGGAGTGAGTTGAAGGGAATGTGGGATGGATTTCCAGAGGGTTGGAGCGGAGAGGCTGAAGGCCCAACCGCCAATGTTGGAGCAGGCTGGAGCCTGCTGAGTGGAGGGAGCAGACAGATTGATAAGGGGTTAGCAGATCGGAGAGGTAGGAAGGGGCAAGGCTGTGGATGGCCTTGAAGGTAAGGACAAGGATTTTGAACTCAATCCTCTGAGGGATGGTATAAAATGGGGATAATTGTGCTTTTATTGGTTAGATCCTTACCTTTGGCCTCCAAACAAAATACCAGCAGCAGCTGCATTTGTACAATATGTAACTGGAATGAGATGTGCAGGAGAAACTGAATATTTCTTTTGTGTTGTAATGTTTTTTTTCCTTTCCCATTTTAAATGTTATTTTTATTCTCCCTGCTTTAGGTTTCTCTTGGCCCGAGCATCATTTACCTGGCCAGGGGGCAGCATGCTTCATGCTTCCGCCAAAACCTCCTTTGAGCTGGCCATCTGTCCAGAGAAATGGACTGGGGTAACTTTGTCTTTTTCTACTTCTTCTCAGCTCAAAAGGGAAGTGCCTGGCTTCCGCTCATTGGTTTTCCTTAGAAAACACAGACAGGATCACATACCTGCCACGTGTCAATTACACCTCGCTCTGCCACTAATCTCCCTCCCCACCCCCTCCATCCCATACTAATACTAACAGCTATAACAAAAGAACAAATTGCCACCGTACAATTATTTGGGGCCTGAAACACAAACAATCACTTACCATTTTGCCATAGCCTTCAATACCTTTCACCGTAAAGCTACTTAATTTTTTTTACTTCCTTTTCTATTGCTACGTTGTTATGCACTTAATCGTAGTACTCATTAATATTCAAGTAAACTTTGCCAAAAATGGCACCAAGTATTGAAACAGGCCATGAAGGAATGTATATCCTGCTGAAATACCTTTTGAATGTAAACGCATGTATTTAGAGATGAATATTTTATTTTGTAAATCACTGTAATCCATAAATTGGACAACCTTTATACATTTTTAGCTCCTAAATTAACTCCTATTTATGTTTTTAGACTTCCCTATGCTGTACATTTACAAAATTGTTGTATATATTTTATTGGGTGGGGGGGAGGCGGGTGGGTTGCTGTCCATGTGTTTGTGTAAAAGAGAATATGAAGAAACGCCACAATATAAATTGGCTTGGTTTGCACTAAATGTGTTTCTTGCTGAAGCTCATTATATTTCAATTACCCACAAAATATATAGTCAATTCAATTTACAGTATATTCTGTGAAGCGCTTTGAGACATCTCAGTGACGTGGTAAAGCGCTATATCAAATGCAAGGATTATTATTATTACTTTTCATATGACTGTCAATGTTAGTGAGATGTATGTGCACGATCACCAGCACTGTGTTCACCAATAAACCTGACCAATACTCATTCACATAGTTGTGCATGTTTATTAACTACTTAATCCACCTTTGTGATAAATCTTTGAACGCCTTGTGGTATTCTTTACCTCCCCTGTAATTGGGAGCATTTGAAACATAGCTCCAATTCTTCCCCATCTTTACTACAGGTTGCACAGTGACCAGTAGCAAAATCTGCATTATGTTCCTAATTTGCAATGAATAAATTATAAGGCAAAACAAATTGTCGTTATGAGCCTTTTTTCTGATCTGAGGTTACCTGCTTAAATTTTACATGCCCTAGGGTTTTAAAATAATTACTGTACTGTCTTCTCCTTGGTATCAGTTGTTATCATTACAAATTCTGCAACTCCTGGGATTATTTGCTTCCTCTATTGAGATTTCCATGATTTGAAGCCACTTGTGGATGAAGCAACTGTGAAATGGTACAACTTTGTATCATGGCCTTAGATGAACAGGAATGTAAAACAAGCCCCATTCAAACGCTGTTCAGTGCCTGTTGCAAGTTTTTCAATTTTATATTTTCCTCGAATCTTTCCCCACCTGTTTCAATCGAGCCACAAGAAGTGTATGCAAGGCAGGTCTGAGGTGGATCTGCTATTCGTGATCCAACCACAGTGAGAAAACTGTCAATTTTTGAGTTTAGTTCCCACCATTTTGTCACAAAACATCTACTCTAACCATGTGTGCAAGGGCGTGCGATGTCTCGTGTTTTTTTGGTTCTTCCCTGTGGGGAAGTAGCTGCCTTCCAGTCAAAGCCAAGATTTGTTGTAGGCAGCTATGAACAAACCTACACAATTTTACACAATACATCTGAAGGATTATTATTTAATAAATAAAAGGACATATAATTTAATTCAAGGTATTATAAAGACAAATCTGTACAAGGCAATTTCGCCACAATACGATTTAATCACAACCTGTTGTAATTTTGTATAATTGACACTTTATATACTCTTCATTACTTGTGCATATCTACATACATTTTATATGGCAGCTGAGTTCGATTACTTGCCTGTAAAATCCACCTAATAAATGTTTCATATTTAAAAGAGTAGGGCAGTTTCTCAACTTTGGTCTTGATTTTAAAGATAACTAGTGACATCACGAATGCCTGTCGGAATTGCTGGTAATTCTATTTCTAGGAGCAGTAGTATTATTCATAGCTGTACTGTGAAACCTGTCTATAAAAGCTGACACTCACGTCTGATTCATTGAAACAACATTCTTAACTGGTGAACCACCTTGCCAAACCTATTTTTTTTTAAGAAGATACAAGTTACAAAGATACATTTTGGGGCTACAAAATTATTTTAAGAAATATACTGAATGCAATGTATGCCTTTGATGCAATATGAATAATTTATTATGGAGCAAACGTGATTGCAATGTGCAGAACTGGTTGGTTGTTATGGGATCTGAACCGGGCCACATACACCCTTAAACTCCTCCCTTTTTAATAGAGGAACTACTTTTTAATTGACTGGTGGGACTACTGTTAAGGTAATTTTTTAAAAACTGGTTTCAGTTTTCTATTGAGTAACTGATCTGTATTGACTGCACATGATACATTGGTATCAGGTACAAATCCGCATCCATTAAAAGGCTGCTGCAATGTAGCGGTTGAGTCTTCTACACTATTTCATTATAAACTCTAACTGGCCCTAAAACAAGACCTGAGCTGGTGGGTATTAGATCCATCAGTAAACGTTGAGAATGGCATATCTCTGATGCTGTGCATATGTGCAGAACACGTATTGCAAGACTGCACTATTCTTTTAAATCCTACAGGTGATTTGCTGTATTTTTACAGCTATGTACATAAAATGTATATTATAAATGATGGCAATGTTTACTGGGGTGATGTTGCACTATGAATACTGGTTTGGCCAAACGTTTTGAAGTGTGGTTTACAAGTTTGTGTGATTTAAAATTTTTGCGGAATAAACATTTTTTCTGAAATTCTAGCTGGTATTGTCACTATTTGCTCTGTGTCAATTGATTTGATAAAACTATATTTCTCTTCATTTGCTCCTGACTTTTCTCCCTCTTTAATATATGCACGTCCGATGCCAACAAGCAATTATTGAAATAGTACTGTAATGCATTTCCTGAGGTCATTTTTTCCCTTCTCAAATATAACCAAGACCACTCACTGACTACATTCCTAAATTAGACTAACTCAACACAGACCAATGATTGAACCTGAAGATTCTTGATTTGTGTGGCTCAGTTTCACAACAGGCAGTGGCTTTACTGACTGAATCATCGGAGGAAAAATAGGGATGGGGGAGAAGTCTGAATTGGACCACACCCTTAAACTTTTAAGAGTAGTTATAAAGCTTCACTGTTAGATAGCATCACAGTGTTATTGAGTGTTAGAGCATTAACAGTGGAAGGATACAGCTTTTGGGAATGAAAGGAAGCTGTGGGAATCAGCTATAGTAATCCAACCTCAAAGGTAACTTGGATCTCCACGTGGTCAGCCAAGGTGGAAGTTGGTGGGAGGTCTGGGAGCAGAGATGCAAGTCCAGGCAGACAGAGAAAACTCTTAATTATCTCAGACCAATTTTCAGTAATAAGATTTACAACAATGAAAGCTATAATCTTATCTTGAGATTGTGATGACTGTCTCAAAATTGTTTGAGTTTGCTGTGTGGCTCATGACATCATTTGAATTCCTCTGAGTTTACTGCCCTGTAATAACTCCTAGGTTATTGATATGTCCTTGTTCTCATCCACTTTAAAACATGTCATTTTGATTCAAACATGTGAACGTACAAATTAGATCAGAACCCCCAGATTTTCTTTTGCTAATCTGCCCTCCTCTCTCCTGAAGGCAATAGCTGAGTAATGGTTTCATGGGTGTCAGCATTACCTCAACTAACTTACCATTCTTGGTGCACAAGTCTTTTGCTTTCAGAAGGCAGTGACTATTAGTGCAAATCTTAAGGAGTTGGATCCTATGGAGGCCATGAGGTTTGAAGTGCTGCCAACCAGTTCCCATTAACATCCTATGTCTGATTTCAGAGCCAGCTTCAGTCTCGCCATTAAAGTGAGTAACGTTATACAGTACTTCCTCATCCCTCAGCTTCTTTCTGTCATAACTATTCTTGTAGCTCATCCAACAGATTTTAAAATCATTATCCTTGTATTGGGGACAAATAATATTAATAGAATTGGCAGAGAACTGAATACATATCCTGCAGGTTTTTAACTTAGATACGGAATTTAGGCAGTGGGGAAAAAAAAGATCCACATAGCATGACAGTTTATTATACCAGCAAGAAATATATCACATAACATCACAATGTGCTGGTCAGATGTCATAAATCATGAATATCCTCTTGGGTGTGGAAAGGTAAGCATAGTTTCCTTGGGGCTGAACTAGCTCCAAGATGATGTACATGGCAAAGGAATGTTGGAACCGAGTCAAACCTCTGTGGGTGTCTTGGTAGTCCAGTTCTTGAGCCAAGCGGGTATGCACTACTCCGAGACTACTGTTGTCAGCCAGCCTGGATCATCAGCCTCGAAGAGGCAGGGAATCTTCTCACTCAACTCTTGTTAACCCTTTACGAGTAGGGTGGTCCGAGCTGAACAAGCCGTGGGAAGCTTGCTATTTCAGCTGGTTAATGATAATAGTAATAATAATTATACTTGCATTTGGTATAGCACCTTATATTGTTAAGTGGATTGACTATATTGTGGGTGAAATGTAACAGCCAATTGTGCACAGCAATGTCCCATAAGCAGTCATGGATTGAGTGAGGGATTTTGGGAAGGATCACCACCCCCAGAAAGCAATCTACCATTCGGCTAACAACTGGGTAAACAGAAGCCTGTGTAGTAAGGAAACTTGCCTAAGGTTTCGCCCTGCCCGGGAATTCATCCCGGCTCCGCTCGCTAACTGAACACGCTAACCATTACGCTATGGTTAAACTCTAGTAGTACCCACAAGCCACACACTGAGTTAAGCTCCACCGAATACATTCTGTAATTTGGTGAGCAGGGACAGCATTCCTCCAGGGAAAGAATGTACAATTGTATACATGGGAAATTTCCATGTTTATTAGGAATGTGTATGTGGAAGTTTGGCTGGCTGGATGCTGTTATCTATGTGTCAGACACCTCACAGACCAAAAAAATGCAACAGTTTACTAATATATCTGACAAGTTATTTACCACCACAAACCAAATAAGTGAGAAGTTTCGTTGACTGGGGCGGGAGGACGTCCTAAGGTGCTGGACACTGTACAACATTTCAGACCAACGTCATTCTGGAGACGAATGGAATAATGCAATAGTCCTTGTTCGAACTTTTATATTACTAAAGACCTGCCTAAGTCAGGAAAGTGGGAAAAGCAGCATGAAACCCTATTCACTGATAGAAACAATGGAAATTCTGGTGCTAAACCAGTCGAGCTATCCATACATGCATTCCCCCAGTCAAGCACCATCCCCGGCAGAAAAAGATGGAGTGTGACTTGCTCCCAGGTTCATCATCAATCCCTATGGTTGGTGTTCTTTAGTTTAGGCAGAAGTGCTCAAGGATATTTCACCCTCTCTCTGACTATCCTGGTAAATTCACCATTCTGGGAAAGCTGATTCCAAACAACAGTCAAGCCTGTTATTCAGACTCTAGTCTACAAGTCAAAGTCCAGTAATTTTTAACCTCTAATTTCTACACTGTACTTAACCAAGCCTGCTTCATTCATGGAGAGAGAATGCTCAGCACTTATTCTCTCTTAGGTCTAATTAGAATTGACTGCACATCCTTGACATTAGTCCTTGTTTGGCCATTTACAATCAGATTGGATCTGTTATTAAACTTGTTGGCTTTAGCTTCTGAGTCAGAAATTGTAGGCTGAAGCCCCATGTTGGGAGCTCATAGTCTAGGCCAATGGTGGCCCGGAAGTGGCCCACCAAACCTTCACTCTAGCCTAGGTGAATGTATTTTACATCAATGTTTTGATTCCAGTTTTGTTTATTGAACATTTCTTGATTTATTGCATAAATCAGCCAATCTAGGCTGACATTGCAGTGCTTTGCTGGCATAGCACTGCATTATCAGAGGTTCAGTCCTTTGGTTAAACTGAGGTCCTGTCTATGTGGTCAGTGGATGCTAAAGATCCCACAGCACTACTTGAGAAGGGAGGTTCCCCCAGTGTTCTGGCCACCAATGCCCCAGACAAAATCCTCTCTCCACGAATGAGGTAGGCTCAGTTAAGTGCAATGGGTGTTTGGGACATTTCATCTCCACAAACGGTTTCTCCTCTAGTTCCCGCAACGCCTATAGCGGCGTTCCTCAGGGCTCTGTCCTTGGTCCCCTCTTGGATGGGAGACCGGCGAGGAGGGCGTTAGAGTAGTCCAGCCGAGAGGTGACAAAGGCATGAACCAGGTTTTCAGCGACTTTTGGGGAGAGGTATTGGCGGAGACAGGCGATGCGTCAGAGGTGGAAGAAAGCGGTGCTGATGAGGGACTGGATGTGGGGGAGGAAGGATAATTGGGGGTTGAACCTGACGCCTAGGTTGGTTACGGGTTCGGAGAGTTTTAGGGGGAGGTCGGGTAGGTGGAGGAGGTGAAAGCCGTGAGATTTTCAACGTTGACGAGAGCCAAAGAGTATGGCTTCCATCTTGTCAACGTTTAGCTGAAGAAAATTTGCACTCATCCAGCCCCTGAGATCCGACAGGCAGCTGACAGAACATCAGGGGAATGGGGGTCACAAAGAGAGGTGGAAGAATAGAGTTGGCTGTCATCTGCAAACATGTGGAAATGTACTTTATGTCTGCGGATGACATCCCCAAGAGGGAGCATGTAGATCAGAAAGAGGAGGGGGCCAAGGATGGATCCTTGGGGAACCCTGCAGGTGACCGGGTTGGAGCGGGAGGAGAAGCCATTTGTGCAGATGTACTGCTGGCGGTTTGTGAGGTAGGACTCGAACCAGGCGAGTGCGGTCCCACTGAGGTGGATGACGGAGGAAAGGCGGTGGAGGAGGATGGCGTGATCGACTGTGTCGGAGAGGTCCAGGAGGACAAGGAGGCAGAGGGAGCCCTGGTCACAGATAGAGAGGATGTTGTTTGTGACTTTCACAAGCGCAGTCTCTGTACTGTGGGCGGAAACCGGACTGGAGGGGTTCGAAGAGGGAGTGGGAGGAGAGGTGTGCGTGAAGTTGATTGGCAACAACGCGTTCTAGAACTTTTGAGAGGAAGGGCAGGTTAGAAATAGGGCGGTAATGGCTGGGGTTTGAGGAATCTAGGGAGGGTTTTTGCAGGAGGTGGGTGATGACAACAGTTTTGAGGGAGGCAGGGACTGATCCGGAGGAGAGAAACTGGTTGATGATGTCAGCCAGTAGTGGGCAGAGGAGGGGGAGCTGGGTGACCAGTAATTACGTTGGTGGGGAGGGGGTCGAGGCAGCAGGTGGTGGGTTTCATGGAGGTGATGGTGGGTGAGAGGGAGGAGGGAGAGACGGGGAGGAAGGAATGTAGAATGGGGGTGGTGGTAGGAGCAGATGATGAGGAAGGTGAGAGGGACAGAGAGAGCGTGGTGGTGGATGACAAGGGGCAGGTGGATGAGGCTGCCTGGTGGATGTTAAGTATTTTAGATGAAAAGTCCATAACCTCCTCGCACTTGGCATTTGATACGAAGATTGAGGAGGCCTGAGGGGGGGGGGCACGGAGGAGGTAGTGAGTGGTGGAAAAAAGGATTTTGGGGTTGTGTTTAGCCTCCAAGATGATGTTGGAGTAGAAGGCCGTTTTTGCGCATGTCAAAGAACAGTGGTAGCTGTGGAGATGCTCAAGCCACAGCTGCTGGTGAACTGTCAGGGCAGTTTTCCACCATCTGCGCTCGAGCATACGGGTTTAGGTTTTTTGGCAGCGGAGATGATTGTTGTACCAGGGGGATCGGGTGGGTTTGGAGATGGTCCTGGATTTTAGGGGGACAAGGGAGTTGAAGGTGGAGGAGAGGCGATCGTGGAGCAGCTGGACGGCTGCTTCTGGATCTCCGCGGGTGGAAGGCCAGAGGGATAGGATGTTTGATGATGAGAGGGCCTTTGTGAGAGTCTCAGGGGGTAGCCTTTTCTAAAGGCGGTAGAGGATGGTTGAGGGCTTGGTGGAGGGATGTGAGTGGAGAAGGAGATGAAAAAGTGGTCCGAGATGCCCTTGTCCACTATGCTGAGGTCGGAAATGAGGTCTGACAAGGCCTGAATGTCAGTGCCTCAGGCACCGACAGCATCACCATCCATGGATGCACACTCCACCTTACTAAGTCAGTCCGGACCTTGGCGTCTTGCTTGACCTTCAACCATCCTTTGTACCCCACATCTGTACCATAAACCGCTCTGCCTTCCCCTACCTCCGCAACATCGCCCGGCTCCTCTACTGTCTCACACCACAGGCTGCTGAAACCTCATACACACTACCATTATATAGAGGCTTGTCTATGCAAGCTCATTACTTGTCGGCCTCAACAACTCCTCCCTCCATAGGTTACAGATTATCCAGAACTCTGCAGCCCGTGTCCTCTCCCACACCAGGCTCTGTGACCCTATGACCCTCATCCTCGCCTGACTCCATTGGCTTCCCATCTCACAAAGGATACAGTTCAAGATCCTGGTCCTCACCTTCAAAGCCCTCCACAGTCTTGCTCCCCCCTACCTCTGCGACCTCCTAACCCCCTTCCATCCTGCACGCTCCCTCCGCTCAGCGGGTTCCGGCCTGTTTCACTTCCCCCACCTCGCTCGCCCCAATATTGTGCTTGAGACACCGCCCGGGGTGGAAGGCACTATATAAGTGCAAGTTGTTGTTGTTAGCAGGCGGACCTTCTGCCACTCTGCCCCCACCCTCTGGAACTCTATCCCGCAGTCCCTCTGCCTCACCCTCTCTTGCCTCCATCAAGACCATCTCAAGACCGTCCTCTTTGACCGTGCTTTCGATCACTCAGCATTCCCCCCCACTGCCCTCCACCCTCCCCGATCCCGACTCCCAGCTCAGGTCTGAAATTATGACTGTCCAGCGCCTTGGGACGTCCTCCCAACGTGAAAGGTGCTTTACAAATGTAATTTTGTTGTTGTTGCAATAGGCAAATTAGATGCTGCATTTGCAGCCTATGAATTTATAGTAATCCTGTGAAGCAATACGAGATGTTTCAATGATATGATGATACTACACCAAATGGAAGGATTATAACAACATTACTTATGTTACTACATTTTTATTGTAAATATTCTTATTCTTTCAAATCCAGTTCATACATTTTATCGAGTAGAAAGGCTTAACCTTTTACACTTCAATTACTGAATTTGATACTCATGTTTTATATTATAAATCTATTGACACACAGTAGTTGCTACATTTTAGCACCAAAAGGAATTTTACCCTTTCAGTTTCAAAACATAGAAAATCTATATTTGTTAACATGCATGGTAAATACTGAGTAGATTTGATTAAAGAAACAATCTAGCCTCTTGATTATTTCCAGATCACATAGGCATAAAGGTGCATAAAGTGGAAAGAGCATGCTCAACACTTATCTTCTCTTAGGTCTGATTAGAATTGCCTGCACATCCATGACATTAGTACATGTCAGGCCAGTTACAATCAGATTGGATCCATTGTTAAACTTGCTGAAGAATGTAAAGGAATCATTGTTGCTGAGAAAGTCTTCTACATTGAGCCCTTCACTTATAGCCTCATCAACCAGCTCGGTGTAAGCTATTGCCCCAGCAGCTTCTGTAGGACCATCCTGCCCATCTGTCCCGCCGCTAAGAAAAATAACTTCATGCTCTGAAAGGGGGTCCTGTGACCTTGTTAATTTTGCTTTGTGCAATTCAAGGGCTACAAGCAAGGCCATCTCCTGATTTCGACCTCCTTTACCTTTGCCCCGTAGCATTACTGTCGTCTCACCTCCTGCCAGCAGGCAAACTGGCCTCCCAGAACCTCGTGACTCTTCCAAAGCTATCAGGCAGTTATCTAGCTGGAAGTCAGGAATGTCCATCATCGCAATAGTCTGCAGGATCGCATCTTTCAGGTTGCCTTGCTGGACAGAATTAGAGTCTGCTAGAGTGGAACATGCATACTGAATCAACATACTGTACAATTTGGCCACATTCCTGACATCCCCACTCACTGCAGTAGACAAGACAGAAGTGCTATAACCCAAACTTTCAGATTGACACTTTGCTTGTTTTAATGCAATTGCATTTGACCCAATAATAAAATTGCAGACGTGAGCAAAGTCCTGGCTTTCTCCATGGGTTGTACTCCCTTTGGCCCGAGAAAGAACTTCTTTTACAGATTCAGGTATGGATGACTCCAGGTTATATTTTGATAGAATCTTGTAGCAGTCTTCTGTTCTATGGGAGCTTGGTACAGTAGGACCGCTGGCAATAATATCCAGAGAATCTCCAATAACATCAGACATAATAAGACTGACCACCTGCCAAACAGAACAGATTTTATACTCTCAGGTTAGTTTATTGTATAGTCAACTTGCATTTTTACAGTGACCAGTTTTGTCACATAAAGGAGTCTTAAAGTGCATCTCATAACATACTTCATTACCACAAATCTTTTCTACAGGCCCAGCTCTGATGATGGGCACAAATATCAGTAAGAACCCAGATAAAGACCTATTTCGCCCACAAAATACAGTCAATTCACTTTACAGTATATTCTGCAAAACGCTTTGAGACGTCTCGAAGACTTGATAAGGCGCTATATCATATGCAAGGATTATTATTATTTCTTTGCACAGAGGGTAGCTAGAACATGGAATTCTCTGCCACGAACCGTTGTTGAGGCAGAAGCCAACATTAGTTTGAAAGAGAAATAGATATTTGAAAAGAGGAATATTCAAGGATGTGGGGAGTACACAGAAGGGCAATTAGATGAGGCGGCTCATGTGGGGGAAATACCAGCTTAGGGTTAGGGTTAGACTTGATAAGTCAAATGGCCTATTTCTATCCCGTTACTTGATGCTATCAGTTTATCTAATATTTACCCACTCTTTCCCTATTTTTTTTTCGACTGCATCACTGATGTTGGTGTCCTCAGTAAGTGGCCCATGTAGTCATTATTTCTGTATGAGCTTTAAGTGTTGAAGGCTATTTAACCACCGGAAGCTACCTCAGCCATTCATGATCCTGATCTCACCCAATGCTCACACACAGCAAGCGTCATGGATATTGATAAGAAACAGAAACCTTGACTGATTTCCCCTCCCTAACCTGGGGCACTGAAGCGAATGGAATATTTTTCTAATTTTATTACAGGTGTTAGCATCAAAAATTCTCAGGAGTAAAGTTCTGGCTCTACCCTAACAATATGCTTTAACCCCCAGCATCAGTAAATAGGCCCGGCACAGCAGGTAAGTTCTTCTTCATATATATATATATATATATATATAAGTGATCTGGACTTGGGTATAGCAAGTAGCATTTCCAAGTTTGCTGATGACACAAAGTTAGGTAGGGTGGTAAACAGTGAGAAGGATAGTAGCCAACTGCAGGAAGACATAGACAGAATGGTAAAATGGGCAGACACATGGCAGATGAATTTCAATGTAGAGAAATGCATTTTGGAAGAAAGAATGAGGAGGCAATATAGGCTGGTAATACAATCTTAAGGGGGGGGTGAAGGAACAGGGAGACCTGGGGATTCAGGTAAATAAATCCTTGAAGGTGGCAGGACAGGTAGATAAAGCTGTAAAAAGGGCATATGGGATACTAGGCTTTATAAATAGGGGCATAGAGTACAAGAGTCAGGAGGTTATGATTAACTTATATAAAACACTGGTTTGGCCTCAATTAGAATACTGCGTCCAGTTCTGGGCACCACACTATAGGAAGGATGTTAAGGCATTGGAAAGGGTGCGGAGGAGATTTATGAGGATGGTAGCCGGAATGAGGGACCTTGATTATGAGGAAAGACTAGAGAGGCGAGGATTATTCTCATTGGAGCAGAGAAGGTTACGAGGAGACCTAATAGAGGTCTTCAAAATCATGAGGGGATTTGATAGGTTAGAAAGGGAAAAACTGTTTCCACTGGTGGGTGTTTCGGTGACTCGATGTCACAGATTTAAAACAGTTTCTAAAAGAAGCAGAGGGGAGGTGAGAAGAAATTTTTTCACACAGCGAGTTGTTTGAATCTGGAACGCATTGCCTGAAAGGGTGGTGGAGGCCGACTCGATAACAACTTTTAAAAACTAGGTGGATCGGTATTTGAGGAGGACGGGTTTGCAGGGTTATGGGGAAAGGGCTGGGGAGTGGGATTGACATTACATTGCTCTTTTCAAAGAGCCGGCACAGACTCGATGGACCGAATGGCCTCTTTTTGTGCTGTACGGTTCTATGAAGTTTCTGTTGTTCAAAGGTGGGTTGGCAATGGATAGATCTTCAGGTATCAAAACAGGAATTCTCTATTTCGGTGTTTCAATAATAACCACCTATATAATAGTGCCTTTCATGAATGCCTCCCCATGTGAAAGGAGCTGTAGAAATGTAAATTTGTTCTTGTTGCATTGCAGCACTTTAGTTACACTGCAAGCTCATTCAGTGATTGATAGGAACAAGAATAGGCCATTCAGCCTGTTCTGCCAGTTTATTACATGTTTTTTTTAATCCCAGGTATTTTTTAATAGTTCAACACTATCCACTCAGAAGCACAGAACGTAAACATGAAACAAAAACATGAAACATACCTGTGCAGGATTGGCTATTTTTGCCAAGCCTCCGCCTTTGAGTAGAGAGAGACTCTTGCGAACTGTATTGAGTTCATGAATTGTTGCTCCTTTAGCAGCAAGTTGTTTAGTCAGGCTCTGTTTCTCCTGCAAAGTGACCGGTGGGATAGGGGCTGGTAACAAAGCTGAACCTCCTCCTGAAAAAAATTATTTTTTTTTTTTTTTGAGATTCTCATCAGGGTTCCACAGAACGTCAGTGCTTCCATATGCTGCATCATGGGTGATGTGGGTTAGCACCTGCTACTCCCGAAATGTGTCATTGGAAGCCAACCAATACCCAACAGTGTGAAGGGGGAAAACAAAATCCAACTACCAGTTCTCTCGCAATTCCTATCACCTGACTGACCAGCACTGACAAGAAACCTGGAAGCAGGTCTGCAGCCTCTCCGCATAAGCACAGGGGGCAATAATAATTTACATTTATATAGAACCTTTCATACCAAAAGGCTGTCTCAAATCGTTTCACATAGATGACTGAGCATCTGAGCTGGAACATTAAATATTGGGTAAAAAAATAAGGCATTTCGACTCTTTGTTCCTTCTACTGGGATTTGGTTTAACACTTGCCCTCTGGGATTAACTGAAATCAATAACCTGCTCCAGCCAATATCAACCAGATCAACAGATCAATTTTAGTTCAAAAGTAGCACCATGCCATGTTGTGCAATTACTAACTTCTTGGGAATTAGCCGGGTGTCTGACACATGCAAAAACCCAACACCATGCTCAATAGTATCCATACGAAACAGAGTTTCATGCATCCCACCTGTACATGGAAATTCCAGATTTATTGGAATGGAATGTGCACTCTCTCCCCAAAGGGATGTATTCTGCTTACTTAATTTCGGAAAGTAATAAGTGCCGATTGGTAAGAGCCAAGGCTTGGGGACCCCATAGTTTGCTATGGTGGTACTGCCGATAAGCTAGACTGGCTGGACTGACATCAGCAGTGCTCTGGAGTACTGGCTCAGGAACTCGATTACTGAGACCATCACAGAGGGTTAGCTCAATTCTGACATTCCGTTGCTGAAAGTGCCATCCTGGAGACAGTTCAGCTCCAAGGAGACTCTGCTTACCTTCTCCCCCACCTCCTTAGAGGACAGTCATCTTTGGTCATCTGATATCTTATGAGCATGGGTTTCACTAGATGGATGGCAATAACAAAAACTAACTGAGCAGTCCAAATTAAATTTGTTGCAGTGAATGCTTTAAAAATGATTGGATGGACTATAGTTGAATGGAGGATCTAGGACCGGAGGATCTAGGACCGAAGGAAAAGTCACCACTCTCACTAAAATGTCCAGCTTTATTCAATATCTAAGAGCTTGTGTCAGTTTGTAGCACTCTTGTATCTGGGTCAGAAGGTTGTGGATTCAAGCTCCACATCAATTCTGAGCTCATAGTCCAGGCAGTGGATAAGCCTTTTGGATAAGACATTAAACCAAGGTCCAGGTTAACCATCCAGGTCAAAGATCCCATTAACAGCATTTAAAGACAATGAGTTTCTTGTGCTGTCCTGATCAACAATGCTCCTGATATATTTGTCATTTACCTCATTGTGGGATTTCAATGCACACAAAACATTTGCCTATAAAGAACAGTCATTATACTACTGATTGTAAACTGCTTTGAGACATTTTGATGTAATTAAAAGCTTCAGAAATGCAAAAAAAATTGAATCAGCCAGTTGTCTGACACATGCAGAAACCCATCACCATGCTTCAGAGTATCCAAATCAAACTGAGATTTCATTGCATCCCACCTACATATGGAAATCCCAGAGATAGATTGTTGGAATGGAATGTGCACTACTTAACTAATTCCTGAATATTAGACGCAGGTTGGCAAGAGTTAAGACTTGGGGACTCCAGAGTATGCGTTGGCGTGCTGCTGAAGTCTAACCAGCTAAAATCGCATAGCTTGCCATTGATATTGTTGTCGGGCAAGCTTTCTCGCTACTTGATCAGCTAGGACCACCCTGCCTGTAAGGGCTTTGGCTTGCAGGGTTAACAGGAGCTGACTCCCTGCCTCCAGTGACTGGTCTGCTCTTCCAGGTCCTGCCAATGAGCCAGGCTGGCTGGTCTTGTCATCAGCAGTGCACTGGGATACAGCAGACCTGTCCGGCTCAGGAACCAGACTACTGAGACCGCCTGGCTCGATTCCACCATTCCATTTCCAGGCATGTCACCTTGAAGCCAGTTCAGCTCCAAGGAAAGACCCCGCTTACCTTCCCCACTCAGAGGAAAATGCAAATTATTTTGTAAGAAGAGAGACAAAGAATTCCTATACCTGAGATGAGTACAAAGAGTAGATCCTTTGCTGTAAGTCCTTCAGCTAAATGTTGGATTCTGTTGGCTGCTGTCAGTGCATTCTCATCAGGAAGGTTATGTTTGGCTCCTTCAATGACTTGCATTTTGGTCTGAGGCTTTAAAAGCATGTCTCTGCGGAGTTAACGACATTCAATTAAGCAGAGAAGTGTTGCTTACATTTTATTAACCAAATGTATCATTTTCCTTTTAACATTTACAGCCATAAGCTGTAAAAATCCACCATATAAAAACTGTCCATTAATTTAGCATTTTAAATGAATCACTTAAAGACAGTGGTGAATAAGTCACTCCAATATACTGTTTGACCCCATTATCGTATACCACTACACCATGGATTTGATAGAACACTGGCAAGGGTACAGTGGGTATGATGTACTTCCTTCTTGTGGTGCTGACTGACCAAATTCCTGCACATGGCTTGTTCTAGGCGATCTCCGGACGTCATTGGCGTCCTCAAAAACCACCAAAATTATGAGAGAAAATACTGCTAATGGCTTCCTTTACACTACACAGAGACCCAGCAAGCATCCACACTAGAACATGAATAATTATAGTGCTGTATCACATTTTGAGATGCACCACAGAGTTGGACTATAGTTGCAAAGCTGAGGTGTCCCTCAGTGACTAAGTGCTAAGGAAGATTAGAATCAAGCAGCCAGGATTTCTATCCAGTGACCAACTGCATGAAATTGCATCAGGAGATACAGAGAAAAGGAGAGGAAATGTGACAATGAGCTGCTATGATCTAATAACATGTTGGACAGGCTCATTGGATGGAATGACCTCACCTGTTCTTAAATCATTAGTGAATTGTATTAAATCATAAAAAGAATGACTTGCATCAACCACTTAATCCAATTCTCTTTTACTTTTTAAAAAAACTCCCATTGAACACTTGATGGTGGGAGAACTTTCTCTTACATTTTCCCAGTGGCCCGTAGGACCTCCTGAATACCACTCGGGACGCTGATTACACCTTGCAGCATGTGCTCTCCTAAGAGGTCCTCAGCAGCAGCTGCCATTCCCAGCACAGCTTTCCCGAAGCCAACCAGGTAGACATTCTTATGGACTGGGAAGCTCTGGTTTTGCACGGTTAGCCTCTCGCCCTCGACCCGAACATTGTTCCTTATCATGGTCTGAGGTAAAACAGCATTGACTGCTGCCTGAAAGATCTCCACGCTGTGCTGGGGAAGCGACATTTCTTTGCCAGCAATAGAAATGCTCCAATAATGCTTCCTCAGCTGCCACTTTGTGTGAACGAAGAGGCGATTGGTACGAAGCCACAAGTATTGTCCAAAAAGAACAACCATCTTAATTACAGAATCGCTGAGGTCCGCTGACTCCCGTCCTGAGGAAGAATAGATATGCATTAGTAAGATGTTAATATGGACCAAAGGTATTATTCACTCCACCAATTTTCTTCCCTCTCCTTTTCTCCTGAAAACATTTTAATTTATTTTTCCTTCCACTGTGGACATATTTCCACAGGTGCCAGGGTCTGGGACCCATTGGGACCCACCCAAAGGCCATTCTTCGTATGTCCATCTTAATATTCACCACCAATGGTCAGTGAGCTTTTGGATATTCTACCTTCACTCTCTGGAACTCCCAGAGTCCCTCCGCCTCAGTCTCTCGCTCCCCACTTTCAAAGGTGGTTTCAGTCACCCTTCCCAAACACCCCCCCCCACCACGGGTGCCCAGCCAGCAGTATAAAACACTTAGTCATCCTCCTGACATGAAAGACATTATCTAAATGTAAACTATATTGTATTCAATTGTATAATCATACAATGCAATGAGTAGCTCTATATCAGCTCACTATCAAGTATGGATGTCTATCACACAATCCTGCAGGGAATCTACAGACACTTATCAAGGGCCAATTTGAGGAGCTATGCCAAACCACGTTTCCCTTGACATACTTAACCTTTATCCAGCTGAATTAACTAATTACTAAGAAAACAGGTAGCTTGCTGACAAACAGTCAGCCAAGACCATCCATGTTGAACTTCAACCTGTGCATTCAAAGCAGCGTATAAGCCACAGGCTGCAAGTGTATTGCTTACCGATCATCTACCATAATATCCAGCATATTGGTTGTCATTTCAGTAAAGAAATGATATTGGGTAAAGCAATCTCTTCCACATTCATAGAAGATAAGCATTTACAAAGTAATGTGATAGATGCACCAGATTTTATAGCAGAACATCTATTTCCCTTGTATACAGTCACTCAGTTCATGCGGGAAAATCTCTCTTTGGGTGCTTCACATATGTGAATCAACAAGCGATTTAGGAGGGGGAAAACAGAAGACAATTGAAAGAGACATGGATCAAAGAAGTTGGTTTTTAGAAAGAATTCAAACCAGGGAAAGTGGAAATGAGGTGGAGGGATTTTCAAAGAGTTACAGATATCAGGGGCATTATGGTCACCAATGAAGGAGAGGGTCAAGGGACGTTCAGCAGGCTTGAGTTTGCAGGGCGGAGAATAGTTGGGAGAACATCCCGACTTGCAGAAGGAAAGAACACAGAAAGAACACATAAATATATGGGCTCAGTGGATTTATACTTTCCCAGCAAACGGGTACTGCAAACCCCCCAAGGCAGTCAAATATGATATGATATCGAAGCAACGCCCCACTTCCTTGCTCGGCTCCATTGTCTCCCCATCCTCATTCTTGCTTTCAACAAGAAAGCCTCACCTCACCTCTGTGACCTTCTACAACACTCAGGACCCGGCTGTTCTGTTCGCTCAGTGAACACCAGCCTGCTTCATGGTCAGTTTGGCAAATCCGACAAATGAAACATTGTAATAATAGAAAATTATTACCAAATGCAAGGATTATTATTAAGGATTATTATCCCTGATATTGGTAGACCAGGAGTAAGCATCGTTCAAAACCCAAAACATTGAGTTCATTCTAATTAGATTCTGGGTTCATGTTTTGATTAACTACTGTAGGTAATATTCCGACATTAGGTGGGAAAATTCATAATTTTTGATCCAACTGGTCACCAGAATTTTGAAAAGACTATTATGGAACGTGAAACGAGTTTAAATATCCCTCCCACCCACTTTCCAAAATTAATTTAGGGTTAATCCGCTTTATTTACTGCTGTTTCAAGGCAACAAGAGAAGCAGCTACAGCAGTTATAAAGCAACTAGTGATGGATTACATTGAAGGGTAATGATTATCCAGTTCTAAAGCAGCTGTAAATTATTAATAGAGGGGTAATGTTGATTATTTGTAGGTTACATTTTAAAATGAGTTGAGCAAACTTACCCAAGATTACACACAGTAAATCAGTTCAAATTATTCATTTAACCAACTGAAATTTAAGCAACAACTGACAAAATGGCGATTGAAACAAATTCTCTGTTGTTTCTATAATTTAAATGCAACAATTTGGCTCATCATTAACAAGCAAGTGACTTGATTGTCATTCATAGCTTCACTGAAGCCCCGTTAAAACTTCTCTGCATTTTCTGAAACTTCTCTCACCCCCGCGTTGCATTCCGCTCCAGTGTTAGGTTACTTAGCCCAACAGATCTAGGATTACTACAAAGTGCATTTACCTTGTCTGGCAGCATTGAGTTGTCACCCGCCGAGACTGATGTAAAATCCCAGCTGTGTGAGTCTGAGCGCAGGGAATTGCCATTTTTATCAATGCACTGTTCCCTCCTCCTCGTTATAGGTCAGCACATTATTTGGGTTTGAGCCTGTCTGCATCACAAGTACCGCCTTCCTATGGGTGTAAACATTTCAATATACATCATTTGTAAAAGTGAAGTTTTTAAAAAATGTGATTGTTTTAAAAAATTTGATTGCGAAACATGGCAGCCATTTGCGCATAGCAATGTCCCACAAACAACCATGCAAGTGAGTGACCAATTTTATTTGGGGGATTATTAGCAGGAACCTAGGAGAAACTTCCTTGTCTTTTCGAATAGTGCAATGGGATCTTTAACATCCACCTGGACAGGCAGATGGCCTGGGTTTTAACATCTCACCCGAAGAACTTTGCAGAACTTTGCTTTGCAGTGTCAGTTTAAACTATTTGAGTTCCATTTCCTGACTTAGAGCATGAACCCACAACCTTCCAACTCAGAGGCGAATGTGTATCAACTGAACCACACTGACACAATTTTGGGGTTCAGGATGTATATTTTATCCCTCCAAAAATCATTCACATCACTTTAAAGTACGTCCCGTGAAGCACTTGAGAAGTCGCAAAGATGTGATAATGCGCTATATCAAATGCAAGGATTATAGAATGTATATGGTCTGTGAAAGGAGCAGTGTTATATTAATAATAAAAGTTATATTGGCACCTTTTACATCAGGACTTCTGAAAGTGCAGGAACAATGAAAAGCTAGTTAACAGGATCACAGAAGAAGCCCCTTGGTTTTGGCAGTCAAAATGTCCATCAACACCCATTATTTCCACAGGCCACACAAGTGGGCATTTTGTATGCGCGAGTCCTGAGACAATGGGTGTCAACAGGGGTTGTGATATCAAGAAGCATCAGTCAACTCTGATCCCGTCCTCAAGTGGGGACAAAAACATGACATTGTTTTTACCATCAATGAAACCTCCAAACGTTAATAATTTAATGAACATTAGTATTAGTTCAGCTTATCAATGCCTTAAACCTCTGTTCTAGAAAAATGCTTATTGATGTATTTATTATGCATGCAGCCTAAATCAATAAATTAAGTGATAGGAATCCTGAAATAACTAAGTTCACAACCAAATCTAACAAACCCAGTCAGTAGGTAAATAGAGTTCCTCAAAAGCAAGAATGCTTGGGCTGTGTTTCTTGTGGGAAATTCCTTATCTTTTAAGTGACTCAGCCAAGATCTGTAAGTTTTCATATACCAGTGCAGCCATGTGCTTTTCCACCAGCACTTTACATGTAACCTGAAGGCAAATTTAATGCATCAAAATAGGTGAAAAAAGCATGCAGTAATCAGATGGTAAGTTACTCAGGTAGATTTCTTAGTAGCTAGCCACTGTCACCTTTCTCTGTTCTGCAGAGCAAGATTCTAAATCTATTGATAAATCATCTTAAAAGGAAAGTGCTTTTTTTGTGAATTACAAACATTACTGCTTAAAATTAAATTAAGCCTCTGTTTACTGAGCGGTAATTTGGAACCCGGTTGTTAGATATTGATGGATCGCTTTCCGGGGGGTAAGAATCCATCTCCCCAAAATAATAATAATTAGATAACTCTCTCCATAACTGTTTGTGCGACACTACTCTACGCAATTGGCTGCTGCGTTTCACCCACAAAATACAGTCAATCCACTTTACAGTATATTCTATGAAGTGCTTTGAGACGTCTCAACAACGTGATATGGCGTTATATCAAATGCAAGGATTATTATTATTAAGAAAGGACAATTCATAATATTCCAATACGTTATACTGTATTGTCGCATTTAGTGCTCCCCATCATATTGCTGTGAAGGGCATTAAAATGGGACTGCATAACCCTGCTCACCAGAGTTGGGCAACACATGACTGAGTTTCTGTAGATGTTTTATTACTAGCATTTTTGTCACATCTTGACAAAAAAATTAAATTCACCTACACTGCACAATAAATCCTGTGAAGTGCTTCCAACATGAAATCGCTATATTTAATGCAAGGATTATTAATAAAATATTACTTGAAAACAATTGGAGATCAGAGGATGTTCTGGTTTTACCAATATTAGCTGGATACAGATTGCTTTCCGGGTTCCATGCTCAGAAAGTAAAACAAATATATTTAAACTATATTTATCACGTTAATATAGGAATCCAATTTAAAAATCTCAGAAAATTAGTTTCCATACATTTTCAATTAATAATACTATTCCTTGCATTTGATATAACGTGTTATCATGTCTTTGAGACGTCTCATAACACTTCACAGAATATACTGTAAAGAGAATTGACTGATGCATTGTATATTTTGTGGGCGAAACGCGACAGCCAATTGCGCACAGCAGTGTCCCACAAACAGTCGAGCTTTGAGCACTAATTTTTTTTGAAGGAATTATTACCTCCAGAAAAGCGATCTGCCAATTTATCAGTCCAGCCAAATGCTAAACATGAGTGTAGTTTCTCCTTTAGTTTGAGCCACACAAAAATGCAACTCTAAATGCAACCAACTATTTAACTCTTGCTTTGACATTTTTATGGAGGCATTTCAGCTGCTGAATGAGTTAGAGAACTTAATTAGAGAAAAGGTTAATTAGAAGAATTAACCATTGTTTTGCTCAGTTAGGACAAGTTTCTCCTTTAGTTTGAGCCACACAAAAATGCAACTCTAAATGCAACCAACTATTTAACTCTTGCTTTGACATTTTTATGGAGGCATTTCAGCTGCTGAATGAGTTAGAGAACTTAATTAGAGAAAAGGTTAATTAGAAGAATTAACCATTGTTTTGCTCAGTTAGGTGTCTGACAATAAAATAATCCTTGCATTTAATGTAGCGCCTTAACACGTCATCAAGATGTCTCAAACGTGCTTCATGGGATATACTGTAAAGTGGCTTGGCTGTATTTGTAGGCAAAACATATAATTAGGTAAAACAACACAATCATTAAGACAAGCCAAACCAAATTACTGAGTTCTACATTTGCATAGAAATTTCCCTATGTCCGTCCGGCATGGCATGTACCTGCTCACCTAATCCTACACAGCATCAGATGCAGGTTGGCAACAGCTGAGCCTTGGGGACCCAGAGCATGTGTTGGGGTGACTCCTGGAATTTAAAGCTAAAAATCGGGTAGTTTGTCAATGAAAATGTTTCCTTGGGAAGCCTCTTGTCCAGCTATGACCAGCCTAGGGTGTGGTTTGTATCGTTACCAGTCCAGTTGGAAAAAAAATCCCAGCTCCTAGTGCTGGTCTGCTGCTCCAAACCCCGCTGACCATTCAAACTGAGCGTTCCCAGCAGCTTCTATTTTTGTTTTCAAACTAATAGCAATCCTTGCGTTTCATATTGCACCTTCTTACATCGTTGAGAAAACTCAAAGCACTTCACAGAATATATTGCAAAGCGAACCGACTGTATATTTTGTGGGCGACTGGCAATCGTGCACACGAGTGTTCCACAGTCATGCGTTTAGTGACCAGATCATTATTATTCTTTGTATATAAGGAATAATAAAATAGTGATCCACCAATTGACTAACAACCAGGTTCCTACGTACTACAAGGCAAACAGAGGCGTGTGGCGTAAGGAAACGTGCCTAAGGTTTCACCCGTGTCCTCTCCTCTCGCTCACTAAACTAAACCAAGAACAATTAAAAGGCAACAGTGACAGATGTACAAGTTTATGAAGGGCATTTAGAACGGGCATCAGGAAGCATTGTAGCATCTAAATAGCTACAACGGGTTACCAGGAAACGTTTAGGACACCAGGACACTGGATCTCATACCCAGAGAGAGAGAGAGAGAGAGAGTCCCATTGACGGTCAAGTGCCCTAAAATGGCGACGTGGAGGCTTCATCGAGTGCAGGGCGCATGCGCGGCTCCTCCCCCTCCCCCCCCCCACAGGGTGCGCCAGAAATTAAATGATGTTGGTCGCCGAAAGTCCGTTAAACACGAGCCCAAAAGTAGCCCAATATCATCCGCCGCCCCCTATGGGTATAGCAAGAGCGGCCGATTTAGGTCCGTGCTTTTTTGAAAACTTGAAAACAAAAAGGGTTTTGAAGGTTTAAATAAAAAAAAACCCGAACATTAGGGACCCGCCCAAAGGCGTTTCACTTCCAACGAAAAGTCGCCCAACTGGGCGTGAACCCACCCGATCCGGCGACATTGAATCATCGAGAGCAGAGAGCATGCGCACCTCCCCCTCCCCCCCCACAAACCGACCGACTGACTGACTGACGCGGGCCAGGGCATCATGGGTAAAACAGCGCTTCCCGCCAAGCGCGTGCAACTGTCCCACAATGCGCTGCGCGGCAGCCCCGCGCTGTGAAGGGGAGAGCTCGGCGGCTCGCGTTCAAAATAAACAGCGCTCGGCCATTTTCCCACCGGGCCGTTGCAAACCGCGGCGCCCGCGTGAGCGCCTTCACTCCCCTTCCCCCTCCCCCCCCTCCCCCCGCGCGCAAAACCGCCTTTTCACCATAGTTAATTTCGCTAAATAACCACCGTCGGCGGTGAGTGAAAGCCGTGAGGAGATGAAGCTGACGGATAACGTGCTGCGCAGTTTCCGAGTGGCCAAGGTGTTCCGGGAAAACACCGACAAGATCAACTGCTTCGACTTCTCCCCCAACGGCGAGACGCTCATTTCCAGCAGCGACGATGACTCTATCGTACTGTACGACTGCCAGGAGGGGAAGTGAGTCTTTTTCTTGTGTGAGGGTTTTTAAAACAATTTTCACAAGAAGAAGGAACGAGCGAGCGAGAGTTCCTCTCCATTTGGAGGCCTGCAGCCTCGGCCTCCATTTTCAGTAAGGCCGGACGGTGTGTTTGGGGCGGGGAGCGAAGAAAAGAACCGGTTTGCAGCAATTTATTCAGTGATTTTTTTTTCAGTGTGACCCGACATACATTTACTTTCCGCGCCAAAATAAAAAAAAACGACTGCGACACCAAACACAAGTAGAAGCAAAATAGATTTTTTTTAATTAAAAAAAGCTACTTCTGTAATGTAATATCGGAGGTTCTTCCATCTCGTTCTAATGCTGAAGTAGGATATTTGCTTTTCTTCCTCTTCTTCCAAAAGAAACCCCATCTCCATTAAAATGTTCCAGATTCTTAAAAAAAATCTTGCTGTGCTGTAGCAGTAAGATATGATGGCTGGAAAAATCCTTTTCTGTCAGTGTTGTTCAGCATGCATGCAATTGAGAATTTCTAAAGGGGCTGATGTAAATATTATAAAGCATTATACAGATACTTCTGGCATTGAACACGTACAGCCATTGTTTCTGGGTTCCTCGGCATTGGACAATCCCTATTAAACCTCATGGTCTTGAAACTAGTTCGTTTTCTTGATAAGAGTGCCACGTTTTTATAAATAATTTAATGTCCTGCTAAGATTCTTGCCCTTTTGTAATGTTAATGTAATGTCGGAATGCAGTTAAAATGAAAAGTGTGTGTAACATCAGATGATTCTTGAATTGTGACTGTAGTGGCGTTCGATCTGTCCGTTCACATTATAAACTGTTACATAAAGGCGAGAGTGCAGCACAGAAGCAGATGGATCTCAGATCAGGTGGCAAAATCTTTCCTCGAAATCCAATTGCTCAGCACAAGGAGGTTTTTACATTTATGTAAATTGGACTGTGCCCTGGTCCTACATGGACTTATTATTACAACCATAATATTTTCAATATAAATGTACACTTATCATGAATTTTGGCACTAACTGATCCAAATTATTAATTTATAAAATTGAGATGCCTTCATGAGCCAATTGATTTCAGTACCTTGTGTGCTTTTTGGCTTGGAATTGAACTAGAAAAATCTTTTTTTTAAAAAAAAAACCCCACATCACTTCCTCATCTAGGAGGACATGCGCGAGGGCAAATGGGATCTACTTCCAGCTGAACTGGCTCCCAAGGTGATGTGCTTGGTAATGGAATGTTGGAACCAAGTGAATCCTCTGAGGCAGACAGGGTGGTCTTGTGGGCCGTATTCATCGGCGGGTGGGGGGGTGATTTCCTCCAGCCCGCCAACTCAATCACATTGCGTGTCCGCAGCCCTGACTTGGTCTGACCCGGCGTGACAAACAGTGGCACGAGGCACTAGTTAGCAGGGGAACCTGTCAATCACTTTTAAACCAGCAACGAGAGAGAAAGATGCCCACAGATACAGAAAGTGAGATACATATGTGCAGAGAGAGATACAGAGTCACCACTCAGCGAAAAATACAGAGAGACACAGACCGACAACTCATCACTATCTATTGTTTTAAATTTTGCATGATTTTTTACATTGCCTATTTAAAATTGCAGTGTAATTAAAATAAACTGAAATTAAGTTATACAGTTGCACAAGTTAAAACAGGATTTCCATATGAATCTTATGGGTTATGCTTTTGGAAGGGAAACACAAAAATGTTGCTTATGTGGCCCACAGGCATTTCTCAAGTCTGGCATTCGGCATTCAATAGCCAAAAAGTTGAACCACCCTGCTCTAAGGTGTTTTCGGTAGTCCAGTTCCTAACCCGACGTGTAAAACAGTGTACTCCAGGCACTGCTGTTTACTGATCAGGGTCATTGGCAGGACTTGGACTTGGGAGCGGAGATTCTTACAACTCGGTTCCCCTTTACCTTGAAAACCAAAGTCCTAGTGGGTAGGGTGCGCCTAGCTGGGCAACCTGGTTTAACTCAAGCAGCACTTCCAACACATTTTTGGTTCCTAAAGCCCTAGCTTTTGCCAACTTTCTAGAATTAGGTAAGCAGGGTGTGTCCCTCTCGGAGCATACAGACACAGAACGTCCATGTGTAGGTGCCAAATATATGCATAGGAGCGCTTTCTGGTTTGGATATCTTGAGTGTCAGACGCATGGCTGCCCAATAAATTGTAGGAGGATGGGCAGGACAAATACTCTAGTTTTGCCAGTTCTGCTATATAGCTTGTCAATGGAAGGTTTGAAGATGTCTTGTTTGGTGAATGAAGTATGTTCTCTACTTGCGCACCATACTGAGGTTTAAAATCTTGTTATTTTCACCACATTTTACTCTGATCAGGAAAAGACCCAAAAGTATACTTGTCGATTTCTGAATTTAATCAGTAAAAAGTGCTTTTCGTTGGGTTTTCCAATCTTCTCCAAATCAAGGAAAATTAATTCCAACAGTTAAACATTTTTTAAAAAAAAACTTTTGTAATCAAAAACTGACCAACTCCTATGGCGTAAGGTCGAAAAGATTCTAAAAATCTGGAATGGGGAAGGAAAATATATTTGATTATTTGTTAAACTTAAAAGTAAAAAAATATTTTTTATGGGGAGTGAGGTTATTTTGAAACCTGTTCTTTTATTTACTAAAATTAGTAGAATATGATGGCCACATGGGTGTTAAATCATTGGTTCATTGCTCATTTATATTTTGAATGTGTGAATAGTGGTGCAATTATTGAGTAAATACTTAGTCGGAGGAGGATGTGTTGATGTGTTTTCCATGCTGAATGGGTTGTACAGTACAAAGCAGTGCTCAAATTGGTTTGATGGACCACCGGACATTGTCAGGAACAAACACTACTGTGAATTATTAAGATGCACTTGAATTTATCTCCTGTGAAGATAGACTTCCTGTCAGCTAGGATGTCTCTATTGTTAGCTCAAGTATGATTACATTTGAGTTATGGACGTTGCCTTTTGTCTGCTCACTTGAAATAATTTCATGTAAATATTTCTTGTCTGTTAGACCAAAACGAACACTCTACAGTAAGAAGTATGGGGTGGACCTGATCAGATACACACATGCAGCAAATACCGTGGTTTACAGTTCTAACAAAATTGATGGTAAGTTTTAACTACTATTCTAAACTTTTTTGGTTACTTAGAAATGTTGATCCTTTCAAGAGATACACCTTTGCATCTTGTAAAATCGACATATGCTCTAGTGTAGTGTTGGAGATGTCAGCTTTCAGATGTAGCTCAGTGGTTAGAGCACTCACCTTGCAAGCGAGAGACCTGAGTTCAATTCCAGGCCGGGCAAAATCTTGGGCAAGTTTCCTTACTCCACACGTCTGATAATAATCCCTCAAGAAAGAAAAACAGTAATAATTCGGTCCCTTCAATCCACGATTGTTTGTGAGACACTGCTGTGTCCAATTAGCTGCTGCGTTTCGCCCACAAATATATAGTCAATTCACTTTACAGTATATTTTGAAGCGCTTTGAGACGTCTAGAAGACGTAAAAAAGGCTACATCAAAATGCAAGGATTATTATATTATGTTTATTGCATGGTAAATAGAAGTATCTGCATGTTCATGTGGACATTAAAGATCCCTTAGTATTATTTGAGAGGGGAATTTTATTTGTTGTCTTGGCCACCAATCAATCAGCTCCTGGCTGTGGAAACATTGAAATGCACAAATGATTTGCTTCATCTGCCTATAAACATATAGTCACTACACTAAACAGTAATTACTGTGAAGTGCTTTGAGATAATTTAATGTAGTGGAGGATGGGAAGATTTAATACAGCACACATTTGTAATAAGTGAGTATGAATTGGAAAATCTGGAAATCCGTGTATTAAACAACAACTTCGAGTGAAACCTTTTAGAAATCTATAATAGTTGAAGGAGCCTTTTATCGTGAACTTTTTCAATTTTATACCACAAGTGGCTTTAATCCGTGATTTCAATTTTAATAATGTTTCTGAACCTCTTTTCCCCCTCTCACATTTTAAGGTCAACGAGTTAGAAAATAAAATAATTGGGATGAATTTGAGTGTATTTTGTGTCTGTTAGTTTGAATATCTTTGTTTTAAGATGAAAGCCGATGAAATCATTTGGAAAGCTGGCTTGGAATGGAGGCGTTACTGAGCCAACCATGTGCAAAATATGAATTAACATATGTGGGTGAAGCTGCAACACCCCGGGTTATTGACAAAGTCTCTGTAATGATGTTAATTCAACTTTGTAACTCTTCCAAGTCACTTGGTACAGTGAATTTATTAGCACTCACTGGTTTTCATTAGCACTCGCTGCTTAAAGGGAAGTAATGCTCTTTAGGGAAGTATTTATAGTGTAAAATACTTCCTCCCTGTGCATTTCCATAACTTATTACAATTTCCTAACATGGTCAGGGAATATTAATTTGTAAGACTTTCTACTAAGACTAGGTTCTGATGTAATATGCTGGATCAAAGTCTGTAATTATCCTTTGGTCTTAGCCATAAATTTGCTTATTTGTGGGGTCAGTATACTTTTTCTGGGATTGCTTTCCTCATTCCTTGATACTGATTTACGGTGTACCTAGCAGATGAGTACTGCTTCTTAACAGAGATTTGTTTGGGATTTAATATGAACATTTTTGGACCTTTACCTTTAATAACAAAAAACATAGTAATATAATGTTAAGAGATCAGCTAATTACATTGGATTGCAGATCTGTGCTACACACTGAGGAAACATTTCCAATTTATTGTTTTGGAAGTTTACTAAAATCGTATTAATCTCTTACAAAAAATGGAGATTTGTGGTCTTGAGTGTAATTTTTAGTGTAAATGTGAAAAATATATATTTTAAGGGAACACTTAATAGAGCAACATTGCTTAACTTATTATTGCAATTGTATATTGTGGTCTAAACCTGAAGAGCCATTATTAAAAAATAGAAGTAAGGAATAGCAGTCCTTTTGAATATCCTCATTCATAATGGCTGCCTTCATATGGAATTAACTACCGTAGTTTATAATACAGTAAAACTATTTAAAAGAAAATCTACGTTTCGAGATCCTGCTAATTAGTACTCTTACAGAGTATATCACTTATGGTCTGTTAGGAAATACAAGCACAAATGCAAGTCCTATTGTATTGCACAGAACGTTGGAACAGTAAAATGTGTTACACATAAATTGATAGGACTGCTTCTACATTCTCAAGTGAATCCTTAAAACATTTATGTTGTCTTAGATTTCTATCATCTCATCTACTCAGGAAATATGTATTTTGCAGTGAAAGATTTTAACTTAACTGTAATTTAGCATCTATTTAGTGCTTTGAGGGGGTTGCACTATAGACTGATCATTGGTCTACACAGAGTTAGGTGGCCTTACCCAGTGAAGGTCTTACAAGCATTTCAATTGGATTTAGCACTTAGAAGTAAGTTCACAGTGGGCAATCAAAAGATCTGATTGTGTTCCAATCTGTGGGAACAGGTGAAGTAAGCTCACAGTAAGTTAAGTAGCGAAGTTGCTTGGGCAAGGTACCGGAGCGTTTGTACCTCAGTGTGAATAAAGTAGGAAGAAAATGGAGATGGGGAACTAAGTATTGGGATTGTCTATTATTAATTAAGTGTTTTGACACTGGAAGATTTTTTNCTAGAACAAGAACCGGAATGACGTAAAATTGAATTGTTGGCATTAAAGCTCTGTTTTCTCTTGTCAGAACTGAGGCGTTTTGCTGTTTACTCAGCCCAACTAAAGCATTGTTGGTGATCCAAAGTCACTGATTATTATCATATCCAACAATCAAATCTGTCCAGGATGTTTTGTCTTTGAGGTGGATGGTATGAGAACTTTTCCTTGTGTGATGTGAAGGAGCAGACACCTGGATATTATATTGCCTGTGCCCATGCAGAGGTAGTTGTTTGTACAGTTTGAGGGTTTGTGACACCACCCGGTTGATGGAGATAACTGTACAAGCCACTGCCTTGCTTGGGCCAGAGACCAACATCACCCTGAAGTGACCAGGAGCTACTACAGAAGTACCTGCTATGTTTGAAGAATCTAAGTCTTATGAAGTTGTATAAAAATTGTATATGTGTTTTCTCTCTCCTTTCTTTTCTCCCCTGATTGAGCTGAATATTTCCTGAATGTTCTTCTATTGGTGCTGGCACCTCATCCAATTGACCTTTCCTTGTTGCTAGGCCAAGAGTGTAGACATATTGACGCAGCTGAGCTTGATTCTGTGTACCTACACTGATTCTGTGTACATTCAATAACAACAACAAGCACAAAATTACATTTGTAAAGCCCTTTCACGTTATAAGGACGTCTCATGGCATGAGATGGAGTTCCAAAGAGTGGGTGCAGAGAGGCTGAAAGCCTGCAGTTTGTGGAGGGAAGTGTTGGAGAGGCCGACAAGCAGGGAGTTTCCATAGTCGATCCTTGAGGTGACGAATGCGTGTATTAGGGTTTCAACGGGCTGATGAATGAGGCAGTGGCGGAGGTGGGGGAAGGCAGAGTCATGGCCCGGATATGGTGGAGAAAGGACAGTTGAGGGTCGAACAAGACGCCCAGGTTCCTGACTAGTTTGGTGAGGTGGAGTGTGCATCCATCCGTGCCTGTGGTGCGGAGGCGCTGATGCGAGCCAATCAGAAAGGCCTCTTTTTGTATGTTCACATTCAGTGAACATACACAAAAGATCCCAGTGTTTACAAGCAGAATATATGATGTTGTGCTCTTATGTGCTTCAGGGCATTTCTCAATTTTGCTGTTAGTGTGTGATGGGATTTTTTCCCCTTATCCAGAAACTGTTATTTTCAGTAGAAAAGTTCAACTGATGTGAGACCCAAATCATTATTTCCAAATACTGTAATTTATATTCAAAGTGCTCAGATTTTGAATTTATCACAAAGAGTTCTAGACTTCTAAGGACAGATTATTCATGTAGAACTGTTGGGCTTGCTTTCTGTAGAACAAGACATCCTCACTGTACCTGTTGAGGGCACCTCCCTTTAATGTCGTGACACAGTGCATTGGAATTGAAGCAGGCTGCTTTCTAAGACTTATTGAATTTAAAATGCTAGTTGTAGGATTTGTACTGCAACAAAAACTAATCAAATGTCTATTCCTGTATTTTTGACCACATTTTTAACTGCATGCAAATTGCTTTCTGTGTTCTATTTTAGATACCATCAGGTATTTATCACTCCACGATAACAAGTACATTAGATACTTCCATGGTCACAGTAAAAGGTGAGTGAAGGATTTCTATTAACTAGCCATTTTGTAATAGTAATTATACTTATAATTCTTAATCAAAATGGACATGGGCAGGGGGAATGAAACCTCCCTTTCTACCTTTTACTGTTCTCATTCTTTTTAAGTTAGTAGTCTGTTTTCTAAGAAAAGGAATGGCGAGTAGAATAAGATAAAGTGATTAAAAAGGAAGAAAATCTAGAATGAAAGTACACTTCTTTTCAAAGTACTCCCCAAAGATAGTAGAAAAGAACATAAATGCATCTTGCACAACAAATCCTTATATTTAGGAAATTCTGTGTCAACCTGGCCCAGTTGGTATCTATAAATACCTAATATCTATATCTTCTCTCTGAGTCAGAACGTTGTGGTTCAACTGAGACTTAGACCATGTATAGTCTACGCTGACAGCATGGAGTACTAAGGATGTTCCACTGTTGGAAGTGCTGTCCTTCAAATGAGACGTTAAACTAAGTTCTGCCTGTTCAGGTGGACATGAAAGATCTAATTGCTAACAATTCCTCAAATAAAATTGGTCATTCACTTCATAGCTGTTTGTGGGACATTCATAGGGTATAGTGTTCACTTTACACTATATCCTATGAAGTGCTGTGAAGTCCTCCCAACGTGAAAGGTTCTGTGTCGAATGTAAGGATTAATATCCTTGCAGTCTATTTAGATTCCTAGGCTGCCACAGTGACATATTACAGGGAAAGAATCAGTGTCCAGGAGCAGCTCCATTATTTATTTTAACACAATGGCCATTTGGGAACTGAATGCCCCACCCTGAAGAAGCTCATTCACAGTTAATAACAATACCTAGCCTACACTGTCCTTTCTGGGTTGATTGTCCAGCTCCCACCTCCACCACACTAAATGGATAAGATATGGTTCATGTCCAGCTCATGTATGTATCATACTTCATGTGTCAAGTGAGCTGAGCCATTGGAACACAAACTAACTGTTCAGCCTTTAAGTGTATAGAAAACTATTTCAGCTTTTTTCAAAGAATCTGTTACATTACAATGCTAATTTCATAGCAATGATAATTTCTACAAGTTGTATCGGCCAGTTGCACAGGGTAAAGCTGGGCCATTGAGGTGAGGAAGGTCCCAGTCCTGTGGTCCCAGCAAAGGTATAATTGGTGGTGCTACAACTGGTCTTCGGCTCTCGTCAGGCAGGGGTGGCATAGAGAAAGTCAGCGAGGGGAATAATCTGGTAATTAGCAACCTTTGTAACATTTTATGGTGTGGAGCTGTATAAAAATTGAGAATGACTGTCTCTAATGTTTTTTGATGTTTCAGAGTTGTAGCATTGTGCATGTCTCCGGTGGATGACACGTTCATGTCCAGTTCCCTGGATAAAACCATCCGATTGTGGGACCTCAGATCACCTAATTGCCAGGTGTGTTCCCTGTCTCTTGTCTTAATGATTCCTAAATAACAATAACTTCATACAATATGCGCCTATACAAGGCTTAAATTGTGGAACTATACCTAAAGATAAGTGATTTTTGAAATTGAGTAAAACCAAATTAAGATTAATTTTCAACTAGAATACTATGAGCACAGTATATTTTTTAAATATGTTTTTATGTTTTTATTTTCACATAAACAGTATGAATGTTTTTTAAAAACCTTGATTATATTTCACACTTTTGTGAACAGAAAGCCATTTAAAANGAAAAACCCTTTTGTGTGGGTGCTTTGAAAACTGCCCCCAGCAAACATCTGTGCTTGCATATCAGATGAGAGTACGTGCTTTTTGTTTGACAGTGATGGATCGTTGACTTTTTTTAGCTACTTGTCCTGCTGCTCTGAACAACAGGACAACTAGCTGACAAAAGTCACCGTAGGCTGTCTTGATCAACTGACTCGAGAATTTGGGAGCCGGCCAGGAAGCATGTCCCTCATTACTGAATAGTGGTGTGTAACAGAAAAAGTGGCATTATCTTTCATACATTAATGGTAACTTACATTGTACCTTTCTTACATTAATAGCAGTTGACTGTATTTGCCGTTGATAGAAATTCATATTTAAGTATAATTCCAGTGGAAACATAATGAACGGCAACTTCTTTGTCAAGAAATTGCAGTCATTGGAACCCACAATACAGCTAGTAAAAGTAGATGAATTTACAGGAATATAGTTATCTTACATGCTTGTCTTTGTCTGCTGACCAATAGTTTATTTTCCATTGCGGACAATAACATGACGTTCTCACAGTCTAATTGGATCGGGGAAGAGGACACTTTCTTTGATCTTTCATCCATGAATTACTTAGTTGAAACCTTTCTACTAAATATTGCTGTGTTCCAAGAGGAGCATTTGGATTACACTATTTGTTGGCTTTAAGAGAAATACTTTCTAATAACTATTTAAAAAAATGTTTTGAGGAAATTCTCTTTGATATTTAACATTCAGCAGTAATTAGACTCGAGTACAGCACTATTGCTGATTATGTCCAAACTAGGTCTTTGATCTATTAATGCAGATATCTTCATTGAAGATCAAAGGATCAACTCAGGAATACCCTGGCAACGTTTTAACTGAAGTTTTGCTATGCTGAAGGTTCTAGTGGATCAAACGCATTAATTCTAATGCCCGTCATTCTCTCTTAATTTGATAATTGTAGAAAACAGAAATAGCCTAAAGGGATAGGCACATAACTTGTGGATGTGTTTCACATATTTGTATAGAATGTTGGGGGAAATAATCTTATTTTAAGACTCTTTTGTTCTGCCCTCTAGTTCATCCCATTTGCTGTATTGAAAAGCGAAAGGGATGAACTCCAGTAATGTAGGTAAAGAGGACTGACTCCCGATGGAGGGCAGCCACTAGCCGATGTTGTTAGCTATGTTTGCTCTGTTTCCAGACTGTCCAGGGAGATAAAATCTGAGGATTCTGGGCACAGTGGCTGTGATTTGTGTATGGAATCTTTATGCTAATTTTGCTAGATTAGGTCCTTCAAAGCGCTGTGAAGGATACATTAGTCACAGGTTTAAGATTGTGAAGTAGCCCAATTGCAAATGGAAAGAGGCACGTCACATGTATGCAGACTGGTAACATTTTATTCCTCCTTTGAGGCATTTTTAAAACTATACACACATATCTTCTGGACATTCTTAGTGCTCAAAATAGTTCCGATTATTTTTGGGGGTCATGTGGAAACTTCATGCTCTTCCAGCTACTGAGAATTCACAAAATTTAAGAAAGTTGCTGCAAAAATCAAAAGAGCTTTTTTTAAAAAAATTAAATGTAATCAGTGCAGCAGGATAGGAATTGTACGCTTGCACGGTTCCCCACACACTGAGTTACAAGGCAGCAAGTAGAGAATGGACATTCTCCCATAGAGGGAAAATTAGTTCAGGCCTTTTGAATGTGCTGCTCAGTTCATTTTAGAGGACTTCTGCCAAAAGGCCCAGAGGGAGGTCCCCTGTTCTTTCAACCACAGATGGTGAACAGTTACAGGGGAGAAATAGGACGAGGGAGGATCATAGATATAAATACTTTAAAGAGACTTTTAATGGGATGAAATTACCTCACCATTGAATTTATAATCTGACATCCTTACTTTTGTCTCCTTTGTTTTATTCATCCTTTACACAGGGTTTAATGCATCTTCAGGGGAGACCAACGTGCTCCTTTGATCCTGAGGGACTTATATTTGCAGCTGGTGTAAATTCAGAGATAATTAAACTTTATGATCTACGGTCATTTGACAAGGTAACTCTTCTACAGTGTTCTTCCTCACAAGTGTGTTGAAATTAATTTCCAGTTGCTCTTGATTTTTTTAAACTAATGCATTCTATCAACGATAGGCAATTTACAGCATGACACAGCCACACAGGTAGAGGGGGAAGGCAAATTACAGTATTGGGCAACTTGCCTATTTCCTTCTCTAAAGCTTCTCTTTGTGACGGGCATTACAAGGTTGTGCAGCAGATCGGCTGCTCATGATTTTGGCTTTGTGTAAATGGTGGGGAGGAGGGGTTGTCAGAGGGGAGGCTGGTAGAACCAGCTTTGTGGAAATAAGCCTTCTGTCTGGAGATTGTGGAGGTGTGATGCTTATATATGGTAATAAAAGGTCTGATGGAATATATGATATTTATTTTGCTGAAATATTGATGTCTTTTTAATATGATTCTTCTATACAGGTTTCTTGAGGAGGAAGTGATTATTTTTTAGCTATTTGTGCCTATTGTGAGAACCTCTCTTCTCCTCAGCTCCCCCCATAATACATTTAAGAATCCTAATTGCCTTGTGAGAAATTGTGGAATTTTATCATTAAAGTCATTATTTCATATTTTACTCTCAAACACATTTCCATCATAATAAAATCTTGCTTGGTAATGCTTTAATAATTTTAGCCCACTGTATAAATCGTTTCCCATTGAACATGACACTTTGCTGTTGGGCTTCTGGCGGGAATGCTTATTCCACCTACGGGTTCCACCCCTGCAGTCAGCACATTGCTTATACTCTTCACCCTTTTGTGTTTTAAGAAGCTGCCATTTGGCTCTCGGCTTCCTCTACCTCAATAAATTAAAATATAACATTTCTTGCCAAGTATTGCTTCCAGATTCAAGAAACAACCAAAAATAATAATAATCAATGTTCAAATTTTGTTTTTGTTAGGGTCCTTTTGCCACATTTAAGATGCAGTATGAGCGAACATGTGAATGGACAGGATTGAAATTCAGCAACGATGGAAAGCTTATGCTGGTATCCACCAACGGTGGTATGGTTAGGCTGATTGATGCATTTAAAGGGGCAGTGCTGCAAACATTTGCGGTAGGTTGAATATTCTGAACATGATGGAAACAGCAAAAAGAATCACTTGTAGAGTTTCCTGATGGTTGAAACCATGACGGGTTTAACAATGACAGTGGAAATCATGGAGTAGAATGGGAAGGTGATGGAGTTTTAGAGTGTTGACCAAAGGCTTGGTAAAATGTGTGCGTTTCTTTAGAGGGATTTGAAGGCAGAGAGAAGTTACAAAGATGGAGTTTAGAATACGAATTCAGATGAGGGGACCTTGGAGGGGTCTGATGGGATAGAAATACACTTAGAATTAAGCTGAAATGAAAAATACCTTGGTAGTGCCCCCCCCCCCCCCCCAATCAGGGATTGTTGGAATTCATATTCCAACAATCCATGATGCATTGCATCAGAACTCTCAACATGCTCTGCTATTAAAGACATTTTGAAATAGTGTTTGAATTAAAAACATATTTACACAGCTCAAAGATACCCTTTTAATCCATTTGAGGGGAAACTTTAATGGAATTCACATTGTACTGTGCTTCAGACTGATATTACTGGGCCTACAGTCCTAACCAAAGTTTTTAGATATGCTGCTGTAGAGCATTTCAAGTAAAAGCTAGGGTAGGTTGCTCTTGAGTGCCTTTTATGTTTAGTATTACAGCAGCATTGGTAGAGGCTCTGGGGACAAGCTGGCTGCATTCTCTGGCAAAACTGGGATGTCAGAAGAGCAATTCAGGAAAGAGCAGAAAATAACATTGAGACTTGTTTATTCAATGTGTATTCTAATTCTAGATCTAAAAGAACATACTTCCCGATTGTCTCCATTGACAAGGTTTTCTTTTGCTTTGAAGCTGCTTCAGGAAAGGCATTCTGTCTGAAATTGTTCATGTCGAGGTGCCTGTGTTTAACAGAAAAGCTGAGATTATATCTGTGCCGTGTGGGAAATCCTAGCTAAGGGACACCATGTTGTAGCATCAACCCAGTAACACACTAAGGGATTTGTCTTTTAATGTTGTTTGTTTATACTGTGCACACACAAATGAAAAGTATGATGATGCCTTGTAACTGAAGAATAATTGCAATAAAAATCGGTGCTCAGTCACTGGTAAAATTTAGTGAAGGTTGTATTTTCATGTTCTAGGGATACAACAACAACAAAGGTATTAGTTTGGAGGCTTCATTCACACCCGATTCTCAGTTTGTGATTATAGGTGAGTGTATTAAATTGAATGGCTTGCTTATTAGATTAAAAATACAGTATATTTATCTGTCTGTTCTGGTAATGATTTGTTCCAAGCCATTCATGAAATTGGGGATATTTAGGGTTTTAATGCTGAATTACTCTGCCTGGGAACTGTTTATTTTTAAATGCTGTTTTAAAAGAAATCTTAAAAAGGGAAGTGTGCACACCTTAGTGAAACTGGATTTCACATGATTGAAGACTTTTTTAAAGGGAACTATATCCTCAACATTAATACTGTCAACAATTTTGCCACTTGATTGTTTTTAAAATATTTATATCACCCCAGGGCCAGAAAATGTATCACCCAAGCATCCACTTATCAAAAATTTCACATCAGCAGATGCATTACCCAGGGGAGACGGTCCGAAGTATCTGCAAAAGCTCAGATATTTGCAGAAAATACTGTGTCAAAGTGGGAACAAGTAGACTGTTCAGAGACCTCAGGGAAGGGAAAGGTTTATGCTGAGTTAGCTGATCTCAACCAGGGGGAGTAGTGGGGATACATGTGGGGGAACAAACTCTGTATCAACTAACTCTAGTGGTTTACTTTTTTCCGTTCATCTATAATTGATGTTGTCCCACATTAGCTCTGTTGAGATCAGTAAGTTACTGTTTACAGAATTATACTGTGGACATGTAATGGCGTGCCAGTCAGAAGAACTGTGCTTTGGCATTTCAGTCCACTCAAATACAAAGTGTTCCCCATTAATTAAATTTTATGGATATTAATAACACAGTAGTAATTAAATACGCATCTCCTGGTAGGAAAATTTTTAAGGATGTTACTGAAACCAATTAATTACTCTGGTTTTATTATGCTACACAGTCCAGGGAAAATATAACCAATGTTCTCTTCTGGGACCAGGCTATTGCTGGGCCTATCTGGTGACTCTGCAATCTGTTGCGCCTATACAATTAAGTCCATCATGGATGCAATACGATACAAAATTACACGTTGGGCGGACGTCCCAAGGTGCTAGACAGTCAGGGATTTGGACCTGATCATGGGGGTTTGGGGATCAAGGGGGTTGGGGATGGTTAGGAGGGTGGCCGAAGGCATGGTCGAAGAGAAGGGTCTTGGGACGTGCCTTGAAGGAGGCGAGAGATAGTGAGGCGAAGAGATAGAGTTCCAAAAGGGTGGGAGCAGATACCATTTCAAATGGGAATAGTTTGAATTAAACAATGTTGGTCTTACTAATCTTGTGCTCTTTCTCTCCAATTTTATAAATTTGGATTTAGTTGCATTGATTATAGAAGAGTGGAGCTTAAATGTTAAGATTTTGTTCCACAGGGTCAGAGGATGGTAAAGTTCACGTGTGGAATGCAGAGAGTGGGTTAAAAGTTGCTGTTCTGGATGGAAAACATACAGGCCCTGTCTCTTGTCTTCAGTTTAATCCCAAATTCATGACATTTGCCAGTGCATGCTCCAATATGGTAAGTGTATTAACCTATGGAGTTAATATCTAGTAGCTTTAATTTCTTTTGCTCTTTGTTGGGAACAATTAGCACAAATGCAACAATCTTGTATATTTTAAAATAATTGCTTGGTGGGGGAACTGGTTGATAAAGCCTTTATCAACCAATAAAATGATTCAAAGGAGACTGTCCTGTGAAGTGGCATTGTTTCATTTTTAATTTAATATAAACAACTTTTTGAGTTCAGAGTATTTATACATATAGGTTCTCATTTGTTTTAAAATTAATTTTTTGGTCATTCGTGAGGGCTGTTTGTATCATCTAGAGTATTGGCCACCGATATGTAGAAGAGGAGGTGCCTTGTTTGTATACATGTCTTAAGTCAAATGAGGATGGATTTAGAAGCAGATGATTTGCATGTCACCCACCCAAGGACAGCTAATTTTGCAGAGGGTGGAATTGTTAGTGTTTATTTTGGGGATGAGTTGTCAGCTGGGTGTTTTGACATGGGACAAAACATCTTGACGAGGGACAAAATGCCTTGCTGCTGTTTTTCAATCAGTCTCTCCCTCTTCAGTGGGGCTTTCACTTTCCAGATTATAAGTAGCTGAATGGGAAGAATCCTATTTTCCAGTGACCTGTTCACTCAGTTTCAATTATGAGCCTGGCCCGCTGGTCAATCCGCAATAGTGCCCTAGTGAACTGAGGATGTGCCCGGCTCGGACATTGGATTAGTGGATTCACCAAAGAGCATTCTAATGAATTTTGTATTCACTGAACACTTTGGTAACTATTCCATTTCTTTACAGGCATTTTGGTTGCCTACAATTGATGACTGAAGTGTCTCATCTTCTTGAACACACTGAAGAATTAACAGCCAACTGACTCCAAGTGTTCCAGTTGTTTTGTCTATAGATTGGCTGAAAGATCGGCAGGGTTTTTTTTGTATGTCCTTACATCAGCCACTGAGATATTGATGGACTACAGATGTATCACCACTGAATACTACAGTTGATTTTAGTAGAAGCAGAAAAATCCCCACCCCACCTCCAGCATTATAACTTCAATCCCATGTCTCATTCTTTCTTTCTCGCTTTGGGATGTGCCAACTGATTACTTTTTAATAACCATTATTGAAACTGTTAATTGAATATGTTGGGCATCACAGTAGCCAGGCAGTATTCTGATCAACCCCCGGTGTGTTTTGGTGTTTCTCAGCCAACAATTATTGCCAGTCACCCAGGTATTTACTAACATTCCACTTCAGTATTTCATCGTAATGAAAGGAAGACAGGATCTTGATTAGATTAATGGTTGAGAAGATAGTTGGAGGGGGATTAATTTGCTGAGTATTGAGATTTAAAAGCATGTCTTTTCTGTGTTTTTGTTTTATCTCAATTTTGTTCAGGAATGTCTTTCTATATTGTAGATTTCTGTACAGTGTAAAACTTTGCTTCACCTTAAAACAAAGCTTTACTTTGTTTCAAAGTGTTTGCCATTGTTTGCTTTGTGTAAATATTTGGGCGCGTGCGAAGTCTTATTTTGTTTCTTTAATGTGAATTCCATTTGCAATTTTTCAAGAGTCAAGTAAGATCTAAGATGGCCCAGTGCTGAAAGCACACTTCTGTAGTCGTGGCAAACAAACCAGCTCAGTTGTATTTTTATTCCATCTCCATAATTTTGAATTATGGACTTTTTTTACAGAAACTTCTCAAAATAATTGTGAGATGTGCTTTGGAGTATTTGAAGTTGCTTTTAGTTTGGGTGTTTTAATGTGCCAAAGAAAAGTAACAATGATAAAGTGACGCACACTTACTCTTGCTGAAACTGACAATTCCTAATTTGCATCTGGTTTAGGCAACTGTGTAAACTACAGACATGAGGATTTTTATGAGCTCGTCGGGGCCGAAGTTATTTCAATTGTTGAATGTAATTTTTTTGTCTTTTAGATGCTTATTTTAAAGGGAAATATTCAGATATGCATCTAGCTACAGAATCTAGTCCATTAGACTAAGATGAGAAAGCAGGATTCGGGTACCAGAATCCCCTTCCTGCTATGGCTGGTTGACCAAAAGACTGTTGAACTAAATGTGTACAGATGCCCAAGGCTCGGTTCAGTTATACCGATCAAAGCGTAGTAGACTCAACATGTTTGAGCTCTTCGAACACTGGTCGTGTGAAATGCAAAATATTGTAATTAAGACTGTGGCAGTTGGGAACAGCTTGACCTTTGACTTGTCATTTGTGGAGATTTGAGGTTCTTATTTTTTTAAATTTCATTGTCTGAAATCATGTAAAGTGAAGCACAATGTGATGTCTGTAATTCCTTCAACTTGCATTGTTCAATAGTTTTAAATGACTGTTTACTGATGCAGTAACTCCTCGAAGAATACAGTACATCTTCAACAGGGTGCAGTCCACTGACACCATCTCATGACAAAAATATATTTTGTACATGATGTCCAAGCAGTAACAATTCAAATTGCTGTGGTCTAAGGAAGTGTAAGCAACTGACCCTAACCAGTCACTTATGAAATAATTTCTATAATATCCTGAATTCTGTGGTATGTGCTGTTTAGCATTAACACTCACATCTATTCAAGCACTCATTTCAAGACACAAAATCTGGATTAACTTTTTTTCATAAAGTCTTGCAATAAACTATTATGTAATATGTATGCAACACCTAAAGTAATTAAATTGAGGTCAGTGTTATTGTATGACATTTACTCCATAAAAGGACAATTGTGGTGCAAATTATATCTCCAGAGATTCTGACTTGGATTCTGTGGATAGGAGGTTCCTATAACCATTATTTCTTGTGGGAGTTTCTTACTTTGTAAATGGGTTTGTTTCCCTATTTATAGTACTTACGATTATACAGTTCTACATGAAAAATAGTATCCTTTAAAAAGTGACAGGAACATCTATGTACCATCTCATGGAAAATGGGAGGGCATAACTTAGTGGCATTAACCTACTTATCCAAGGATAGTGAAGGAAAACAGGATGGTGTGTCACCCTGCATCATTGCAGTTCCTTGTAAGCAGGGGTATTGGTGAAGGTAAGATTAGGTCGGTCATCCTCCACCCTCCTGGCCCAGTTAAAAGTACAGTTAGGAAGAGATACAAGGAAGAGTTTAAAAATCCCTGAGCTTTAGGGAACTAAAAACAGTGAGTGACCTTTACAGTTTACTCCTGTAAATATTATCTGGGTGGCATTCTTTTAACTTCAAATGGCTTTTACAAAAAGCTGCTGATGGAAATATTGTATCAATGGGATAAACTGCTGGAAATCTTTGTAAACTGTAAAATTAAATTGTCAATATGTGTTTTTCATGAATACAGAATGCTATTTTTCCAGTTTCTTATACTTCATATGCTTAGTATTGATAACGTGAATTTCAGGTGAGCAGAGGTCTATTGGTAAATGTACCTTAGGTACTGAAGAGCTAAAATGTTTATTTGCTGTTATTACTGGCAAAAATGTAATGCAGGTCCACCCTATTCTGAGGATGAGGCTGGGAAGGCAGTATTTGGAAATTCCAAGGTGAGTAAGCTACCTGCCATTGATTATTACAGAAGCACAATACTGCTTCAGATGGAAATAATGATTGACTTGCTTGAATTATGCCCAGTCCTCACAAATTGCATTTCATTGACAAGCAGATTGAGTGAGTTGTGTCCCAGCCTAATGAAACACATTTTGCTATGAGTGTAAAGGGTCTTTGAATAAGAGGACATTCAACCCATTTTCTCAGAGCAAGAACTCAATACACAACTGATATTAGCAATATTTTCCTCCAAATATCACTAGTACTCGGGCGTAAACCTTGTCCAGCACATTGGGATAGCTTTCCAATGTGAATGGTGATATATAAATGCAAATGTGTTGCTGTATTAATTTCATGATCCAGTGATTTCTTAAAGCTTTTGGTCTTCCCACCGTGAAGGTTCTTATTTGAACATTTTATGTTGATAAATATGCTGGATTGTAAAATCAAGACCATTGCCAACAAGAAATCACACTTTGCTATCCTCTAGTAAAAAAAAACACAACTTCAGTTACAATATTTAATTATAAAAATAATCATTTGGCATCAGCTTCAGTAAAGTGCATAAAAACCATCTCTTTTTACAAAGTATCAACTGTATAGTCACAGAAATCTTTCCGTGCATTTGGGTGAAGAATGATCCAATGATGTGGAGGGTTTATTTTCAGTTTTGCACATAGATTCATTACACTTAAATCACATAAGTTTTATTCCAAAATGTGGCCAAAGTAACTTCAGCAGCAATATAACATTTTCATGTTGGCATGAGAAAATCATAGTAACTATAACCAGTCCCACATGTAAAATATACATCTAATATTGAAGGTCACAATCTCTTGCAGAAAGCCTGAATGCTGTTCTCTTCTGTGCTTCCTACAGATTAATGGGTAGTAGCAATCTTTGATGGACTGAAGAATTTGGCAGGATACAAACCACAGTACAGATTTCTGCTGGGAATGGTAGCTGTCAAATATTTGGAGATGAATTAGATTTCAAATTAAAGGTGGGGTTGTTGCTGCCATATTGTACAGTGGTATTACAAATACTGAGATGTCATCAAAAGAGGCAAAGCTGCCATCTTCTGTTTTCCACTCATTGCCACATAATGTGCCTTTTGCCTTATGTACAAGGTACTGAGCCAGCATTGTGTACCTACAAAAAGAAATGAATTGTATTTCAGTTAAAACTGCACCAGTCACTGGGCAAGGCGGCTGGTGCCCAGCAACTATACCCAGTACAAGTTAGTAACTTCAGAGAGAAAGAAATTGCTTAAATTAATTTAATCACCACCAAGAGAGTGAACTGAACATGTACTTATTTCATCTTTTATAATTAGTTACATTAGTTTTTTNAAGCTTTTATGTTTTACATTCATAAAGACTTATGTAATAGTTGTGGAGGTATGTACCATTCCTGGTGGGGTCAAATAGGAAAGAGCGTTCACATTGAAAATCCTGAGTTTTCTGATGTGTATGTTAACTTGTGTTTTTAAAAACTTCAGTGGTGCTCTCACTTATCTTCAAACCTTTCTTTTACCCAAAGCACATGTGATTTTTAAGTTTTAAAAATAACCAGCAGCCAACTGTCTAAAAAGCAGTAATAAGAGCCAATCAATTAGTTATATTTAAATATATATAACATTCTATAGAAACAATAATAATCAATCAAACTAGCTAATGACGCTGAGCACATTTTTCCATCACGGAAAAGACTAATGGATCAGCTTTCAGCAGCCACTCTACAGAGCCATTTGGAGACCTTAAAGACTTAAAGGGCCAGGGCCTGTTTCTGTTTTTCCCCACTGGGGGATCAAATGTCAAAGCTTATCGCAAACAATGAAAATAATCCTACAAAGGTGGGCAATCTCTGCTGTTTTGGTTGGGATGTTGATCAGTTAGAAACCTACTGATGGCAGTGATATGGAATAAAAAGGATTCTATGAAGCAGAACCTTTACCTGTGTGGATGTTTGTTCTCTGCCAAAAAGCTGTCAACAATATCTGCCACTTCTTTGTTGGACAATATATCCCATAAACCATCTGTGCCCATTATCAGAACATCATTTGGTTCAAATTTATGTTGCGTCAGATCAAATACAATCACCTTTAAAACAGAAACAATCCATGAGTGCATGTTGTGGGGGACAACAGTTGCTTTGACAAGTACAAAACACTATACATATAAGTAAGTCAATGATGACCAGACATCAATTTAAAATAGTTAGCAAACAAGCAAATGGGAGTTAAACATTTTTTCATGCAGTGTATTTAGGATATGGAGTGCCAGAGACGATGGTTAAAGCATTAGCCTCCATAAAGAACTAGATAAATACCTAAAAAGGTGTAATAAGCTACAAGGGTATTGGGGAAAGGGCAGGCTATTGGGACTGAAAGTTTTGTTTTTAAAAGCCCAGCACAGGGCTTTGGTGCTATAAATTTCTATGGTTGATGTCTAATAAGGTGAATTTTATATTAAAAATGTGAATCAAGACTTTCTGCAAGAAATTAAACATTTATGCACAAAGTGAAAACAAGGGCACCAGAACTTGAAGTTAAAGGGTGAATGAAGGCAGCAGTGAGACTGAGCACAAGCCTAATGTTACTGAAGTCCCGAGAGAGAATGGCTACATCCAACACAAGGGATTGATGACATTACCAGCCAGAGCAAAAGAAAGAAAACAAGGTGCATATGGGCTGCCACTCTAGACCTCTCGCTTGAGGTTTGAAAGTGGGGGCGGTGAGTTGAAGGGTCTCCAGGAAGGAGTTCCGAAGTGCAATATAGCTGAAAAGCTCGCCCTCTGTTGGGGCAGATAGTGCAGGGGCATGAAGCAGGTTGGTAGAAAGGGAAAGACTCTTCCACCTAGTACATGGTTTCAGGAATCAGAACATCTTCAAATTAAACCTGAACTGATTAAAAGTGAAGCTTATTTTTACAAAGTGAGTTGGTGCATTTTTCAAGGGAGTTGGTGAGGTTCTTATATATTCAGGGATATGAGATGAGAAAGATAAAGAGTTAATGTAATGTTAGAGCAATCTCTACTGGTGAATGTTCTGCTCCAGCTCTGATATGGTTTTAACAAACCCCCTAAAAAATCGATGTATCCAATAAACACCACAATCCCTGTAAACGGGTAACTGTCCTAACATGCACTGCGCATGCGTTAGGGCCTATTTCTCCCCTCTGTTTGAATCTTCCATTAAAAGTGAAAAACCCTGATTTTTAAAACTCAAAAAGGGCTACAAAATAAGCAAAATTAACCCCCAAATTAATTACATGATAAAACATAATGGGAAATTTGTAGCTTATACTCAAAAGATTTTTAAAGCTCCAATGTGGTTTCACTCAAGTCATGAGTATCCTCACTGAGAGGATATAGATAAATTCTAGTTACCCACTGAATTTTAATCAACATTGTTGACAAAAATCAATGCTAACCACACCTTTTCACTGGTGACTAGAGTCCAGTGTTTCATTTGTGCAAAGAACTGTCCCACAAATAGCTTTGCAACTTTGTGAACTATGAATATTCACATGCTGTAAAAGTTTATGACATCAGGATATGCACGAAAGAACACAGTGCAAGGTCACACAAGGAAAGTGCCCATTTGCACCCAAGGTCCAGGGCAAAAACCATTAAGTGCAGAAAGTTCTGCCTCATTCTGCTGACATACCTACCTCAGGAATACAGGACAAGAATGGTTTTATGTGGAGGTTGGTTTCGTGAACTTGCAGCTGATGGTCCCCCAGCCCCCGTGTGACTGCAATGGTGCCCATCACTCGAGTCTGGAAAAAGCCAAATTTAGAATTAAAACAATCATAGAAAAATGTTAACAAATGTTGAGAAAAACTATAACTTATAAACATTAATACAGTAGAACTCCATTATAACATGAGTGCATTTGAGGCATGGATCCAACCAACTAGCCAACAATCTTCCAGAGAGAATTGATTGTTCACTTCAAAGCTGTTTGTAGGCATTGCTGCACACAATGCCACATTCACCTTAAAAAATAGAGACATGGAGATGTGCAACATTATAGGCGCTATATCAAATGGGTAAGGATTATTAAATGCAAAGATTATTTACCTAGCAAAACAATCACTAACTGTGTTTTTGTGGTCGCCCACAATTCACTTTGCAGGATATTCTGTGAAACTGTTTGAGACGTCTTAAAGAAGTGATAAGGTGCTATATCAAATGCAAGGATTATTTATTACCTGCCACACTATGTGTCTTTCAATTACCTTGTTTCTAAATCACTAAACGGCAATGATTTCACAATGCATTACCTGTTTCCCCTCACCGTGTATTACTGGGTATTTTAGATCGTCTTCCTCTGCAATTTTGTATCCCCTGAAACAAAAGTTAAGGTTTTTTTTAAAAAAACAAAAATAAAGACAAAACCTAAAACTAAGATAACACACTTATCAAAGGTAGGCAATATCTTTAGGCGGTAATGATGATGGTATTATGGTGAATGTGTGGGGAGTACATTATTACATTTAGAATGGGTTTGATATGATGTGTCACTACTGCCTTGTGAAAACTATTTTGATAAGATGGAATAGCAAATAATTAGAAAATTGGAAAAAAAAACTAATGATAAGAAACAAAGGGTAGTGATCAGTGGCAAGTGCTTGTATTCTACTGTCTTATAATAATAATCCCTGCATTCGATATAACGCCTTATCTGGTCTTTGAGACGTCTCATGTTATTACAAAATAGTCATCAACCCCAAATTAATATTTTGAAAGCTCAATGATAGAAACATTTTGGTGAATGGTATACTGTCCTATTCAGAAATTCAAGTTCTGTTACTTTCTGTTTGCAAAACACAAGTGCACTAATTAATAAACAGGAAAGCTCTTTATAGTTCTGTCTGGTTCCTCCCTTCCCTAATTACATAAGTAATTTCCCCAGAAAAATGTAAATGTTCACTTTTGTTGTGTTAACATTTTCATGAACAGTTTTCAGAAATTCTTCATTCTCAGTCTTAATTTGGAAGCCAGCTTTCCACATTTCTTTAACTAAATAAAATTAATAATCCTTGCATTTGATATAGCATGTTAATACATTGTCTCAAAGCACTTCACAGAATATACTGTAAAGTGAACTGACTGTATATTTTGAAGGCGAAACCAAGCAGCCAATTGTGCACAGCAGCGTCCCACAAACAGTCGTGGATTGAGTGACCAAATTATTTTTATTTTGAAGGAATTATTAGCCCCTGAAAAGCGATCTGCCAATCCACTAACAACCAGGTTCCTACTTACTGCTAGGTAAACAGGCTTGTGGAGCAAGGAACCTTGCCCAACATTTTGCACTGCCTGGAATCGAACTAAGATCGTCTCACTTGCAAGGCGAGTGCTCTAACCACTAAGCTACAGGACTCCACAATGTCTTCAGTGGTTAGTCTCGGGTTCTCACAATAAAGATGCAGTAAGCCTCACATAAGTTGCATCAGTTGGGACCATACATTTAATATGACTTATGCAAAGTATGAATTATATCAAACTTACATAAAATATAAACTCTTGATCGGTACTTGGGCAGATGTACGACTTAGGCAATTAAGGTGATTATGCGCTATATCAAATGCAAAGATGATTATTATTATATCATTTATACAGATCAGACTTAGGCGAGTTTTACTGTATTAAAAGAAGAATGTTTAAAGTCTGTATGGTATCACATTGTGCAGAAAAACAGGAATTTCTGAAAAATTCTCAAAGTGTGTGAGGAAAAAGATCTTAACATAAAACAGCTGATTTTTAACCCTAACAAATCGACACTTGAGTTTATGAAGAGCACTCTGCTGGGGAATACTTAATGATATCGGAGACTGGGAGGGCAAAAAGAAAACAATAAGATCATTAAAATAGGAGAAAATAAGTTTTAAATAAAGAAAGAAAAATCTTGGTTCAGGTGTTTCAGACATCAGGCACGGACAGTCTCTCACCAGCCGCTCATGAAGTAATCCCTGTACAAGATCTTCTTTCCAATATCGCTTCTTTTCACTCTGCATGGAAATTCATATCTTGAGAACTCACCACCAAGTAACTCGGGCTTCAGAAAGGCCTGTGGAGAAACATGGAGGTGTAAACCCGCAATTTTATTTAGATAGAAATCATATTAATAATTTGTTTTTCCCCTCAAGACCATAAGCTGTGGATTTGTAAACTGAAAACATATCAATGAAAATTTGCTACTCTATGCCTTAACCCTTTTTTTTTTGATCAGGCAAGTGTCTTGACACATACGAAAATTCATCCCCATGCTTAAGATTTTAAAACCAGTCAGACATGTATGCCACCTAGACACGGAAATCCCTATGCACTGTGACTCCTTAGCCCTGACGTCTTAAATATGAAGAAATAACCCAAACTGCACTAAAATGCAAATGTCTCAACAGCTATTTTTGCAGCCTTTTTAAAACAGATCTGTCAATTTAGTGCTATAACTAGTTAGATGTGTGCCCTCATCTTTGAGAAACTGAGATAAGAGTGCACTCAACCCCTTTCATATAGCATCCGAGCAGCAAGAGGGAGAGCGCTAAATTCACACTCCCCAGAAGTGAGAGGAAATTGTTGTAATCCACAATACCACATACAACCTATCTTTTAAAAATACCATCTACTGTACTTGCTTTTAGTTGACAATTAAATCACAAAATTGAAGAGACTGTAACTCTTTTGAGAACATTTTAAACAATGAGGGTCTTACCAAATACTGAATCTTTTGTCTCTCCGTCTCGGCTGTGAATTCATTGGACAAAGATATTTCACGGTCCTTGAACACAATGATCGCTCTTAAAAATAAATGAAAATTAAGCTCACTTGTATCCTATTTGGAATAATGATCAGGTAAATGTTTGTACATCAAAACAGATAGCCAACTGTGAAATATTACAATTAAGAAATTACAACAAGTTCTTAGAAGATTTAAGACTCCTTGCATTTGATATAGCACCTTCCACGTTAGGACATCTCTGTGCACTTTTCAGGATTTACTGTAAAGTATAGAGACAATGTATTTTGTAGGCAAACACAGCATTGTGGATTGGTACTATTGGGCAGTGCCTTTACTCACTGCCATTAGGGGATCCCAATAACATTTACTGTAACAGAGATGGAAGTGGACGAATAATAAAGTCTCAGAGACCATAAGCCATAAAAATATGAAATAATGCTCAGGTGCTCCCTGTGGTCAAACACCCACCTGCTGTCACCAGCACTTGCCACGTAGAGCTTCCCATGCAGGAACAGAATAGTCAGGGCTGTGCAACCTCCTGACTGGCTGGTCGATTCCTGGTACTTACAAATAAGTTCATCCTAGAGTAAAGAAATCATTTCAGAGTCAAACAGCACCGTATTCCTTCAAAATATCTCAACAACAATGTTATTTTAAGTACAAAGATGTACATTATTTGGGAAAACACAATGGCTAATCTGCAGCAAGAACATCACACTGACAGCACAACAGCTCTTGTGTTTCTTGGTATATTGGAGTGAGGGGAGCATGTTAACTTGGACACTGGGAGAATTTCCTGCTCCTAAGAGACATACAAGTTGCAACGAAGAAAGAGGCAAGTTGGCTTCAGCTGTTGCTGGCCCTGGGATGCTATCCCTCATGAAGGGCGCTATATAAATGCAAGTTGTTGTTGGGGTAGCTCCTCCTCCACGGGAGCTAACTACCTTCATCCTTCCATATTGATCTTTTTCAAATACTTTTCCAATTCCGTTTACAATTGTCTTAATGTTAATTTCTAAGCTTCAATAGCAACTTGTAGCAAAACATCGCAAGCTCTAAAAANCATCTGCATGATAAATAATCTCTTCTCCCCTCAATTCTCCAAGTGGAAATCCTGAGTTTACATTTGGTCAGAAACATAATTCAGACTTTGCCTTTGCTCAACTATGAGCCTACCCAGTTGTGTCGTCACTAGAAGCCATATACTCACACAGCATTTGAAGGCCGTCTCCAGTGCACCCGTCACTAAATGGTCGATGCAAATATTTTTGGTCATCACACAATAACGTTCGTTTTGCTTCCCTTTCTTCCCATCAAGATGCAGAGGGGGTGGGACATTCAAAGGACCCCCAATGATCTCATAGATTTCCTCCAGCTGCTCTCTGATACAGTGGTGTAAATGCTTGGAGGCCTGGATTGCAGCAATGGAGCCTCCGTGACCATCAAACAAGGCCCAGTAATAACACTTTATCTCTTGATCTTGCTGTGAACGAAATGAAAGACTTGAGTGAGGCTCAGAATGTACACCCGCCCCCAAGCAAACATGATGTTACGAAACGTATTGAGAAATCCAGTGAAAGGACAGGACACACTTTGATTTGTAGCAGTAACAATCCTTGCATTTGATAGAACGCATATTGTGTCAAAACTTCTCAAGATATTTTAGTTTTCTGTAAGATTGTAGATTAGTAGGTGGACCCAGCAGTCAATTTGAAAACAGGAATCCACATAAAGTAAATGACCACTGTTTATCTGGAGGAATGCTGACCAGGATAAACTCGTTGAATAGTGCCATGGGATTTTTAACATCTACCTCAGGATGGTCCAACCTTTTGGCTGCTGTGGGCCGGATGCTGGATTTGAGAAATATCTCCAGGACACTTAAGCAATATTTAGTGTTTTCCTTCCAGAAACATAATATCTACATCACGCCCTTTTTCACGTAGGAAGGAGGTCTCAAAGTGCTCGTCACTGCCGGCTGGGCAGCCGAACTGGGTGTGGGAGTCAAGTCATATCACAGCAACACTATCAACCCCATTTTCTCAATCACTGAAATTCAAGATCAAGGAACCCTGGCTAACTTTCACCAGGTTAGCATGACAGTGAAGCTCATCCCTCATTCCATTCATTTTCCTGATTTGAACTTTTCCAAGTATTTCAGGGCCTTTTGATACGTAATGTAGCCTATACAAAGGATGATTTCCTCGAAGTTACATGTCTAGTTCAACTCCCCAACAGTCCACAAGGCAGCTGATAATATGCAAGTACAAACAATTCAACAATATTAATGTTTCGTGTGTTACATACAGTGTCTTCATGTAAGCACAGAAGGACCCATTCTTCCTCATTCTCAGCCTTTTTCTTCACGATGATCGATGTACAAACTGCTTGGTCTTCATTGAAAACACTTTTACCAGCATTTATCACTCTGAGGAGAAAATTGAAAAGCAATTGAAGATATTATTAGCAGCCAACAGCATAACTGCCTTTTCCCCATTATATCCTTCAATGTCTCTCCCACATTCAAATGAATGACTTTGAGGCCATTCACTTCATGGCTGTTTGTGGGACATTATTGTGGAGAGACTGGCTGACGCTTTTATCTTCAAAATACAGTCACTCTACAGTAAATCATGTGAAGTGCTTTGAGTCAGTGATACCATGATAAGGCGCTAAGTCAAATGTAAGGATCATTATTACATCTTACATCAAGCTCTTAAGTGCTTCAAAACTTTGAAGTGTGGTGACTATTATTTGAGCAAACAAGCAGCTAATATGTGCCAGAAACTGCGAACAAACATGAACAAATATCTTTTTGTGATGTATGATGAAGGCAGAAGATTAGCCAGGACTATAAAGCTAGCATAATAGGTGTGCACCTGTGAAAACAGCACTTCCCTGTGAAGCACTCTGAGACATTAATGTTAGTTACTGTATAAAATGTAAGGATTAATTATTATATATTGAATTTTAAGCCTTCCCCCGTATTCAATAAACAACAACAACAAATTAGGGGGGCTAATCCTGCTCCTATCCACGTCCGATCTTGGGACCACATAATAATAATCCTTGCATTTGATATAGCACTTTTCACGTCGGGAGGACGTCCCAAAGCGCTTCACAGAACACGCTGTAAAGTGAATTGACTGTATGTTTGTGGGCGAACGCGGCAGCCAATTGCGCACAGCAGTGTCCCACAAACAGTTGTAGATTGAAAATGACCAATTTATTATTGTTTTTGGAGGGATTATTATTAGGCTCTGTGTGGATTAAGGAAACTTGCCCAAGGTTTCGCCCTCTGCCTGGAATTGAACTCAGGTCTCTCGCTTGCAAAGTGAGTGCTCTAACCACTGAGCTACAGTAATCCATGTTAAAACCAGCAAAGAAAAAAAAATTCTATAAAAATTCTATTGTCATTAATATTCTTGATATGTGTTTTTAGTGGGAATCCCCTATAAAACAGCATGCCACCAAGGCCTGTACTTTACCAACAAATGGAAGTGGAACAAGGAGGAGGAGGATGATGACGACAACGCCAATATTAGATTTGTATAGCATCTTTCATGTCAGGAGGATGTCCCAAGACGCTGAACAGTCAGAGTTTCGGACCCGAGCTGAAGGTCGGATTGGGGAGGGTGGAGGGGAAGCAGGGTGATCAAAAGCACGGTCGAAGAGGAGGGTCTTGAAGGAAGCAAGGGAGGGGGTGATGCGAGGGACTGCACGATGGAGTTCCAGAGGGTGGGGCTAGAGTGGCAGAAGGCCCGCCCGCCAATGATGGGCTTTCTTTTTAAATAATGTGATGGGAATCTACAGCTCACCTGAAGAACAGGCAGATTAGATTGAACAGTTCACCTGAAGGACAAGTCTGATAACGCAGCATTCTGGAGTATCAGCCCACACTATAGCCTCACATTCTAATGTGGGCTTTTTAAACCACAACCATCTGATTCAGAAGCAAGATTGCTACAAACTGAACCAGCCAAACTGTGGTATGTAATACCAATGATAGAAGGAATCCCAGGTGATGCGAGCCAATGACTCCTACTCACTGAGAAGCATCTGAACCTGTATTATCAGTCTCATTTCAGTGTTCACGTTCTCGTTTTTGCCTGGTTTACTGCTTACTCAGCTCAACTTTTCACTTTCGTTGTTGGTGCATCAGCCTGGCTGAATTGGTAGCCTGACTCTCACCTCTGAGTCAGAAGGTTGTGGGTTCAAGCCACACATCAGGACTTGAACTCACATTGTCAAGACTGACACTCCAATGTAGTGCTTGGCGTATGCTGAAATGTCATAGATGCCATCCTTACAATGAAATGTTAAATCGAGGTCCTGTCTGCCTATGGCCAATAGTCCTCCAAATAAAAGAAAATGGTCATTCGTTTCATGGCTGTTTGTGGGATATTGTTGCGCGAAAATTGGCTGCCAAATTCAGTTGCAAAATATAGTCACACCACTTTAGAGAATATCCTGTGAAGCACTTTGAGACATCAACAAAATGATGAGGCGCTGTATCAAATGCAAGGATTATTATCAACATTTCAGCTTGAGTTTGCAACAGATCATCATTCACTACTTCGTCTATTAGTTATTCAATTTCATGTTTACTCACACATAATTACAGCTTTATTGAAAAAAATCATTTAATTAACTCTCCGGTTAATTTGATGGAATGTTTGATTTAATGCTGCTTCCAAATTCATACAAATTGGACGCCTTGGGACATCATCCGCCCGATGTGAAAGGCGCTTTACAAATGTAATTTGTTGTTGTTGTCTTTGTGGAACTAGTTTTGCATAGAGTGCTCACAATGTCCGGAATGATTTATAAGTGATTTCTTTTTAAAGTCATTAAAAATGAGAAAATACCAACGTTGGTTGAGAGTTTCTGCCCTCCAACAACAACGTCTCAAAACACTTCATAGGACATACTGTAAAGTGGAGTGACTGCATATTTTGTAACTCGCTTCCAATATCACAACATTTCTAGCTTTCAAAAATCTTAAAAATAATCTCTCTTTGCACCTTGTTTAATTAATATCTTTAAATCTTATTTCCCTGTTCAGAGTGCACCACATTTGTTCAGCATTTTAAGAAGTTCGGTTCCATGAAATACACTACACACAAGCCACCTGTTTCCATTCAACACTTCCTGAGTATTTCTCAGAATATTGCTGAGAAGGACTTTATAATTCTACAAAACTGCAGCTGGTTATTTTCTTGTATTTCTTGTGATGGAAGACCTTTTTCTTATAAAAGACATGTAAAGGTTAAGCTAGATATTACACAAAGAGGAAGCTCTTACTGTTGACAGTGAAACCCTAAATTAGTCATGCAGCAATATTTTGGTTGTTTGCTCAACAGGAATTGATTGTTATGTTCTTTGACTTTTGGGATGTGGTTTAAAATAATACATTGCAAGAATAAAGCTTGAAACTGCACTGCTGATTGTAGAGAACAGCCCTCAAGAATTCCAGCTACCAATTCAATAATTTCTTTTTGAAAAAAACTTCTCATGCCCTTCTGTTTATTCCTTTATTCTTCCATTTGAATGAATTTTAACATTCAGGTTTCTACCCACGGCAATGAGATTAGTAAAAAACTGAAGTCTCTTTCAGAAGAATTACTGAAGGCCAATGAGATTATTAAAAAAACTGCAGGGAGATATGAAAAAACTGATGGAAAAGATCAAACTGAAAAATACTGTGACAATGCAACAAGAGAAACTTAGTGGAGAAAAGACGCAAACAATCCAGAAAGAGCAAATGGAGTTGAGGGAGGTACAACAGAGTCTCCGATTAAAGGAGGAGGAGATGTCTAAGCTACAAGAGCACCTTGAAGCCACAGTCCAAAAATTGGAAAGAGAGCAAACAACTTCTAACGACAAATGAAAGTAATATCCTGGTTGAATAAGCAACTGAATGAGAATAAACTTGCTTCAATGCAAGAGACACCGGGCTCATTTGATCCATCAACAATATCCAGTGGCAATTTGTCTTGGCCCGGTGTTGTACTCAACAGTCTGCAGGCTCTGTACAGCACTCCTTTCTCTCTCAATGCCGCATCCTGTCTCTTCTGCTTTGGCTTCAGATAATTATTCTAAGATCTTTGTTCCTACTATACGAACGAATACTGCGTCCCTGATTCCTCGTGTGCCAGGACGAGGTCTGCAGGTGCACTTTAATCCAATGGTGTCAAATTCCACAAGTTCTCCTGTATGTGACTCTAAAGTAGTCCCTTCGACTTCAACACCAACGATGACAGCAGCCTCTACAAAGATGGAATCAGTTGGCTCAGACATGAAGTACTTGCAGAAGAGGGATGGCAGTAATGCGGTATTGACTCAAGGCGTGCCACTTCAGATGGCTTCATATCCATCCAATGGAGTATTAACTAGGACACCTGTATCTAAACCAGGAAATCCACTACCAAGAGTGTCTGCCTACTTCCCAGGACAACAGCCGAGACCCCCAGCATCATGAGAGAAGAGGATGGAATACAACTAAAAATAAAAAAAACGGCACAGACTCGATGGCCGAATGGCCTCCTTCTGTGCCGTAACATTCTATGAATCTATTATTTTATTCCAGTTCCTCTGTTCTCTGAAGCACAAAAAAACAAGACACTTTGTCGCAAAAGTGTGGTAATGATAATAATAGTAATCCTTGTATTTGACATAGCAGCTCTCTTGTCCATTGCAAGTGCGTCACAGAATATTGCAGGATGGATTAACTGTGTATTTGTGGACAAAACGCGGCAGCCAATTGCAGATAGCAATGTCCCATAAACAGTGGATTGAGTGACCCAATTTTTTGTTTTGTTTTTGGAGGGATTAATACCCCCGGAAAGCGATCCAACCCACAACATTTCCAGCTTTCAAAAACCTTACAAATAACCTCTCTTTTCACCTTGGTTAACAATCGGGTTTCTACTTACTGCTAGGTAAACCGAGGCTTGTAGAATAAGGAAACTTGCCTAAGATTTCGCCCCACCTGGGAATCAAACCTGGATCGTCTCGTTTGTGAGTCAAGTGCACTAACCACTATGACACAGGACTCCAGTTATCTAATTTATTTGATCATCACTAAAAATAAAATAAGATAATGTGATGGCTTCATTAACTAATCACAGCTGGGACAGCAGTCAGGGTGCTAAATTGGCCTCAAATGGCCTTACATTGCTCACTTGGGCACAATACCAACAGGCACTCGAGTAGAATCCTTGCATTTGATAGTGACTTTCACATTGTTGAGAAGTCTCAAAATACTTCACAGAATACACTGGAAAGTGGAGTGACTGGGTATTTGTGGGCGAACGAAAATACTGTAGATAAAACATCTTTTTTTAAAAAAAAATTTACTCCCAAATAAGTCCATATTTATTACGTGCGTGTATAAATATATAAATAACATAACTATAAATGATGTGCTGCTGATACGTCGGAATTTTCACAACAGTATAAAAGACGTGTGTATGATTGGGGCAGCTGTGGCTGCAATGAATCCATTTTAAAAACACATCAATTTTCATACATTTGGAAATGTGAAATGAGAAACTGTCACCTTTCGAAAGAAAGAAAAACGAACAACACGGACAGGCCTGATCAGCACAGCTCAGCTCGGCATTTAGAAACAGAACCAATTCTGCTAAAGGTTTCAGAGTGGTTGAGATCCCACTGAGACTTACTCTGAATATCCTGTGCCCCAGGGCAACCTCTTGTTCTTTGGAGGCACCAGTATGGGTCTGAGCTGATGATCTGTGATGTCGGGCATCTCTCCCCAAGTCTTGTGTAGAAAATGCGGTCGGCAGTAAATCTTCTGATCTCGGGTTTGCACCGAGCTGGCTGGCTGTGGGCTCGTGTGTTCCTCCAGGGCAGGAGAACTCTTCTTCCTGAACCTCTTGAACATGTTTGGCCGTACCTCGTCCAAGGCAAACACTGAGCACAGAGGTAACAGGGATCAGCTGTTTGATGGGTATCATTTGTGTGTGTGTGTGGGTGGTGGGGCGGAGGGGGGAAAGGACTGAGATCTGACTTAAAAAAGAACAGAGTAAACGCCAGGAAGTTCCCACTGAATCCAAGAGCTTGAAAGTTCAGCTAAACCCAGCGGTTACTGTTCTGCTACGTGTGTTGCTCTCAACAGCCAATTGCTGCGTTATATTGAGGGGAACTGGTATGTTGTGCAATGGAACCTTACAGCCGAGTTAGCAGGAAATCTCTGCACAGGAATCAGCAACAGCAGGAGACAAAACCGCAAGCTTTACTCGTCAACGTCAATTTTGTTTCGGGGGGGAAGGGAGAGAAATCTGTACAAACCCCACCCCCGGTATGCGAGGCTTATTTGTATCATGCACACTCAGCTCTCTTGTCCATTGCAAGATATTTGCATGTTTAACTTGAATCTATGTGTGTACCCAGCTGCAGTTGATCATTTGGTTTTCCCCCTTCTGTAGGCATTATTTCCACCATCTGTGGTCAAAGTGCTTCACAGAATATATTGTAGAGTTTATTGACCTTATTTTTTGGCCAAAATGCGGCAGTCCATTGTGCATAGCAGTGTCCCAAAAACAGTTGTGGATTGAGTAACCAACTTATTTTTTTGAAGGTATTATAACCCCCGGAAAATAATGCGCCAATCGACTAAACAACCAGATTTCTACTTACCTTCAGGGAAACGGAGGCGTATGGAATAAGGAAACTTGCTTAATACATTTCTGTACATGTGAGGTTTAAGTGTAAGGATATCCCATGATTGGAACGTATAGGGGCCAGTGACGTCATTAAAAACTGAACCGCCTCCGGTTGTGCTGAAAATAAATACAAATATTATGTGCTGAGTTTGCCAACACACAGTCACTGCACTTTACAGTATATTCTGTGAAACGTTTTGGGATGGTCTCCAGATGTGACCCAAACATACAGGTTAATGGTGCTTTGCCTTTAATGTAGCACCTATTAACATCAAGAAAGTGTTTCAAAGTGCTTCAGAGGTTTTCTATAAATTTGGAGGTGGATCTGGCAGCTACTTTGAGCACAGCAATGCCCAATAAACAGCATGAATCACTAATTTTATCTGGATCTTTAACATCCACCTGAACAGCAGCCTGGAACTCGGTTTAATGTCTCATTCAAAGCAATCTTGATTCAAGCACAAAAACTTGGCAAATAATGCTTTATCAGTTTACCTTGTTAACCTAGAGACTACACCTCTGACAATGGTTGACAACTCATTTCAATGTTTGTATGAATGTTTCTATGATTCTAAAGCTGCCAAGAGAGAGCACTTGAAAACCTGGAACACACTTTAGCTTTGAACACTAAATGTGCAAAATTGTATGATTTTACCTCTTCAGTTCTTGCCATCAAGGTTTCTGTCTCCTATCATTATGCAGTTGAGGACTGCGGTACTGGGTTGCTTTACCTGATTCAGACTCTTTTTACTTCAACACCAGTTTGATGTCAGAACAGGTTTGTAAAAACATTGAGCAACAAAATGAGAGTATTTTGAAGAAATCAATCCTCGGATTTGCAGAAACTTAAGAGTTATTAGAATTAGATGAATATAACTAATGGATCTGTAAGTATGAGACAGAGAGTGTGTATAACAGATGAGAGAGGTGGAGGAGTGCTAAATGTAGTAAATGATTTCAAATGAATAACCCAAAAACTCCAAAGTTATTATTAGTCGTGTTCACACTATTACTAGTAATCTCACTCATTAACGTATTGCTGTTATATGGCGCTCTGAGCTTCAGTGATCATAAACATTAGATGTGGTGTTTATATTAGTGCAGCCAATGCCGATAACAGTTGAGGTGCAGTACTAATGAGGTGGCTTGGTTGGTTTGCTCCAGGGGCACTTAACTCTGAGGATTTCCCCAATCCCTGGAAGCAACACCACCTAATACTGTACAGCAAAATAATTCTCCTCCTCGCTGTTGTTGTGTGCATTGGCCACCAGGGGTCAGGCTTTCCTCGTAAGGGAAAGGGGACAGAATTTATTGGATCATTGACAGACCAGCAATAAAGTTTTCATACATTGATGTCCACGGATAGAAAGTCATACATTTTTACAGTTGAACCCAAGCTGACTGATGGGCTTTCTTCATTTGAACCTCTCGTGATCATTGCAATTCACCTGCGTTTTAAAGAGGATGGAAGCCTCTTACAAACAGGTCACCATGTTAATATGTGTCTTAAGCATTCCTTTATTTATCATCCTTGCATTTGATATAGCGCTTTTCACGTCGGGAGGACGTCCCAAAGCGCTTCACAGAACACACTGTAAAGTGAATTGACTGTATATTTGTGGGTGAACGCGGCAGCCAATTGCGCACAGCAATGTCCCACAAACAGTCGTAGATTGAAAATGACCAATTTATTATTGTTTTTGGTTTTGGAGGGATTATTATTAGGCTCTGTGTGGAGTAAGGAAACTTCCCCAAGGTTTGGCCCTCTGCCTGGAATTGAACTCAGGTCTCTTGCTTACAAAGCGAGTGCTCTAACCACTGAGCTACAGGACTCCATATTTCCATATTCCAGTAATTAAGCCACTGAACGAACAATGTAACTTTACCCCCTAAAAATATTGAATATGCATAAATTGTGGGTAATGGAGAAGTATCAATCTAAAATCTGATGGAATAGATACTAATATTTTTTNCATTTAATATACCACGATCACATTGTCGATGTGTCTCAAAGTGCTTCACAGGATTTACTGTAAAGCAGACAATTTGTACATAGCAATGTCTCCACAGATCGTCATGAAGTGAATGGCCAATTTTGTTTCACCCACAAAATACACCGTCAATTCAGTTTACAATATGTTCTGTGAAGCGCTTTGAGACATCTCAACGGGATGATACGGCGCTATATCGAATGCAATTATTATTATTATTATTATTTCATCTGTGGGATTTTTTGCCAGGACCCTGGGAGATGGGACCTCGGTTTAACATCTTATATCTTTATGTATTGTTTTGTTGTTTCATTACAGTTATGTAAAATTCTGCCAAACTTTGGGGTAAGATAAATAGTAAGAGCCTGCATATTAACACATATTAGCAAGCTGATCATTTTCAAAGCATTTTAATTTACTGTCAAGTGTAGTGACAGTTTTTGGAAGAAAATGTGAGCATCACAAACACTCATGAAGTGAATAACTAATTTTAATGGAGGAATGTTGACGAGCATAAACTCCACTCGCTTCTCAAATCATACCTTGGTCAGGTACCGGTGATGAATAAGAGAAAGTAGAATCAAATCAAGAATTTGAAGCAGTGAGACTTATTATAAACAGGGTTTTCAGAATAAAAAAAACGTGATTTTTGAAAACAAAATGAACATAATGAGGGGTGATTACACAACGCGGTTGCTTTTTTACCCTCCTATTACTGAAATCATGATCAAACTTGAATTTGATATAGCAATTTATAATGTTGAAATGCCTTAAAGTACTTCACAGTAAATATTAAGTGTATTTGTAGGCAGCAAATTTGCAAATAACAATTTTGCCACAAACAGTCAGGAGGTGAATGGCCAATTTAACTGGAGGACACTAGACCAGGACACAAGGAGAAACTGTTTCCTTTTCAAATATTGTCATGGGTAGTTTAACGTCCACCTAAACAGGCAGACAGGACCTGAGTATAACATCTCATTGAAAGGTAGCACCTATAACAATGAGTGCTCCCACAACACTGCAATGGAGGATCAGCCTATCTGGCCCCTGACATAGAACTTGAACTCACAATTTTCTTGCTGTGCATGCCTTTTAATTACATTAAAATACATTGTGGAGTCTTGTAGCTCAGTGGTTAGAGCACTCGCCTTGTATGCGAGACACCTGGGTTCAATTCCAGGCAGAGGGCGAAACCTTGGGCAAGTTTCCTTACTCCACACAGAGCCTAATAATAATCCCTCCAAAATCAAAAACAATAATAAATTGGTCATTTTCAATCTCCGACTGTTTGTGGGACACTGCTGTGCGCAATTGGCTGCCGCGTTTCGCCCACAAATATACAGTCAATTCACTTTACAGCATATTCTGTGAAGTGCTTTGAGACGTCGAGATGACCCGAAAAGTGCTATATCAAATGCAAGATTATTATTATTATTATTTGGGTTTAAGTTGTTTATATGGGGCTATATTCTGGTCAATCTGGCCTGAAATCCACATGGAGAAACATCTGGTTCATAAGGTTCTGCAGTGGCTCAGAGAGTAAACACTTTTGGTACCAGAATAAAGGTGTTCACATTACTTTTGCTTTTTAAAAAAATTAGCCGGATGTCTGACACGTGGGAACCCATCACCAGAATTAAAGAGTATCCAAACCAAACTGAGAATTCCATGATTCCCACCTACACGTGGGAATTCCAGAGATAGATTGTTAGAATGGAATGAGCACTTTCTCCCTGGAGGGATTCCGGAAAGTATTAAGCGCAGGATGGCAAGAGACAAAGCTGGGGGACCCCAGAGTGAGGGTTGGGGTAACTGCTGGAGTCTAACCAGCTAAAACCACACAGTGTTTGCAGTGAGCTCATTGAGCTATCCTGAAAACTACCAGCATCTTAGGTTGTAATGAGAATATGTTTATCTATACTGGCAGCAGGAGAGACTCTATCACATTATTTATTTAACCTCCACCACTTCTCATTTGCTACTCCTAAGTGACTCACTCACAGAGTATCAGGTGCATTCAGCTACTGAATCACAAGGTACGTTGTCTTTCTTCATGTAAGTTAGTTCCTCAGTCTGCAAAAGAAGCCAGTCACCATTAGATTATTCCTAATACTGCACAGAGTACATTATCTTTAGGCAGCTAGATCTTTGCTACCCTCTGTAATTAGTCCTGCAGACCTATGATGGTATTAGACTTACAAAATGATCTGACATACATGAAGTTCATTTACTGTCTTTTTGAATCACTTTGAAGAGAAAAATCAACAAAAGGTGCAGGATAAGTGACCCCCCCCTCCCCCGATATCCAATATAATTGAACAACAACTGAATTACTGAGAATTATCTTTTAGTTTTAGTGCAAACATCACAAGCTGTGGTTTGCACTCCACAAACTATAAAATTCTGACTTTTCCCCTAATATTATTTCCAATTACAGCTACCCTCAAAGTATATTGTGAAACTGGAGTGAGTTAACTTAACATGATGTGAGTTTATAGTGACTTGCATCTTTTCACAGGCCAAAAGAAAACAAGATTCAGACGCAGACGGTAGATTTGAATAAGATCCAGGATCTTGGGACATCCTCCCAACGTGGAAGGCGCTATACAAATGTAATTTGTTGTTGATTCAGGTGAACACTGACCCAAGTTCCTCTTCTGCTTCCATAAAATGGAATATGTCCCAATCCGGCCTTCACTGGGCATCTCTCACTTTAAATCAAAGCATAATGCTATTTCCATTGTGAATAAAACTTCACACTAATATAATGGGAGGGGATGTCCTTTTATTACATCACATAGATGTAGGCATTTGCCTACAAAATACACAGTCACTACACTTTACAGTAAATGCTTTACAGGGCTTTGAAACGTCCTGCCGATGTGAAAGACACTATATCAAATGTAAGGATTATCATAAGAATTATGATTATTATATGTACATGTTCATTTTCAATGGCAGTCGGTGCTGTGCATTCAACTTTCCCCCAATCCACAGGTATTATAAGCATAAAATAGGCCCCAGAGAGTCCGTCAGTCTAGTAGTGGTTAAGGGGTCAAATCCTTGACAAGACGGTGGAGCGTGTTTAAGTATCAAGATGTCCAATGCGACAACAACAACATGAAATTGCATTTATATAGCTCCTTTCACATCGGGAGGCTGTCCCAAGGTGTTAGAAAATGAGGGGTTTGCAACAAAGCTGGGACTGGGATCAGAGGTGTGGTGGACAAGGAGGTGGGAAGATGACCAAAGGCACGGCGAAAAAGAAGGTCTTGAGACGGGCCTTGAAGGAAGCAAGGGAGGGGGCGAGGGGGAGGGACTGTAGGATGGAGTTCCAGAGGGTGGCGGCAAAAAGGCTGAAGATCTGACCACTGATAGTGGAGCAGGCAGGGCAGGGGACGTTGAGCAGCCCTGTGCAGAGTGGAGGGAGCGGACAAGTTGGTGATGTTTTCAGAGGTCACAGACCATGCGTTCAATCCCCTAATGCATTACTTTGTTGGCTTTTACACCAATCTCGTAATATTCAAACTCTAGAATCTCTAGAATTTATTATTTTGACATTTTGAAATCACAATCTCCATCCCCAATACCAGTCACGTCATTCCAAGATTGGATTTCTCAGACCACAGACAATATCTTCTGCTCTTAAGAAAATCAATTTGTTCAGCTTTAATTTGGACGTTTTATTTGGCTGATCTCAGCCAAACCGTAAAAAGCATCACAATCAATTCCCTGCGAATGTGGAACACTGTACGCTGCATCCTTTTGCTCAGGGATAAATGTAGTGTATTCAGTAAACACATGGGATGAGTGGGATCATCTAATCCCTACATAATCTTTTCACAAGTGCAAAATGGGATTAGATTTCAGATTGCTGCCATGTAACAATTGCCTGGCAAACAGACTCAACTATTTGTTTCCATAGCATGATATCATGGCAATTTTGTATACACACCTAAAGCTCTCCCAGACATTCTGTAACGAACAGCGGAAAACACAATTAAAGGTAAAATTCAAAAAAGGTGCATAACATTAGTTGGGGAGGAAAGGCATAAAAATGAGATTGATCTGATTTAAATCAGTATCCTAATAGTGTAAGATTTAAATTCAGTGTTAATCAGTATAAAGTTCAAAGTTTCGAATCCTGATTTCCTTTGGTTCTGGGTTTAAAAGTCCTCTCCATTTTCTGTATTCCCGGGTCCTCTGATAATCCGCTTCATTCCTCGCTTCCCCGCCGGTCCCTTGGGTTTTGCAAAAGCCTGCTTGAAGGCGTGCTGCTTAGGGTGAACTTCTTCATAAAGAAAATTTGCTGTTAACTCTCCTCCATCGTCTATCTCCAACTGGAAAAGAACAATTTCAAACATTACCTACCTTACCTGCTGACCTGCTGCGTTTGGAGGGATCATGTTCTCATTCCATTATCAATTTACAACATACAGAGACTCAGTATGCCAGGCTGATTGCAATTCACTGACCGCTGCTGAGAAACGGGCATTAGTTGATGTCAAGTGAGGACAGGATTGCGTTTTTACTATGATGCAATCTATAAATAAATAACCTGCTCATATACTGACAGCGTAGACTCACATATGAAGAACAGCCTCTGCTTTAGCAATCTGAGGGCCGCACGAACAGCAATCCAACATGAGAACAGAGGGAAAAATGTCTGCTGCATTAAAAATTTATACAGATCAGAAGCTGTGGGACGCTACCCTGAGTAAGGGACGCTTTATAAATGCAAATTATTGTTGTCACAGGTCAATGACTCGTGTCCTAATCTTGGATGACACAGCACTAGGTAGGGAACAATTAATATTGTGCCTGATACCTTTCCAGTTATCCCAGCTGGACAGTGCGTTGGTATAGACTTGAGGGGAGAAGGTGCTCGGCCGTTCACCACTGTACAACTTGTTGAAATTCAATATCCATATATTCTGTAAAGAACAGCTCACAAACTACAGCTAAAAATATTGGATGAAAGTTCTTTATTCCTTTCTTGAGACTTCCTTCTATTGTTTGGAACTGCAACACCTTCCATGAAGATGTGTGGGATTAAAATAGTGACAGAAAAGGGCATATTGGCCAAGAGACAAAGCCTCACATTACATAAAATGATAGGTTTAGGCGGCACTCGATAACTTGCTTTGATCATTGCTAGGAAGTCCGCAAGGTTCAATAACTCCCGAAATAGATAATATTGGATTTAATCCTGCAATTTATACAAGTACCCAGATAGAAAATAAGAGACTACCTTCTTGATAACTTGCAGTTTCAGTTGCTGCTCCACTACTTCTAGCAGAGGACCCTTACAGCTGGAGTACAGCATTCGATCCTTGATGCTGCACTTGTAACCAGGCATGGAGTAGATGAACACTAGAAAAAGAAGTATATCCATTATGGTTAGAATAGGCAGGTACAGGTGAATTACAGAGTTCATTGACTAAGAATTGCAATCCCTCTCTGCCACCCTATAAACTACCTTCTGAGCATTGGCACTGCATTATACCAATATTATATTTGCTCCTTATAATAATAATAATCCTTGCATTTGATATAGCGCCTTATCACAGCGTCGAGACATCACAAGGCGCTTCACAGGATATACTGTAGTGGATTGACTGTATATTTTGTGGGCGAAACACAGCAACCAATTGCGCACAGCAGTGTCCCACAAACAGTTAAAAAAAGTTTTTTAAGGGATTATTACTCCCAGAAAATGATCTGCAAATCGACTAACAATCCAGTTCCTACTTACTGCTAGGTAAACAGAGGCGTGTGGAGCTTGCCTAAGGTTTCACCCCGCCCGGGAATCAAACCACTAATCAATATACTGCAGGACTATGACAACTGCTACATTTGTGCCAAATAAGAGACCCATTTCCATTCCAAAAGGACTAATCCATCTGTACTGAGGACCAAGCTGCCTTTAATGAACAGTGATTGGGCAGGCAGCCCAGCAGTAACCAAAATGCCCATCATTCTGAGACTAGAGATAGAATCTGCAGTTCACAACGCAAAATCTTGCAGATTAGACTACAGCTGTCTGGCAGCAAGTAATTAAATGTAGGTTTCGAATGACTGTAAGATACAACAGTGACCCCATATAATTTGCAGATACCATCTGAACCCATTAAATTAATGCCCTTCTATTTGATTTTTATCATCTATAATTAAAGATATATATAGACTAACAGCTCCATAAAATTAAATCCATGCCAACAAAACCAAAGTAATGGATGCTGAACATTTCACCATTACTGAATGTAGACATCGGTGGGGAGGGGTGGGAGAAGAGAAACAGGAGGAAATTGAAATTTAAAAAAATGTAAAAACAGACAAATTTGAAATATCAGGTCAGATTCAGCTGAACTTGCTGCTCCTCTGGGAACATTTCACAATATAGTAAACCTCACATAAGTTGCATCAGTTGGGACCATACATTTAATATGACTTATGCAAAGTATGAGTTATGTCAAACTTGCAGAGAATATAAACTCTTGAACGGCACTTGGGCAGATGTATAACTTAGGTGATTATATGATTTTTACAGATCAGACTTAGGTAAGTTTTATTATATAGACAAGATGCCAGGGTTTTGCTCTCAGTTCGAGGCATCTGCTCTTACCAATAGATTCTAGATAGTCCCCCTCATGTGAATGCTTGTAGAGGAAAAAGTGGTAGCGGGGAGCATTATTCGGGATTCTCCTTGACAGATCTGAGACTTCAGTGGGATCTGTGTGCACCAGGTTTATGGTTTCCTTTTGTATGTCCAGTTTCTGGTAGTGAAGTGGGAAATTTAAAACAAATCAATACAGCTAAAGAAAAAAACCTTCGAAGGAATCTTATTTTTAAGTAGGAAGTTTTACTCATGTACATTATTACTGAAGAAGCACAAGTGGAGAAAAACGTGAACCATATCATAACAACAATAATCCTTGCATTTGATATAGCACCTTATCGTGTCGCCAAGCACTCTCAAAGTGTTTCACAGGATATGCTGTAAAGTGATGTGACTGTTTTGTGGATGAATATTCTTTTGTAAGGAAAGGTTCTCATATTTGGTTAGAGATTTTGGAAATGTCACCTAAAGAACACAAAGCTACTGCCACTTATTTCACTATCTACCTTATTATTTGATATGTGTTTTGTTATTTCTGCAGACCTGTGGACAAAACAAGTATTGTAAAGACATCACAAGATAACAGTAACTCTGCTAATAAAGTTTGGGGTGAATATGCAGGAAGGTCTGACTAGCTCGCTGTGCATATAATAATAATAAGCCTTACATTTGATATAGCGCCTTATCACGTCTTCGAGACGTCTCAAAGCGCTTTACGGAATATACTGTAAAGTAAATTGACTGTATATTTTGTGGGCGAAACTCGGCAGCCAATTGTGCACAGCAGCGTCCCACAAACAGTTGTGGATTGAGTGACCAAATTAAATTTTTTTAAGGATTTATTACCCCCGGAAAAGCGATCATTCAATCGACTAACAACCAGGTTCCTACTTACTGCTAGGTAAACAGAGGTGTGTGGAGTAAGGAAACTTGCCCAATGTTTCACCCTGCCTGGGAATCAAACCTAGGTCCTTTCACTTGCGAGTTGAGTGCTCTAACCACTGAGATACAGGACTCCACATTTGAAAGAAAAGATGAAGTATGTGCAAGAGTGAGCAGTGTTCACTGGTATGATATAGCTTACAGGAAATTGGGACCGAAGTATGGGAAAAAAGTGAAGTTTTTTTTTGCTCTCCTTTTGAAGTGCGTTCAATAGCAAACACAACCCTGCTCTCTTATCCAAGGAGGTTGTCAGAAACTAAAGATGATTTAAATTCTCTGCTCCTCCACATGTAACTATCTATGATAGTATTGATTGAACTAAATAATAAGTGTAAGTAACATTGTGTTAACATTTATAATTAAGGTGTTCCAATAAAAGGCCATACAGTCATACCATACAGTCTACTTGAAGCATTCACCAGAATAATATACCACCTATTTTGTTACATATCCTTATCAATCTGAAATTAATTTAATGAAGTTAGAAGCTGTGCAAAGGATATTACATACCAGCTGGATGTAATTTATCTTCCGATCTTTAAGTAAGAGTAGTGCCTTAATGGCACTTTCCTGGATTGGAAATGCAATACCTTGCATTGTCTGGTGCTTACTTTCAACACTGATCTCAGTCTTAACCTGAAACGGTAAAAAAAACATGGAGCTTATGCAAACTGTAGCAAAACCATCTTATTCCTCTCTCATCCAACAATATAAACATGAGACTCATCCAAGGACACAATTCAAATTCAATGGGAATCCTGAGTCATGTAACAGAAATAATAATTCTTGCATTGGATATCATTTCATATCACGTCAAAATGCACAAAGTGCTTCAGAGTTTTCTGTAATGTGTACTGACTGTTTCTTTGAAGGCGAACGCAGCAGCCAATTTGCGGGCAACAATGTCCTACAAATAGTCACGAAGTGAATGATCAATTTTTTTCTGGGGGATTATTGGTTAGGGCACCTGGAGAAACACTCTTCACTTTTGGAATACTGCCATAATAATTATTATAATCATTACATTTGATATAGCAGCTTTCACATCGGGAGAATGTCTCAAATCATTTCACAGGATATACTGTGAAATAGAATGACTGTATTTTGTAGCAAACAAAACCAATGGGATGTAACATCTACCTGAACAGGCAGACACATTTTACTATCTCGTTCAAAATAATCTTAATCCAAGCGTAAACAGTTGGAAAATAATGCTTTAATCAGGATTCCCCTGGATCCTTTACTTCTTCTGCTATGTGCCACAAGATCATGTGTTTCTTGTACAATAAAACTATCTTTCAAATGAGATGCAGAACAATAAACAGGTTCAATAAACAATTAGTGAATTTAGGTTTGAGTTTATCTGAGTCATTTCTTAGTGGTTGATGAAGCTAACAAGTACATAATAACGATCCTTGCATTTGATATAGTGCCTTAGCAGGTGTTCCATTTTTAAACATTGTTCTACAACACTAATTTGGATGGATGCTTTTATTTGTATTTTTGTATAGTAGAGAGAAATAAATATTTAGAGGTTAGATGCCTTTTAACTACTTTGAAAATGCAAGGGAGAAAACTGGTAAAAAATGGAATTTCTATTTACTGGTATATAAAAACTTGTATACAATATATGTAACTTTATAGTAATGAGGAGAAGAAACTAAACTGTTAAAAAAAGGAAATTTAAAATAAAGAAAGATTTCCTAATGCAATCAGACTTGGTAAAAATAACAGAACTCCTCATCCATAATTGTCTGCAAATTTTCTGCTGCAGTTATGAAATAATACTTACATTTAAATTAGCATTGTTCAGGAGAGAAACCAATGCTCTAGCTTTAAACTGGGTGCGCGAAACTTAGGAAATTAATATTACATGAAACATCGAACACCTTAACCCATATGATTAGTGAGAAAGCTTTACCAATGATTAGGTTGCAGACCCATCAGGTCATTCCCACTGTACATCAAGGCACTAATTCAGCCAATTTATGTACCAGTGTAGCCTTCACAGGTGTATATGCTGCAAAATACACAGCTTTTGTCTTTGAAGGTATGAAAACTGGACAGAAAGAGGAGCTGCTGGCAAATTTTCCAAATAGTAAATTGGGAATAGACAAGTGTTTAAGGCTGGCTGGATGAAGAGTAGAGTCATTTTAGTTGAAGCTTTTAAACTGAATGCATTGGGAAACAATTCACTCATTTTCAGTTAACAGCTGCATAATGCTGAATAGTTCGGTAATGTTACAACTCCAGACAAACAAATAAAGCAACACAAACAAACACCAAGAACTGAAGGCCTACCATTGTGCCGCTAGAATCCTGAAAGCATGTGAAGGGCAAAAGAATGAAGAAGTAAAAAGTTGACAGAAAATCTCTAAAGTAGAAAGGCAGTGGAAGAATAATGGAATTTTGTGGAATTTAATGATGGGGTTCCTTAATAAGAAACCCAAATCGCACAAATGGGGACTCCTTTAGAATTAGTTTCAAGGCAGCCTCGATGGACCTGCAGTTTACAGTCCGTGATCCTGCTGGTTTGAATCCCGGTCTGTGCTGAGTTTGTTTCGTTAGCCAAGCCTGAATAGGGAGATAAACTGGCTCTAGCTTTCCCAGGATTATGGCAGGGAAGCAGGTCTGATCTTAGTCTCTCTTTATCATCCTCCACTGGTCCTGAGTGTGGCAGTCAGGTGAGGAGAGATCAGTCTCAGCTGTGATGCCCTCTATAGTAGAGTAGTCCATTTAGTCAAGCGGTCACACCACAAACAGTAACTACTTGGATGGGGTATTGGAGGGCAAACAGCGTCTTTAGAGCCACATTCCAGTATGATGAGGATGGGGCCAATGGAGAGGAAAATTAGAAAATAATTGGACACATAAAATTTATATACAAAAAGAATTACTTAAACCTGTGGCAACTGTGCTCTGAGATTGTGTAGAGAGTTGAGACCTTTTGGGATATCATGAGAGCTTGTAGGCGTCCCCATTTGTATAACTCGGATTCCTTATTAAGGAATCCTATTAAGAAATACCTAAATAATAATTTAAGTAACATTTAATTTATTTTATTAGACTAAGAAGGCAATGAACTGTGGGAGTAAAAATCCATAGAACATGGATTAAAGCTGGAACAAGATTATACATGGCCTATGACATTGAACTTCAGAAAACAGTTGGTTGCTGTAATTTTTTTTGAAAAAATCCATCAATTTGACAATTGTACATAGAATACAAGAATCCCAATCCAAACCCGGATGCTTGAGTGCAGATGGCACAAAACCAGCCTCACAGGTCACCACCAGATGTGGCTCAAGCTTCTTCATACCTACCACCTCTCTCTCACTGGCCAAAACCGCTTTCTATTCCCAGGCCATTCTGGAGGCCAAAAATAACCCCAAAGTGCTGTTCTCCATCACTCATCACCTCCTTCACACGCTCCCTCAGCACATTCGATCCTCTCATCTATTGCCAAGTACAAAGAGGACTTGTTCATCTCAACAACAGAAAACATCCACCTGGCTGCCTCCTCTCACTCCCCTCTGTCTCCTAGCATTTCCGCCAATGCCTTCTACATAACTCACTCTTTCTGTAACAGCTCTTACCACTGCCCACATTCTACACTGCTTTGCTCCCATTTCTCTTTCCTCCTTTTCAACTATCATCATTGATCGCTGAGGTCCACTATCGGCTGCCTCAACTCCACGCCCCACCCAGCTGCTGGTCATTCAACTCCCCTCCTCTGCCCCCAGCTGGCCAACATAGTCAACCAGTCCCTCTCCTCAGGCTCAATCCCACTCCTCCTCAAAACTGCTATCATCACTCCCCTCCTCAAAAATACAACCCTTGATCCCTCTAACCTTCCAAACTACTGGCCCATTTCACCTTCCCCTGGATTGGCGTCAGATGCTATAAGGGCGCTGTAAAACTGCAAATTGTTGTAGCAGGAACCTATACGATGAAAAACAGGTTCATTTGTCCTACATTAAGGCACAGTTTGGTGATCATCTTCAGGAGGAATGTTGTTGATCTAATTGGACTGAATGTTTAACAGGCCATGTGTACCTTGTAGTTGGAGGAAAGCACCAACGTAGCTAACTGGTTAGAGCACAAAAAAAAGGAATACAAAAAAGGGTGAGGAAATGTAATCAAAATCCAGAAGAAATTAACGCTCATTAGGTACTGTAACATCTCTTATTATCGCACAAGTTTTATTCTGCGGTGGTATTAACATATTAGCCTATGGCAATTTGCTGAATACAGATAATTTGTCTGAAAAGCTATATATTCTTTAGGTGAATGTTGTCTTCATTAGTAGTGACATCAATACTGTGAAAGGAACTTTTTTTCTACTTTTCACACCCAACGTCAGCATCATTTACTGCACAGCAGATACTGGGCAAAACATCCTTGATGACCACCCCAAGCTCTGGAAATAACTTTAATTATAGGGAATGTATTGATTGTCAACTCGCACCGAGAGGGAAATTAAATCTTCAATTTGACGTATTTGGTCTCTGTTCTACATATAACTGTGGACAGTATCTGTACATACCTTGATACATCAGTGGCTTCTCATGCATATTCCTTTCACACATGGAATCATAGAATTATACAGCACAGAAGGGGGTCATTCAGCCCATTGTGTCTGGGCCGGCTCTTTGAAAAGAGCTATCCAAATCAATCCCACTCCCCCGCTCTCTCCCCATAGCCCTGCAAACTTGTCCTCCTCAAATAATTATATACTTCTCTCTTAGAAGTTGTTATCGAATTGGGCAATGCATTCCAGATCCGAACAGCTCGTTGTGCGAAAAATTTCTCCTCACCTCCCCTCTGTTTCTTTTAACAACTATTGTAAATCGCTGTCCTTGGATTACCGACCCACCCGCCAGTGGATATAGTTTCTCCTTGTTCACCCTATCAAATCCCCTCATAATTTTGAAAACTTCAATTAAGTCTCCTCTTAACCTTCTCTGCCACAAGGAGAATAATCCTAGCTTCTCTAGCCTCTCCTATCTGGGATAATACGCTAGAGCAGGGGTGGCGTGAAATTTGACTGCCTGCCTGTTAGTTTCTAAAATTGCATTGATATACTGTTCTGTGATTTTTATTTAAACTAACCCTCCTCTTTCTAAAATGACATATATTCAAACCTGTGCCTGCTGCATTGCATGAGTGACATTCCCATTAAGCCAATGACAGCTCACAGAATTAGTAAAAGTAGCCAATGCTCATGTACACAAGTGCTAAGTGTCTGGACAGAACTCATAGAAAGGTACATTTCATAATTGTACCAAATGGCATTTTCATTGCCAATATTTTTTGTTTCAATGATGCTAAAGACATTATATTTCGGTATTTAAGTTAAATATTGAAGCTCAGCATTGTCTATTGAGACTTAGCAATAGCTTGCATTGTTTTTTTGGATGATGAGGAATTGTACATTGGGGGGAATGTTTTGCACAAATTGGTGCACTTGAGCAATTATACACACAATCCCTCTATTTTTTTCAGGTACAGTATTATGCATAACTTTTTTATGGTGGGACCCACCAAGTGAACAGTGTTAACTTAAATGACCCTTGTGACCAGATGAGTCTGGCACCTTGTTCTAGAACATTTTACACAAAGCTCTTAGTAGCAAAGAGAACCTGGAACAATATCAACTAGATATTACACGTTTTATGCTACGGAAATGAATAAAATCGAATATTTTTGGTGTTTGGTGGCTTTGACCATGCATCCCATTTACATCAATGACTATAACCTCATGTCTTTGGAAGGACTAAACTATCTCATTTTAATAATTGGTGAACTTAATTTTTAATGAACTTTTCATCAAGTTGAAACGACAATTCAAGTCACTGACTGTGAGAAAGGGACTCAAGAGAAATGGTATAAAGTTTTGGCCTGTGATGGTCTTTAAACTGCCCTTTGTTGTTTTCATGAGTGTTTAATAAGTCACAGATGGTATACAGTACCACTCCATTATGCAGTGCTTTTTGTTTCGTGCAAATGTGATTAACAACAGTTGCGGAGTAGATCCCATTTACTGTGCATGTGCGCCAGTCTGCTCACTTCCCAAGTACTGCCTGATCACACTAAAATACCTGCCTTCTGTGTCATTTAGGTCACTGGATGTTCAGCACAGGATGTAACATAAGCAGCAACCTGCTAAGCAAGGAGTGTGTTTCATGACTGCAATATGACAAATATTAATGTGCTAATAACAACTAATGGTAGATACTAGACTGTAACCACATTTACTTTTAGTGTACTGCTGGCCTGTTAAAGCTGGGATTGAATAGTAACTTTATGAGATGGATGAAAATTGGCTAAATCTAATACAATGATGTTGCCTTCTCCACCCTTTGAACAAGAGCTCAGTTTCAATCCACTATGTCTGTGTTGAAAAATAAAATGGTGAAATGTAATTTACTTGCAACATATTTTATTGTCTGTATACAATTGTAGATAAGGCTAGGATGAATACAATTCATTTGAGTTTGTTAAAAAGACATACCTATACATAGCAAACTCCAAATACATATTGCATAGATCAAAAAACCCACATAGCATAATGCTGCATACTGCAGAGCTAATTCTTGCTGGATAATGGGGTCTCATTTGCAGTATTTCTTAAGAAATGTATTCTTGGGGCCAGGAGGAGTGGGGGGGAGGGGGGAGGTGGAGAGTGGTTAAAGGCACGGTGGAGAAGGAAGGTCTTTAGATGGGACTTGAAGGAGGCAAGAGGGGATGAGGCAGAGGGATTGCTACAATTGAGTAGCCTGCCAACACTCACTGCTAAGGTAACCAGCGCCTGTGAAACCACATTCAAGCAAAAGGAGGCTGGGGACCAGGAACAGAGGTATACACACACCAATGGGGAGAAAATGAGAAAATAATTGGACACACTAATTATTTTAAAAATAGAAATACCACAAGCTCAACCACATTATTTCAAACTTGATAAAATACAAAAGGGGCCGATTTTCAAAAGTCCATTTAAACTTTTCTGCTGTTTTAAACTAAAAACCACGACGGTTTTAGTGAAAGAGACAATTCAACGTTGGGAACGAAAGACTACTACAGAAATATTTTGATGTTGGAGAATGGGTTGGAGAAATTTATATATTTAAAAAAGACAGGTATCACCAGCCAGAACAATAGGATTATAGATATTTTATTAAAAAAGTGGATACGTTTATTAGAGGATTTTAATAGGGCCATGCAAGTAGTATTTCTTTTAAAAATCACTGTATGTGCTTGCACCTCATCTCAGTTCCAACAAGGGGAAATTTGCAAGATGCTGATTTTGAGAATATAATAGTCAATATAGCTCACACAGAGACAGCACAAGGCTACAATTGATCCTTTGATGTAAGTGGAGAGAATCGGCCCCAATATACACTTTATAGTCATCCGGATTCCTCCTCCCCCCAAAAAAAAATTAGTTGCAAGTCTTAATGTTTCTTAAATGCACACAGACAATTAGGAAATTCCAATTCAAACCAATCCAGAGGGTGCAGTGTGAAAATGAAAATGAAAGAAATTAACACATTGGAATTTGTTTTCAAATAATAATGGTTTTGCACATATAAATACAAATGATATTAAAATAAAGCTGGCTATGCTGTTGCACCTTTGCTCTAAATAGCTACAGACCATGGAAATGTTACACAATTGTGAAATATTTATTCTTCAAATTCAGAAAGGATTGTTTAATAAACGCAAACCTAGTCAAACCTGCAAGCAGCAAACTTTGCAAGTTATGTGCAGATTGCTATTTAATCTTCCAAAAAATACAGTGGGTTACTTGCCAATACTCTTTCACTATACGAAGATGGGCGACATGCTCTCCTGACAGGTCAGTGGATTAGTGAGTCACATAGACCAGAAAGATCCCTGCTTCAATTACTAATCTGCCCTGGTTGTCGTGAGCAAGACAAATGGTCTCTCAAGTTTCCATGCTTGAGGGGGGAGAGGGGGGAAGCAGAGAAAAAGAAGAAAATGACTGACCCAGAACTACCACTTCATATCTCTATGCAGTGACTCAAGCTGGAAACAGAGCACGACGCTGAGCCAAGGGGAGGCAACCGTAGGCACGGTCAAAGAGGAAGGTCTTCAGGTGCGATCTGAAGGTGAAGAAGGAAGGGACAAGGCGGAGGGATCGAGAAATGTTCCAGACTGTAGCGTAGTGACTGAAAGCCCTGCCACCAATGGTGGAACAGAGGGCATGAGGGACATGCAGGAGGCAGGAGCCAGTTACGTGTAGGCAGCGGGTTGGGGAGTAAGCTGGTCAGAGAGGTAAGAGAGGTACCAGGGCATTTGAATTTGAAAACGCGTGTGAGGATCTTGATCCGTTCCGTTCGGCAATAGAGACCCAGTGGAGCCTGACCAGAACGGGTGTCAGTTAAGTACAGGCGAATATGGAGGCGACGGAGTTTTGGATCAGCTGGATCTTGTGAATGGTGGAGCTGGGGAGACCGGCGAGGGGGGCATTTGAAAAGTCGAGGTGGGAGGTGACGACGGACGGGATAAGGTATGGTTGTAAAACAAACTGGGAAACTCACTTAAAGCTATCAAGTAGGATGTGGAGATTTTAATATTTTCCATACTTCACTGATACAACCTCTGAATTTGAGGGCTCTGTTGTGCCTAACTACCTTTCCCTCACCTATGGGGAGGCACCTAGATATTGCTTGGCCCGTCCTGTGAAATTATTCTTTGAATTCCAGTTTTGAAATTAGTTACAGATATTTTAGGTCATTGATGTTAGACTTAAGCAATCTCACACACACACACACAAAACAATCACAACCCATGCAGAACACAAACAAATATCAGAAAAGTGATAGCCATTGATAAGACATTTCTACCATGCCACTGAATAGTCACCACCATGCTAATGCAGTCAGAACTACTGCAAAGAGTAAAATAAACTGCAATGCTAAAAATGCACAAACAAAAACGTCTCATGACATTCACCTCAAATATTTGGGCTTACTATTGCTGCTTTATTTGTGTATGTGTGTGTATTAGATGCTTTAAAATTGATCAGAAGTAGTCTGGGAGTAGGCATACTCTGTGTTCAATTCTCTCTTCAGTATATTATGGTTAATGTAGTACACCTTCAATATTTATCACACTGAATGTATTTGGATGTGCCAGACGGAGGCTGCTCTCTGTGATAATGCTTGAGAAACAATAGACTTCCATCTTTTGACCCCTAGTTAATAGGATAATAGCTACTCAGTCTTTTATAAGACAGCATTAAGCCAACCTGAAATCAAAAGTCTTGATTTGCAAGCCTAGTCCACTTGCCAGCCTTCAGATATTACCATTTTGAATGTCATTTAGGAGGCACCAATCATTAGCATAACCGGGTACATTTGATGTGATAAAATATCAAATGCATCATTAAACAGATCCCATTTTGAGCAACGACCAGCACTCCTTAATCAGTGGACCACTATCGTGGAATTGGATGCTTTCAATGTTCATTTACAATCTGTGAGTATTTCCTAAGCATAAACTAGAAAATAAGGGGCAGCCCGAGACAACAGTCAGTGTCTATCTCCCTTTATAATATTTTGAGCAGGTGGCATTTTAGAAGACAATGGCTAACATTTCCAATCACATTATGGTTTTATATTTTGGAAGCAACTGGCAGAAAATTGGGACATCCTCCTGATGTAAAAGGTGCTTTATTTCTTTTTGTTGTGCCATAATGAGAAGGCGTGCACTTCCTAGACGGAGGAAGTAACAACAAAAGCAAACAATAAATTACATTTGTGTTGCACTTTTCATGTCAGGAGGATGTCCCAAGACCTCAAGTACACTAATGGACAGTCCAGCCAGGACTCCCATTTTTACAGGGATTCATTCAGGGATCCAGGATCCAGGATTCATATGCTGATATGTGCTCATGGATACCTAAAAGGCAATAATTTGCCTAAGTATGAAGAAGTATAGGTATTGGACTGAATGGACTGCTCTTTCAAAGAGCCAGTACAGAAAAGATGGGACAAATGCCCTTCTTCTGTGCTATACATTTCCTCCGTGATTCTATAATAGGGAGATGGAATATAAATTGTATCAACAGCAGGACTAACTTCATTTTTATCTTAATTCAGAATGTATTCTTTTAGATGTAATCAATCAGCAATGTGTGATAGGATCATGCAACAATCACATTGATCCCATCTAGACTACAAATACAGTAATTTATCCAAAAAAAACTTAACCATCCTTTTTAACTCTTTCTTGCTAATGCTCTGACCCTATCATTGTTTGGAATTACTTATTCCATATTTCATTTAGACTTTATCAAGCTCACTTCAAAAAGATCACAAGGTAAACCAAATGGTAAATGTTGAGGTACTTACCTGGATCACTTTATCCTGCAAAAGATAGTATTATTAACCTAGAGCAACATAAATGCTTTTTCTTGACAATTTGGAAATACTGTGAAGCAGCACTGCATGAATGACGAGCAGATAAGTCAACCCAGAAAAGAAAATAGTTAATTAACTCACAAGGAAGTAATTGGTCAAACCTATAAGATTGGGATGTGCTCCCAAAACCATACACAATGATTAACGGAAATACAATAAGTGATGCAGACTCAAATGGATTATGGTGATGTAGAATGTGGTATGGGGGAGGCAATACAATAACTATCCACAAAGAGGAAGTGGTGGATGGAGGTCTGATGTTTTCTCATGGAAATGGAAAAATAAAACCAGAGAGTGAGCGAGACAAGTATTGTTCCTCTTGTAAACACACTATTAGAACAGTTACTTAAAGAGTAGCAACTCAGCAAGATGGGTTTTCAACATGAGCTACATGTCCATTGGAACATCACTAAATAAATAATACACATCTCACACAGCAACATTTTACAGAAATTACTTTCACCTTTTGGGTCAATTTCATGAAAGTAGGTGTTTGGATGAATTGTATTAAATATCATTTTGAATGATATGCTTCAATTTGTTGAGGAAAACTACTTACCTCTGCTCACCACGAAATGGTGAAATCATTCAACTCGGAAACAGACTAGGATTTGAATAATAATAATCCTTGTGTTTGATACAGTGCTTTTTCACACTTCTAGACATCTCAAAGCACTTCACAGAATAGACTGTAAAGTGAATTGACTGTATATTTTGGGGCGAAACGTAGCAACCAATTGTATCCCACAAACAGTCATGGATTGAAGTGACCAATTTTATTATTGTTTTTTTACAAAACAAAAAGAAACCTCTGCCTCCATTTTTAAAAGGTGACGAGAGCACATTTCAAACGGTCACATTTCATCCAGGGTGTACAATTTAAGTCTTGATTGTATTCCTAGAATCCACTCTGGATGTGCGAGATGAACTTGGATGAACAGACAAAGTGGATTTAGACTGTAAAACTACTTGGGAGTAAAATTTACTTCAGGTGAGTGAATGATATAGGCCCTGTGGCATTCTTACCTCATTAATCTTAATCTGCTTGAGCTCCTCCTCAGCTGATGTAAGTGGTGCTGGCCCTGAACAGGAAGTGACATATTTCTGATAGCCACTAAAACAAATGTCTTCCTGCAGAAAAAAGATCAAAAAATTAAGACCATGTCATCATAGTCCTAGAATTGACACATGCAAAAGTACAGAAAGTTCAATTGTACAGTAAACCTCTTATAAAACATATCAATTGGGACCATACATTTAATATGATTTATTTATTTAGCATGAGTTATGTCAAAGCATAGAATATAAAACCTTGGTGGGACTTGGGCAGATGTACGACTTAGGCGATTATACAATTTATACAGGTCAGCCTTATGCGAGTTTTACTGTATAATAGTCATTCTATAGGGATTCATTTAAGAAAGTTGTGACACTTTCATTTTTAGAGCAACTTATAACATCTAAACAACAACAAGATTACAGTTATATAGCGCCTTTCATGTCAGGAGGACGTCCCAAGTGCTGGGCAGTGTACAGCATTTCAGACCCGAGCTGGGGTCAGGGAAGGAGAAGGGAGGGGAGGGGAAAGGAGGTGACCGCTGGCATGGTCGAAGAGGAGGGTCTTGAGGTGGTACTTGAAGGAGACTAAGGAGGGGCAAGGCGGAGTGATTGGGGGATGGAGTTCCAGAGGTTGGGGGAAGAGTGGCTGAAGGCTCTCCCGCCAATGGTGGGGCGGGTGGGTTGGGGGATGTGGAGCAGGCCGGAGCCGGCTGAGCGGACGGAGTGGACAGGTTGGTAGGGGATTAGGAGTTCGCAGAGGTAGGGTAGGTGAGGGCCAGGATCTTGAACTGGATCCTCTAAAGGATAGGGAGCCAATGGAATCGGGCGAGAATGGGGGAGATGGGGTCACGGAGTTTGGTGCGGGAGAGGACAAGGGCTGCAGAGTTCTGGATTATCTGCAGCCTGTGGAGGGAGGAGTTGAGAAGGCCGACAAGTAGGTCATTTGCATAGTCGAGCCTGGAGGTGATGAAGGCATGAACAAGAGTTTCAGCGGCCTGAGGGGTGAGGTAGTGGCGGAGTCGGGCGTGCTTCATGAGCAATGATATATTAAAAGCTACTAATATTTAATTATTCCTCATCAGGAGCCTGGTGCAATAGGTATGCCAGAATCATCCCTAGACAGGTTAAGAACTTCAGTTTCTCCCAGTGCAAATTATCTGTGATGATGACAATTCTAGAGAAGCTGCAAATATGCAACAACAGCAACAGCTTGCATTGTTGCAGGCTACACACCTATCTCATCAGGTCTGTACAAAGTATTACGTATCAAATCTGAAAATAGCAAAGCGATTAGATTTATGAATAAGTTTAAAAGATTTGAAATAAAAATGTGAACAGAAAATGTGTGATGGAAATGTAATTGGGAACAGATAGCTTTATCAGCATGTCTAAAAACGCAAGAAGCTATGTAAAGGCAAAAGGTAATTTGATCCATCAAAGGTATCCATATCACGTTATGACTTAATCTTGTATAACGGGTATGGAAATCTAATACTGATCTCCTATCAAAGCAACTCATCAAAACAGGCTGACTGCCCAATAAACATCTGAATTGAAAAGTATTGCCAGACTGAGCTTCCTACAATAGTGGCCAGGTGCCACATCCATTAAACTCTCAGGTTCCCTTATCTTATTTATCTTTACTTTGCGTTACATTTGAGTTAATACCTGGTTTCATTTTCCTGCTAGACATGTGGAGGCAGTTATGAAATAATCTAGAAATATAGCTCTTTCCCTAGATGGGACAAGGTTACAAAACAATGCGAGAAACTGCCCTGACATTACATAACATAACATGTAGGAGGAGTAGGCCATTCGGCCCTTCGAGCCTGCCCCGCCATTCAATCATGGATGATCTTCTAATCTAACTCCAGCTAATAACCTGACCCTGCCTTATCCCCATATCCTTTAATCCCTTTTGCAATAAGAAATCTATCTATCTCAGTCTTGAATATGTTCAAAGACTGAGCGTCAACAGCCCTTTGGGGTAGTGAGTTCCATACATTCACCCCCCTTTGAGTGAAGAAGTTCTTCCTCAACTCAGTGCGAAAGGGCTGCCTCTGATTTTAAGGTTGTGACCCCTGGTTTTAGTTTCTCCAACCAGGGGAAACAATCTCCCACTATCTACTCTATCATGCCCTTTGATGATCTTATAGGTTTCTATAAGATCCCCTCTAATTCTTCTATATTCTAGAGAATATAGGCCCAAATTGGTCAGCCTATCCTCGTAACTCATCCCCTTCATCCCTGGCACTAACCTAGTAAATCTACGCTGCACCCCCTCCAAGGCAAGTACATCCTTCCTTAAATGAGGAGACCAAAACTGGACACAGTATTCCAGGTGTGGTCTCACCAGGGCCCTATACAGTTGCAGCAAGACTTCCCTACTCTTATACTCTAATCCTTTCATAATGAATGCTAACATACCGTTCGCCTTCCTAATTGCTGCTGCACCTGCAGACTAACTTTCTGTGATTGGTGTACAAGGACACCCAAGTCCCTCTGGACGCTAACACATTCCAATCTCTCCCCTTCTAAAAAATAACCCGCTCTACTGTTTTTGCTACCTAGGTGGATGACTTTGCACTTCCCTACATTATACTTCATCTGCCACCTACCTGCCCAATCACCTAACCTATCTATTCTTCGCTGCATTTTTTTAATGTCTTCCTCTGTGTTGGCACTTCCTCCTAGTTTTGTGTCATCCGCGAATTTAGATATATTAACTTTGATGTCCTCATCTAGATCGTTGATGTAGATGGTAAATAGCTGAGGCCCAAGGACTGATCCTTGTGGCACTCCACTAGTCACATCCCGCCAATCTGAAAAGGACCCGTTTATCCCTACTCTTTGTTTCCTACCCGTTAACCATTCCCCAATCCACGTTAATATGCTCCCCCAATTCCATGGGCCCTTATCTTTTGGACTAACCTTTTATGCGGCACCTTATCGAATGCCTTCTGGAAGTCCAAATAGACCACATCCACTGATTCACCCTTATCTAGTTTACTCGAAATATCCTCAAAAAACTCTATGAGATTTGTCAAACATGACTTCCCTTTTGTAAAGCCATGTTGACTTGGCCTAATTATATTGTGCTCCCTAAATACCGCACTACCACATCCTTAATCAACGATTCTAAAATTTTTCCTATCACTGATGTGAGACTAACTGGCCTATAGTTCCCCATCTTTTCCTTTCCACCTTTTTTAAATAGTGGTGTGACATTTGCGATCTTCCAATCCATGGGGACTGTTCCAGAATCCAAGGAATTTTGGAAGATCAGACATAAGGCCTCCACTATCTCATAAGCTACCTCTTTTAAAACCCTGGGATGCAAGCCATCCGGACCAGGGGATTTGTCACTTTTTAGTGCTAACAGTTTCCCGAGCACCAATTCTCTACTAATGAAAATTTCCCTAAGTTGCTCCCTGTCCTTATCCCTTTGGTGCATCTCTATTGATGTCAGACTTGTTGTGTCTTCTAGGGTGAAGACAGATGCAAAGTACCCATTTAGGGACTCTGCCATGTCCTTGTCCCCCATTACAACTTCTCCTGTCTCTGACTGAAGTGGACCTACATTTACCCTCACTAGCCTATTCCTCTTAATATATTTGTAAAAACTTTTACAATCAGACTTAATGTTCCTAGCTAGCTTACCCTCATACTCCTTTTTCTCGCTCTTAATGAGTTTTTTAGTTTTATTTTGCTGGTTTCTAAAACTCTCCCAATCTTCAGATTTGCTGCTTTTCTTGGCAGTTTTATAAGCCTTTTCTTTTAATTTGATGCTTTCCCTAACTGCTCTAGTTAGCCACGGATGAATTGCTTTCCCTGTGGTACTCTTATTCCGCAAGGGAATATGCGACCGCTGAGAATTTTGCACTACATCCTTAAATATTTGCCACTGTTGGTCTACATTTTTACCTCTTAATCTTATTCTCCAGTCTATTTTACCTAAATCTTTCCTCATACCTACAAAATTAGCCCTATTTAAATTCAGAATACTTGCCTCGGATTTAACTATATCCCTCTCTAACTTAATGCAGAATTCAATCATATTGTGATCACTCTGCCCTAGAGGATTCTTAATACCTACACTGCCAACTAGCCCTGTTTCGTTACACAAAACAAGGTCTAGGATGGCCTGTCCCCTAGTTGGTTCCTCGGCATGCTGCTCCAGAAAGTTCTCTCTCATACACTCAATGAACTCTTCTTCTGACCTACTTTCGCCGATTTGGTTTTCCCAATCTATGTGGAGATTGAAATCACCCACTATTATCGCTTTACCTTTCCTACATGCTCCACTGATTTCTTGATTGATACCCTGTGCTATATTGTGATCGCTGTTTGGGGGTCTATAAACCACTCCCATTAATATTTTCTGCCCTTTATTATTTTTTATTTCCACCCATATTGTCTCGACCTCCTGGTCATCGGATTTCAGATCCTTCCTCTCCACTGCTTTTATTTTATCCCTAATTAACAGGGCTACCCCTCCCCCCACCTCTTTTCCCACAGTGCCTATCTTTCCTGTAAACTGAGAACCCTGGAATATTTAACTCCCACCCTAGATCTCCTTGCAACCATGTTTCAGTGATGGCTACTAGATCGTACCCATATGTGTCTATCTGTGCTTTTAGTTCATCAGTTTCACTCCGAATGCTTCGCGCATTCAGATATAAAAATTTTAATTTCCTACCATTTCCTCTACTCTCTGATTCCTTATCTACTTTGCCAAGCTTCTTACCCCTAGTTAACATATTCCTATTATCTGGCATGCTATTCTGCACTGTCATCTTTACTTTTTCTAATGCTAACTTATGGTTTCTCTTACCTATATATTCCCAGCCTTTACTAGTTTAAATTCCTATTTATTTCCCTGTTAATTTGTTTAGCTAGGATATTTGTCCCAGCATGATTTAAATGCAGCCCTTTTCTTCGAAAGAGCTCTCTTATCCCCCAATATTCGTGCCAATGGCCCATAAAAAGAAACCCGAGTTCCGCACCATTCTTTTAGCCATGCGTTCAAATCCTTAATTTGTTTGTTCCTGTACCAATTGTCGTATGGTACAGGCAGTAGTCCTGATATTACCACCTTCGATGATCTCGACTTCAATTTGGACCGCAGCTCTTCAAATTCCCTTCTCAAGTCATCTTGGCCTACTCTACCGATGTCATTGCTGCCTATGTGAAGTACCACCAACGGATCCTTGCCCTCATATTTTAAATTGTCCTCTAGCCCTGCCGAGACATTCTTCACCCCAGCCCCAGGGAGGCAATAAAGCCTTCTGGTCTTCTGGTTGGTGTTGCAGATTTTTTTTTACATTCCCAGTTGGCTTTAGCTCTCTTAATTTTGAAAGCACATCATCTCTTGTCTGTTGCTGGGTTAAAAAAAAAAAAAATTTTATTAACTGTTACGTCATGCTAACGTCACTTTGTGAATCACTTACCACCCCCACCCGCTCTCCTACCTCCGCTTGAATCCTCACCCTCGTATTCAAGACCCTGCACTCCTCTGCACCCCTCTAGCTCTCTGACCTCCTCTCTCCTCAAAACAGCCCCCGTTGCCTTCGTTCCTCTGAGTCTGGCCTTCTCCTCGTCCCCCGAGTCCTCCGCTCCACCCTCGGCGGCTGTGCCTTCAGCCCCTATGCCCCGAGGCTCTGGAACTGCCTTCCTCACTCCCTTCATCTCGCTCCCTCCCTTCCCATTTTCACGTCTCTGCTGAAGACCTTTCTTTTCGACCGCAGCTTTGGTCACCTTTCGCCCCCTCCCCCTGGCTCGGTCCCGGGATCCATTACTGTAAAGCGCTCTGAGACGCCGTCCGGGGTGGAGGGCACTATATAAATCCAAGTTGTTGTTGTCTTAGAGTTTTGATGTAGTAGTGTCACAAGCTCTGTACCCTGGGTGTGGACAAGTTCTATGTGTTGTCTTGCTTAACTTGGGCACCTATGCAAATAATATCAAAGCACATCACAGATAATAGTAATAATTTGGCCACTCAATCCACGACTGTTTGTGAGACACTGCTGTGCGCAATTGGCAGCCGTATTTCACCCACAAAATATACAGTCAACTTTATAGTATATTCTGTGAAGCGCTTTGAGACATCACAAAGATTTTATAAGGCGCTATATCAAATGCAAGGATTATTATTATTATAGGATTGAGTACTTTCTCACAGAGAAGTCACAAATCTGTTTGAATTCTGAGGCTGTTGTGATTATGAAGATTGAATCAGACGGTGTTTTTTCACTGGAATTTAATTAGCAAATTACATTTTGTATAGCGAATGCCACGTCTGAAGGATGTCCCACAGAGATGGTAGATTTTACAGTGCGTCTTTGCTACCAGAGCTTCAACATAATAAAATAACTGACAGGAGAGATGAAGGTACATTCTGTTTCTGCTTTCTATTAAGTGCTACACTTTGAAAGTGTCTGAAGCAGTTCCCAGCAAAGAGTGTAGCAGTCTGAAAGATCTGCTTTGGAAACTGAGAAGTCCAAAGTGTAGCAGTTAACAGAAAGCAGAAGTACCTTCACCTCTCCTGTAACCGTTATTCTTTATCGTTCAAGCATTGTATCAAGTATAGATTTAATTTCCAATAATTTAAATGTTGTTATATCCATTATGAAGTGAATATTAAAAGCGCTTTGGATGCATCACAGTATCAAAAGTCGAGGGTGAAAGTTTGTGTTTGCATTTTACTGGCCTTAGTTTATAGAATTTTCCAAAAAGTAAAAAGCACCACATTTTAATACATTATTTAACCATAAGAGTAAAGGATAAGTTAAAAAATGGAGCAACATTGTACCTCTATTGTTCCAAACAGCTCATCCTTAATGTGGCCTCCACCAAATTCCTTCTTTACAGTGGCCCTAGTTGCTGCATACAGCATCTTTTGCCGGACCTGTGTAAAACACAATGAAGATACAGAACTTGAAACAATAAAAGCAGCAACAAACACAGCATGTTTTTCAGGTCAGCTGGGTATGACACACAGAAACCCAGATATCTGACAATGTCTCCAAGCAAAATTAAGATTTCTACATATACATGTCTGGTGTAGAGTGCATATTCAAAGGGGTAACAACAACAACAAGATTGTATTTATAGAGCGCCTTTCTCGTCGGGAGGACATCCCAAGGCGCTGGATAGTTCGATCGGGACCCGAGCAGGGGGAAATGGTCAGGGTGAGGGAATGGAGGGAGCGAGGAGGGGGTAGAGAGTCGAGAGGGGAGGTGAAGGCACGGTTGAAGAGAAAGGTCTTGAGACCGGCCTTGAAGGAGGAAAGGGAGGAAGCGGCGAAGGCACTGGGGGGTGGAGTTCCAGAGCCTCGGGACTGAGAGGCTGAAAGCCCGGCCACCGATGGTAGGGCGGGGGATGTGGAGCAGACCAGAGCCAGAGGAACGGAGGGTACGGGCAGGTAAGTAGGGGGATAGTAGGTTGGAGAGGTAGGAGGGAGCGAGGCCGTGAATGACCTTGTAGGTGAGGATGAGGATCTTGAATTTGACCCTCTGGGGGATGGGGAGCCAGTGGAGGCAGCGAGGGTGGGAGTGATGTGGTCGCGAAGCCTGGTGCGGGACAGTACACGAGCTGCAGAGTTCTGAATGACCTGCAGCTTGTGGAGGGAGGTGCCGGGAAGGCCGGCGAGGAGAGAGTTCCCATAGTCCAGCCTTCCTTGAGGTGATAAAGGCGTGGACCAGAGTTTCAGCAGCGTGAGGGGTGAGGTAGTGCCATAGTCTGGCGATGTTCCGGAGATGGTGGAAGGCGGTAGCAGTTGTGGCGCGGATGTAGGGAAGAAAGGACAGCTCAGGGTCGAACAGAACCCCGAGGTTCCTGATGGCTTTGAGAGGTGGAGAGTGCAGCCTTGGATGCTGATGCTGTCAGCGCCTGAGGTGCGGAGGCGCTGACGTGAGCCAATCAGGAGGGCCTCAGTTTTGCGCACGTTGAGCTGAAGAAAGTTGTCTCTCATCCAGGACTCGATGTCAGACAGGCAGCTGTCAGGACATCGGTGGTCGTGGAGTTGAGGGTAGAAGAGGAAAGGTAGAGTTGGGTGTCATCCGCATACATGTTAACTTACGTTAACCCCATGTCTGCGGATGATGTCACCAAGGGGGAGCATATAGAGGGTGAAGAGGAGGGGACCGAGGACAGAGCCCTGATACAGTGCGGGGGCTGAAGGAAAAGCCATTAGCGGAGACAAAATGAAGGCGGTGGGAGAGGTAGGACCTAAACCACTCAAGGACAGGCCTTGAAGGTTGAGGTGGAGGACAAGCGGTGGAGGAGGATAGAGTGGTCGACCGTATCGAATGCGGCCGATAGGTCAAGGAGGACGAGGAGGCAGAGGGAGCCCTGGTCGCAAATGGTCAAGATGTCATTAGTGACCTTGACCAGGGCGGTTTTCGTGCTATGGGCAGCACGGAAACCCGACTGGAGGGGTTCAAAAAGTGAATGGGTGGAGAGGAAAGAGCGCAACTGGGAGGCGACGACTCTTTCGAGAACCTTAGACAGGAAGGGGAGGTTGGAGATGGGCCGGTAGCTTGATAGCTGCGACGCATCAAGGGAGGGTTTTTTCAGTGTGGGAGTAATGGTGGCAGTTTTGAGGGGAATGGGAACAGAGCCAGAGGAGAGGGACAGGTTAATGGTGTCTGTGAGAAGTGGGGCAAGGAGGTGGAGCTGGGAGATAAGGAGTGGAGTGGGGATGGGGTCCAGGGAGCAGGTGGTGGGTTTCAAGGACAGGATGACGTTGGTGACAGAGGGTGGGGAAACAGGTTTGAAGGTGTGTAGGGGAGGATGGGTAGGAATCGGAGTGTGGGAGGGAGGGAGTGGGTGGAAGTTGGAGGGGCAGTGACCGCGGAGCAGATTCCCTTGATTTTGGATTCAAGGAAATCCAGCATCTCCTTACAGTGAAGGTTGGAGGAGATGACCTGCGCGGTTGGCGGGGGGGACGGAGGAGTCGGGATGTGGTGGAGAACAGAAGCCTGGGGTTGTGTTGCACCTCCATGTCTTCAAATTTATATTTAATTAATTTATTTTTCCACTTTACAGATATTTTTGAGAAGAGATGGTGACAGTGCAATCTATTTTATCGAAGTTTTCCCACTTACAATGAAACCGAAGTACTCTCACCGATTGTACTTGTGGGAGCCAGGATGCAAATCAATTAAATTTGCCTTTCAGTCAATATGCTTTTCATCGGCATGATCAGCTTTACACCACCACTGTAACTTTCTATTTCCCCTGCATGCATATTCCTATTAGAAATAAACAAATGTACAGACACAAAAGACTTACTGGGGAATGATCAGGTGACCAAGAAATATAGAGCCATTCATAACCCTGTGCATTCATGGTATCCAGACGGTAAAGGATGTAGCAGGGCTGCATGTCTTCCAGAAGGGGAAGAATGAAGTGGTCGTAGTCCACATCCCATGACTTCAATGGTGCACTACACGCTCCCAACACTAACTGCTCTGAAAGGCAATTATACACAAGGTTAGTAACACATTGATAAATGATTATCGTTGTTCCACTGTCTGCCCTGATTCTTTCGTACAGTTGTGTGGCATGAGGAAAAAGTCAAACTTTGCGATTATAGCCAACTCTGCTTACAATCTGTAACATGCTGTACAATGAACGGATGAGAGTTCACATTACAGGTTTATACTTAGTCATAATGTATAGTTTAGCTCAATGCTACACCTAAACCCAGAAATCATTTGAAGAGCTGAGCAGAGATTAGAAGGACTCTTATTGGGGATAACATTCTGTATGGGGATACACAATGTTAACCCTCAAGCTTTTATGTTTAGCAACTAACACTACGGGGATAATGCTAAAGGAAAATGGGACAATTTTCTAGGCTTACATAAAGAATGGCTGCTTGAGTGAGATGCTGGAGGCATGGTTGGCATCTGTGAAACCTGGTTCCCAGCCAGAACCAATGCCTTTGGGGCAGATACTTGGCATTATTGGTCATCTGATCTACTAATTGGGAGTGGTGTTCTAGCACGATCTTTGGACCCTGGAGGCTGTAAAACTGGATTTTTCCACATTGTAAACTGGCTCAATTTCTTTTCCCATTCCAATAAGAAATAACACACGTGGAAAATCTCAGCAGCTTTAAATGATTATTAATCAAATAATTAGCCTTGCCAATGCCACAAGGCATCCATGTTTTGGCATAGCCATGATTTGTGCCACATGAAAATAGTGCTCGGTGCTGGAAAGCATGACTTTCAGGTTATCTAATAAAACGCCTAAAAGTTTAATTTAGAAGACCAGACAATCCTATTCCTGTCACAACTAGCTGATATGAAACTAAATGCTAAATAAAACATAATCTGTAATATTTCCTTAATTTTAATCGGCCAACATTATCACTGCACTGTAGATTGGTCTTGTGGTTTAGAAATGAGTATTTTAAAAGAGAAATTTTCATTCTTGAAAAAGAAGGATATTAAAGAACATAAGGAGTGAGCAGCAGAATTGGATTACAGGTAGACAGATTTTGTCTGAAAAAAATACCAGTGCAGAATTGACAGGTTAACATTTTAAGTTTCTTCTGTTGCCATAAGGTTAAAGAAATGTTAATTTAGGACATGGTACAACTTTAGAGTTTTGTACAACAATATCCAGATTTAAATCATGTTAGGGTTTGTACCCGTGTCCTATAGTTAGACCACATTCAGTGTTAATTCAATACTATTTTCCTTTGAATCATAGTTAAAAGTAGAATATAAAATGGAGATAAAATACATCAACTTGATTCTGCCTCCCAGATGTGGTTTCCAAATGCAACTGATGTAATCCACTGCAGTATAAATCTGCTTTGCACTGCTATGTCTTAAAAGAAATTGAACTTGAAAAAGTTGTTGAAAAGTTCCTCCTTAGGTTTTTAAAGTTATTTAAGAGCCCAGTGCACAAATAGCTCTTCAATAATATTAAATAGAGCCAGATTTTGGCACCAATTAGCAGTGTTGTGATCATGGTCAAGGCTCTCCTCGGCTAGTGGTGAAAGCTATACAGTGCAAAATACTAAATCAGTTTTCCGTTCCTAATGATGCCATTGCTAGAAGCAGTATAAATGGGGGATTAGAAAACATAAACCATGTATCTAATGGAGCAGAGTATTGCAGTTTGCAGCTTGTCAACTGAGAGAGCTTATCACAGTCTCAAATTTGTCTAACCACCTGGCTCAGTGACTGTAACCAAAGCAAACACAGGGCAGGCCGTCCTGTTGTTTCTGCACATCAAGCGAGCGAGAGACCTGAGTTCAGTTCCAGGCAGAGGGCGAAACCTTAGGCAAGTTTCCTTACTCCACACAGAGCCTAATAATAAACCCTCCAAAACCAAAAACAATAATAAATTGGTCATTTTCAATCTACAACTGTTTGTGGGACATTGCTGTGCGCAATTGGCTGCCACGTTCGCCCACAAATATACAGTCAATTCACTTTACAGTGTGTTCTGTGAAGCGCTTTGGGACGTCCTCCCGACATGAAAAGCTCTATATCAAATGCAAGGATTATTATTATTATTATTATTATTTAGTTTATTTGATTCAAGTTAAGTTGAGATTTTAAGTACTGAAGCATCAAACCTCATTCAAAGTCTGCAGTACTGAACGCCATTCTGACAAAGGGACCCAAAATGCTGACTCACTTTCCTTTCTCCATAGATGCTGCCTGACCTGTTGAGTGTTCCCAGCAACTTCTGTTTTTGTTTTCATACTGTAAAGTGAATTGACAGCCACTTAAAACGCGGCAGCCAATTGCACACAGCAGTGTCCCAAAATGGTTGTTGATTGAGTGACCAAATGATTATTTATTTATTTGGAAGGGATTATTACCCTCGGAAAAGCGATCCGCCAATCGACGAACAACCAGGTTCCTACTTACTGCAAGGAAACTTGCCTAACGTTTCGTCCTACCCGGGAATCGAAGCCAGGTCCTCTCGGTTGCGAGGCAACTGCTTTAACCATTACGCTACAGGATTCCATTTATAAACTAAATCCTACACACTATGTCTCAACCTTTCAGGAGCTAGTTGTCTGACTGCTAAAGCAAGTCACTGAACTGTATTCCAACCAATACTTGGGGGTCAGTTGTGCTGTGAGATCTCGTTTTTGTTCATACTAGGAAAATATTTCAAATTCACATGTTAATAAGGTAATTTCAGCTATATGCAACACTGTGCTCAGTAAATCACGATCAGTATGTATACACAGCACAAAATTATTTCATCAGTATCCATTTAGGGTTCAGATGTTAATCCTTTGTGCACTTTTATTTAACATTTTTTTACATTTTATAAAATATTTTATAATTTTATGCAAAGGATTTTAGTTATTCACCCAGTTTTGAACTTCCTGTGTGCTTCTTGAAATTTCTGGCAAGCACAAAGGATGCACATGAGCTTCAGAAGACAGGGCCTTAAAGGCTGAGAGTGCTGGAAAAAAATTGATAGAGTGGAATGAGGCTGCAGAGGAATTTGAAAAAAGGTTCAGGAATTTGGAGCTAAGCATGTATGGAACTTGGCAGGGTGAAGGGAACTGAGGATAGGATCAAAGCAAATTGAAATTTGTAAAGGATAGAACAAGAGAAGTCAATGAAGACTGCATTGGAAAAAAAAACAATGCTATATTTTCTACTGTGAACCACAAAGAAACAAAGCACTAATTCCTCCAAGGCCTCATCCACTCTTATCAAATATTTGCAAATGAATGGTAAGATCGGATACCTAAACATTCGTCCAAGCAGGGGGGAAATGAAGGGTGAGCTCTATCAAAGGCTGGAAGCAGCCAACTAATGTGTTATGAAATATTCATATACCTGTGATTAATAAACCACAATATAATAATAACAATCCTTAGATTTGATAAATCACGTGTTCTAGACATCTCAAAGCGCTTCACTGAATATACTGTAAAGTGAATGGACTATGTTTTATGGGCGAAACGTGGCAGCCAATTGCGCAGAGTAGTGGGCATATATTACAAAACTGCAAATAAAAAGATTTAGAAGCAATACAACCAATATACATCTTATTTTGGTGAAATAGCTTTTTAATCCAATGACATATATGAAATGGGAGGGAGTAAACTTTTACGTAGTGTGTCTTGTAGATTGTTTTATTCAGTAAGACTTAACTTCCAGTACATTATCTATTCTTCACCAAATTATCAACTACTATGATGCCAAATTAACAGAACTTTCCTTCTCCCATGATGCACACACGAGTGATAAAGGATCCTTCTCTCTGGGAAACTTTAGTTTCATAGTTTCTCACTCAAGAAGAAACTATGAAACTAAAGTAATACAGTAACAAAAACAGACATCGCTGGGAACACTCAGCCGGTCAGGCAGCATCCATGGAAAAGGAAAGTGAGTCAACGTTTCAGGTCCACAACCCTTCGTCAGAAGAAAAATACAGCAACTAATACTATTCACTTAAGAGCCGCTGTACAATCCTGCTAATTACAGCTAAAACTCAGAGGGTATAATGGATTGATTTTAAATGGACTAAACATGTTTTTTAAAGAAAAGATTATTCCTTGGAGAAACAATTCTAAAATATTGTTAATATGAGAAAAGCAGTTCCAGAAGATTTTTCCCATTTCCATGAAGATTAGGATCAGGAAGTCACTTCAGTGAAGTAAAAATAATCATTATTACATTGTGCAGCCCTCAATTATAAAAAGACTTTTATTCATAGCATCATAGAATTATACAGCACAGAAGGAGGCCATTCAGCCCATCGTGTCTGTGCCGGCTCTTTTCAAAGAACTATCCACATCAAACCAACTGCCCCGCTCTCTCCCCATAGCCCAGCAAACATTTCCTCCCCAAATAATGATCTACTTCTCTCTTAAACGTTGTTATCGAATTGGCTTCCACCACCCTTTCAGGTAATGTATTCCAGATTTGAACAACTTGCTGTGTGAAAAAAAATTCTCCTCACCTCCCTCTGTTTTTTTTAAACAACTATTTTAAATCGGTGTCCTCGGGTTACCGACCCACCCACCAGTGGAAATAGTTTCTCCACCCTCTCTGTTACTTCATCAAAAAGTAGATTTGCCCGTTGTTGTAAACTCAGATCACTACTATAGGATGTATCAAGACAGCAAAACAAGACAACATAGATTTATAGTGCCTTTCGTGTCAGGAAATGCTTTGAGATATTTTGACATAAGGTATATAAACTATTTGTGATAACCTTTTTGCAAATAGCCATTGTTGAGATCTACTCAACTTCAATGCAATCTGTGCAATTCAACCAGTGTCTTAGCATTAAAAGGATAAGGGGGAGTTGTGGACAATGTTGACGAGCTAAAGCATCTAACCAGCATGTCATAACAGTTTTCAATTAAAATATTTGAGCCACTTATTCTTTATAATCCTTAATAATCCTTGCATTTGATATAGCGTTTTTCATGTCTTCCAAACATCTCAAAATGCTTCACAGAATATAC